AATTATTACAAAAATACGTGTTAATTAAAGAGATGATAAAATGTAAAGTGTCTCATTTTGTCTGCACAAATAAATTAATGATTGGGGAAACAATGAAATTCAGGGAAATGATGAATCAATAGCCTTAAGGATATTGACTTTGACTCTGTCAGATGAAAGGAAAGGTTTATTGTTATTCTTGGTGAGGTGAACAAAAGGGTTGTTCAGTGGGCATTGAGACTGTTCCAAGTAGAGTACAAACAGTTATCAAGGAAGTTGTTAGTTAATAGATCAATTCAATGATATTACAATCTGCCAGGGCAATATTGACCATAAGTTGAATCATGAATTTCTTTGAATGGCATAAGCAACCAAGTGATTATCTAACAAAATATTAATGATGATCCATCAGAGCTGTAGTAATGGACAAAGTGCATAAATTACGCAAATAATTTAATTCACGTTCGAATCAAAAATGAAAGAATTAAACTCTACAAACTATTTTTAATCTCCATCGGTATAATTATAGCTGTTTGCATTCAAATCTTGAGCTATTTATAGTCATCTATTCTGAAATGTTCATCAAAATTGAACCAGTCGAACACACAATCCAATACATTGGGCTATTTGACTTTTACAACGAAAAATCAAAATAGATTTCAATTTTAAGGTGACTTCAGAATTTTAAATTTGAATAATGAGAGGCAGCGACGTCAAGATTCAATATATTTCATTCATAGTAGAATTTTCTTTTTAATCGAGAAGCGAACATTTATTTGAGGAATAGAGGAATTCACGAGCGCAGCTGTTCAATAATTTATTCTCAAAGTTTTGCCCTGTTTCTATTCGATTGGGTATTCCAGATTTCGACTGTATTTGACATCGATGAAGACAAGGATTATCAATAACACATGTATAAAAAGAGTGTTTCAATGTGTTAAATTCATTAAGTAGTGGTTTTTTACAGCTGTTAAATTATTCAAATTCAACTTCTAAACCTTTTTCAGAACTAAATAGCCTCCGGGAGCTATTTTATTTTGATGATTCATACAGCATCATATAATGAATTCATGTATCTGAATATACGATGAAAATATTAGTATAAGGAATGAATTTCCAATACTAATAGCCTGTACTGGTGAGGTCGAGTTTAAATGTGTTTTGTAAAAATAAAAGTAACAGTTTAAAGCAGGCCTTTAAATTGCATAATTTTATCACTTTTGATTCATGAAAAAGATATCTTTTTATTCATGATTTGAAGTACATTTCCGTTTGGCCCTCATTAAATTTCTAGGATTTTTTCATTCTTTGAATGCATCATGTAAGTCAGTATAATTAACTGGCTATAAGAGAGATTAAGGGAACTTTAAGGTTTCAGCTCATTAATTCTGGGAAAATTGACTTAGCAAATTTATCTCCAAGTTTATTCAAAGCTTCAACAGAACTGGACAGTTTATTGTTGGACAGACCTCCGACAAAATGGTATTTTTTAGTAACTCGTTAACATTGTTATCAAAACTAACGTTGAGTTTATCTTCGATATAAATCATCACTGAGCGAAAAGGCTTACAAAATTTATTGATGACTTCGTTATTTTCAGAACTATTAATAGATTGGTGAGACAATTTGAGCTATAAAATTAGAACATCAAGAATTATTATGAGAAAAATTGTTGAAAATTAATGTAAATTGTTTAATTGTTGTTGCTTTTTCATATCAAATAACTGAAACTAAATGGGAACCAGATTTTTGTAGATTCAACATTGATCAGTAAGCTACAGTAAGTTATCACCTTTAATCGGAATTCACCTTCAACTGTCGCAATGAGCACCTAAAATCTTTGTAATTATTTAATTATTTAGCTTCCTGTTGATTGTGCATCTCTTGAGAATTGCATGACAATAACTCATTTCACTCTAATTGAATTAAACTAATAAGAACCAAAGAAATAGTAATTAAAGGTTAAAAAAGGTTCCTTACTTGATAATTAATCGGATAAATTGAGAAGAAGACAGTAAAGGGAAGCAAGTTGCGCTAAAGTTAATTTTTGTTGATTGTTGAATCCAAACAGGAGACCTCATGGTGGGAACCCTTTTACCCCTGAAGCTGAATATCTTAAACATTAATCTTTGACAAAAAAAGATGAGAATTCAATGTTTACCAACATAACAATTAACATTCTTAAACGCTTCTTTTATGCTCAGAATACTTATAATGCAAAATGAAAAGTTCACAACAGACATAATCTTTATGCTTGAATGGTAAAATATGAGTTGATGGTAAGTGAATAGCTCTGATAATTATAATCAGTGACTGTTGATTCAGGTGAACTTAATTGAGGCAAACATTGAGCCATTCATCTGCAAATGTTAGTCTAATTGTTTGAATACAAGTGATCGAAACCGAGGTTATCATCAAACTGGTTATCAGCAACAACAGTAAATCATGTTTTATTATCAGATAAAAGACAGAATAGTAAAATGATAACCTCCATGGGAAGATAATAGTCAAGGTTGAAGTTGATAAGATGATAGGAATGAGATTAAATGATGAAAGGATAAAGGTAATAAATATGATATTGATGAAGACAAGTGCACACCTTTTTCCCGAGCGTGCGAAGTTTACATTCAAATTCAAATTTAGATTTTTTTAGTTGCATATTTTAATGACAGAGGTTCTGTGAAGGGCAAAAGTTGAGAGATTCAAGGATTTAAAGAAGCCAAAAGAGCGATGAAAATGAACAACAAGATGAATGGGTGTCACTGTCACGGTTATTTTCTGTGTCAAATGATTTCCGCTTCAATGACCTGAGCCCGAAAAGAGGGTCTAAAGGACGACACCCAAAAAGTCCAGCATCAACATCCTTATTGTTGGTTAAAAAAGATGGCGATGAATGAAATTGAAAGTAAAAGTAAAACAAAATGTCAAAAATGGCAACAAAAAGGTAAAGGAAAACTACTTTAGTATAAAAAAACTAATGTTTAACTTTATTCTCATATTGAACATTTACCTTTACATTCAGTTTACCGCAATTAATGAGGCTCCTGGAAACAATTTGCTGACGATTATTGATGTTGGAAATTAATTTCCTTTGCTTTATCAACATCATAACATTCATTGTTGCCATTATGTTTTTTATATCATTAATTTTCTTGTTACTTATGGTTACAATTATCATCTTAAGTTACTGAACAAGAGATTGTTTTGAAGCTGTTTTCAAAGGAATGGTGTTGGCTGTTTTAAATCAATGCTTTTAGGACTTTTTTTGGTGTAAAATGAAGCTCATTTTACTCCGTTTTTTATTATAAACAAACATTTGTTATTAATCATAGTCATAACAATATTGATTATAGTGGCATTCATTGAGCCTTGAAAATGTCTATCAAAAACAGAATCAATGATTTTTTGGGTGAAAATAAACATGTCACTCTAATTGATTGCTTTTATTAAAGCTAATTTTGAGTTACATTAGAGACTTAAGTTCATGGTCAGTGGAGTTGATTTATGTTTTTTAAGGCCTGGGTCAAATCACTTTGATAACGGTCCATAGAAACTGTTGAAGCTGTTAATTGTTTCTGTTATTGGTGTGATTTAAGGATGCTTCAAATACTCAACTCTACATAAACCGGATCAATTTATTTAGCCAATTATGGTCAGTTAAAATGTTGATCAATTCAAGATTTCAAGTCGACTGAATAAACAAGTGTCAATTGATATTAAAAGATTCCCTTCCTCTTAATCATCTTTATCATCTTTTGCATTTTTAATGTCAAATGACGAGTGATTTACAGATTGAGACTTGACCATAAACTGTTAGTTTTGTCAATCCAAATGAGCAAATTAACAAACAAACAAAAACTGATTTTGAAATTGATTTACAGTTATTTATATTACATGATGAGTTGACAGTCAACTTGATTCACTTTCGATTATTTTAATTGCAATTGGATAAGAATAGTTTCTCAATTTGATGAGTTGATCAAAATTGATTTGATTGTGAGCTCTACATTGACTTAAATGATGATATTGCAAATGGGAAAATGACAAAACAAAAAATTTATAATTAGGTTTTTTTTTCATTGATTCAGTTCAATTTGTACAGTTAACATCCTCCTTCAACAACAGGATCACAGTTTGTTTAATTACGGTTAACACAATTGATTTGGACAATAGATAACATTTGAATAGAAACTATTTGGTCATTTAGTGATTTAAATTGTTGATTAATTTTGAGCATTCTATTAATTGTTACTTTAATAATATCATCTCCAAATTGGTCTCATTTTATATCAACTGGTTAAACTTCAATCTGACAAGCTGAATCGGCTCAAAGCTATTATAAATGTCATGATAATCAAGTTTGGGTTTTGCATGAAAGGCGGAAGATAAGTTACTTCAAATTTCTGGTTAAAATCGATTTGATTAGTTGGAAGAGAAGGGAAAGATAAAAATCATTTCATTTATGGTGAAGTTCAATTTCAATTGAAAAATAAATTGTTAGGTCAAATAGAACAATTAACTGATCTTCCAGTTTTAACTCATTTAATTTTAATCAGATTAAAGGCTTTACCTGAAGCAATTTTGTCAGGTCACTTAATCAATCTCAATGATACAATATTAAATAATTTAACCTCACATACATTTGGCACCAGTAATCATCATCATCTCCTAATTTAGTTTTAATAAATCAAATCGAATCAAATTCAACAAATTATCGAAAATTCAGTGCTAACAGGTTATTAATCAAAAAAAGGTTTGGCAGATTCACTTTCTTCAACAGCAATAATATCAGCTTTAAAACATAAATTTAGTGTATTGTAAATCACTGAACAAATTTAAAAAACTGATTGGCAGCTCAGAACATAATAAATGCTCTCATTTCAGACAATTTATCACCACAATTGATCGATTCACATTGATAATCACAGTAATCCAATGGGAGTAAACACACGGCAACACATACAGATGGTGGTTATAAAGCTAAGCTTGTACATGCATAAGTAAAGGAAAGAATCACTCACCGAATAGTTGATTAAATACATCCCAAGTTTCATTGAACACATTTAGATCCATGGTTAAATCTAATAAATTGTTCAATAATAAAACACACAATTAGCTCATTGGCAAGTTGATTAAAGTTGTAAGAAACAAACCATTCAAAATGTGAGACACTTTTAAGCCTTATACTGGTATCTGATGAAAGTGTATTTGATGATTTCAGGCAATGACGCTTGATTTGTCTGGTTGCTTGTTCAAGTCAAGGTTAAATTGAACAAATTTTTACTGAAAATGAGCACAAATTTGATTATTAAACATTAAAAAAGGCACAAAAATGAAAGCAAATATATGTTAACAAAATTATCCAAAGTTTCTTTACAAACGTTTATTACAAAACTAACTTGTAAACATATAATTCAAGTTTCACTTTATCTCCCTCTCTCTATCTCTTTCTTTCTCACTCACTTTTCTCACTCTTTTTCCTTTCCCTTTCTCTTTCCTTTTCATCTCTTTCATCATCAGCTATTCAATCATTGAACAATTGTAATTCCTATTAATTAATAATCAGGAATAACGAACATTTCTTGGAAAAAACTGAACATTCAATGAAAAATTGAAATATTAATAACAAAAAATGTGATTGATTCAAGAGATTTCAATTACAACGCCATCTATCATTATACAAGTTAACGTAATACAACTGCTTGCATTTGATTAAACGGTTTAATTCAAACATCGATAGTATTGTGGAAGTATCGATGATTATCTCTCCAGAAGTTGAAAAGTATTTGTACTTCATTAGTACAATGAGATACCAGACGAGATTAATTAGAGATTAATCACTTCTTTAAGCCTACCTTGAAATACTTTTCTTTTTTTATCATTATATAACACTGATTGAGTAACTGATAATTATTGTTATCAAGAAAGGTATTTAAATAGTGCTGTTTTGCTAATAAAATCAATGATTATGCACAACATAATCGAAAATCAGTGGAAGTAAATGATTAAGCTTTTTTTATTGTAGACTCCAAAGGATCATTTGGTTACCTTTTGTTTTCTTTTCACCAGTTTTATTGGTTCTGTGTTTAACGAGATGGATCATTAGATATTGCTTTCAAGCTTTCTAAATTGCTGGAAAACAATTAAATTCAAAGGTAAGTCAACACTTGTTTCAACACATTATCAATAAGCAAACGTTTTCCCCCTTCTATTTGTGTTGCTTAGCTAAGACAAGTTTTCGCTTATATTTACATCATTTATCATAATTCCTGCTGGGAAATAATCCTGTTGATTCTTCTGTTTGGTCAAGTAAATGGTTTAGGAGAGAATTTGACTAGGAAGGCAATCATGGAATTAATTCGTCTCACAAGGAACCGCAACTTGCACTCACAATTATCCTTTCACTGGCAATGTGTGTTTTCAAAATGGCAGCAATAGTCTCCAAATGGTTGCAAATAGAGAGTGAGTAATGTTATTTAGAGACGCTTTTGAATCATATGAAATTGAAATGGGATGAAATGGGACGATTTGCTTAAAAAATGGAAAATTTATAATCTTCAACTAATCAGCACTATTTTAATATTTAATCAATTACTGTGCTTAAGAAAGTTGATTGATAACTGGTTTTTTTACCCAAAGGGAGGACAAAAACAAAAGAAAGTAGGGAAAGACAATCCGAGTTAACCCGAATTCTGGTTTCTCCTAATTGATTGGTGTCAATAACAAACTGATTCTGGCAAATTGTCTTCACTTCAATACCATTACCATTATTATTCAATGTTTGGTCCAGCAACTTGAGATGGTTTACCATTTTACATCATCTTTTGTCTTTCAAGTGAGGCTCTTGTCAAGTAGTAATTCAAAAAAAGAAACTAAGCTGAAGACTAAACCTGAGGCTAAACTGTAATGGCGGCTATGGGATCTCCACACCCTGTTTACATTTAATTATGGACTCACACAGAAATATCAAGAAGAAGAAGATGAAAAGATGTTGACGATGAGAATGATGAAAAAAATGATGATGCTGATGAGAAAAGGCAAGAAACTTGAATGGTAAGTTAAACAAGAAAGGTTAAAAATGCTGAAAATTTTTTTGAGCTAACGGTCAATGATCTTTTGCTCCAAGAAACAAGTATCTTTGATTGTTCAATCAACTATAAGATCAACTATTTGACCCATATAAACAATTTAATACTAGGTTTGTTTCATCTAATCTAGCCATTACAGTCATCATCATTGCTGGACCTGATCAATTTAATTCCCATTTAGCGATGAAACCAAAAATGGACTACTTTATTCCAATTTATGCTGTCTTTAAAATTTAAATTTAGTCATTTAAATGGTTATAATGTATACATTTTTGCTGTTTTCGCGTGAACCAATTTCACTATGTTATTTGTAAGTATTGGTTATTGGTTATTCTGTGAGCGTTGATTTAAATTTCAGACAATTGCTCTATCCTATTAGACTGCTTAATTGACTTTACGTGACTTGAAGCTAATTAATTAATTACTCTTTTATCTTGCAGGTAGATTAATAATTGTTACGAGGACATAAATCGGTGAAAGTGAGATTAACATTAAATGGATTATATTGGTAAGCTTCTATCAAAAATGGCTTCTCTTGAGTACAGCTTTGAAGCGATGCTAGACAATGCGATAACATTGAGATAGTCAAAAATATTCAAATTATGTTAATCAAGGTTAAGCTATTAGCAGTTACTACCTGTAAATATTGAGATGCAATTAGTTAATGCTATTTTCATTTCACTTTGTTAAATCTAATCCAATTAGTGTGAATCTGACAAAAAGCATTGAATCTTGACTATTCAAGGTTCACAATCAAACATAAGACTCTTGTTTTACCTAATTAGGATCACATTTACAAATCTAATTTACGCTTATTAACTACACAATCAACAATAGATTGTAATTGTATTGTCAGGAAGTAATAATCGTAAACATGTTTGGTGCCTTATTCATTGCACCTTAATGTGAAAGTCCAGTGAATTTAGTTACACAAATGTATTTAGTCTGATAATCATTGATCACCAAAAAAAGATTGTTTTGTATTGGTAATGATTATCAAATCATTATGTTTTGATAGAGTTCATAACAGCTAATTATTTGGTTGATTATATTTAAGTGAAGTCTGATTAAAGGATGATAATTATGATGATTTAAGCAGCATCAAACCAAGCCTTTGCCTGAAGCAATCAAAATATCACTAATTAACATATCAGCCAAAAATAAGAGTGAAATTTGAGTGAAAAATTGGTTATTATTTTTTAAAAAAATCAAGTTACTAAAGTAGCTTGAAACAGCAACAAATAAATTATTAATTGTAATCAAATTGAACCTCAAAATAAATATTTAACCCTAATATAATGAAATTTTTTCATAAAAAAGTTGTTCACATAATGTTAACATTATGTTAACATTTTAATCAACAACAATGAAAATGAAAATGAATTCATTAGCATCACAATTGACAAGGTTATAATAGCTGAAAAGTACTCAATAGAAGCCATTTTTTAGATGAAATTTGATGATTTTACCAAACTAACAAAGTTAATTAATTGTGATTATATTTGGATCGATTAAAAGAAGACTCTTGGATCATTTTTCAATGTTACCCTCAACTTTCAATCTCAACTGATTGTGGCTCCTCAAATTAGTAATTGAATAAGGTTTGGCTTTGAGCGGACAAGTCCAACTATTGCTGCGTAAAGTTCAGGCTCAACACTGTGGGTTGATCAAGTTAATGGTCAAGTTAAAAGGATAAAATGTGAAGATGAAAGCGGAACAAAGTCGGGTATAAACAATGGATAAGATGGCAAAGCCTAAAGATTTGAAGGAAAAAGAGAAACGATAAATTTCATGGTGAATCAATTTCAAATGAAATGCCAAACTGAAGTAATGACATCACCCAGCAATGGATTATCCAAGCATAGATTCAGGTTCTGGCCTTAGACAAGTTCAATTTTGATATAATTGTTGGTATTTCTTATTGGAAAATCTGGTTAACTTTAACCTTATTGACACCATATAATTTTCACTGACCCTGAGGTTAAGCCTAAAAAAATGTCAAAACTTGATTGAGTTATTTCGGAATCAGTAAATAGTCTAATAATCATTTATTTTTTTCAGATTTTCCTATCAATTGATATTGCTGTTAATCTTTCTGGTCCTCATCGTAAAGTATTATTTTACCTTGAAAGTTGAACCAAATTAAAGTCAATGGTTTGGATGTTGAACAGGCATACAAGTTGAATCACGTAAAACTGATTAAATGGATTCGCCGAATTACCAAGAAGAATGAATTAGATGTTAATGATGATCAATTTTTGTGTTTAACCATTTTTTACCTTGTTAGGAAGTCTTATTGTTTACCTTTTTGTTTTTCACTTGTTGCTGCCTTTACATGATTTTCATTTTCATCATGCAAACAGGATTTTGTTTATTGTTTCAAATTGAATCAGTTATTCACATAGAAGTGGGCTTGTTGATTATGTCCATCAAACCGTGATGAAGATGAGGATGCAAGAAGAAGCAGGTAGAGTTGAGTGAAAAAAGTAGATAACTCACATCTTGTGGTGAAGGGAAACCTTGCTAACCTAAACACACACCTTTATTTACATGGAGAAAACTCGTTCCACTGGCTTTTCATACTGCTTCACATTTGACTCACCTTTATCATTATCCATTCATTAAATAATGTTTATGATAATTTATTGGTTAAAATCGGTTGTTCTAATGGTGATTGAAGATTAAGATAATTTGATGATGATGATTGTCAGCCATTAAATGCGACTCAACAGATTGACTTGAGTTTAAAAATGAAAGTGGGAGATGAAAATGTCTAACAACTTGTTGATCCAATCAAATTGCTCATCAGTTAATCTCTTCAATTCATTTCAATCTTTTTCTTCTTCTCAATCTAATTATTTCCTCTCTTCATTTCATCAACTTCATCTGTTAACCAGAACCAGTAAATCACAGGAAATCCTAGACTATTTCCGTCTTTCAAATACTTGTTCAGTTGCTTTTTTTATTCCTAAACCTTCTTGTACTCAGTAAATCATTTAATCCAGGTTGACATTTTTCCTTCAATCGTTGCTTCTTAATTTAATTTGGTCAAGAAACTCTGATAATCTGTCAACATTTAATGTCTCAAGTTTCAACCTTTCCATTTGTTTCCATTCATCAATGAAACTAACTTTAAATTGAAAGGGAAAACCGACATGACTGAAGCAATCTTTTTTCACGTTAACTTGTAAAATAGTGAATCTTTTTTCCGCTCAGCTGATTCAAATGTTGATTCCGATTATCATGCAACCCACCCAAGAAATTAAAAGTTACTTTCATCTTTTGATGTTGATGTTAATCAGGATAACAATTATAGCTATAAAATGATGAGCAGATAATTTAGTTGTTAACTGTTCTGAGAAATGAATAAATGATATTCTCATGTTAAACAAAGAGCCAGTTGATCTTAAACCCTTGAGGTAACCAATTTAGGTTTCACTTTTTGTTGCCCGATCAAGTTATCCACATAATTTGTTCATTTTGGTTTGAAACAAAATAACTGAACAATCATGATAATGGCAAGAGAAAGTATAAAAAATGGAAAAATATTAAAGTCTTAATAATGATGGAAACTGGAAGATGATGAAGATGAAGAAGAAGATGAAAGTAAAAACAGTTTTAAATATTTCATCATTACACACAATGCAACCAGCTTAAACTGTTAACCAGTAGTAATAATGAACCTATCAATCGTATTAAGCTAGCAATATATAAATCAACCAATTTATATTTAACATTTTGTCGAAAGCCGTTTTTCCGTTGAGGCCGTTAATACGGATTTGACTCACTAACCCGTTATCATCTTCTTTTTTTTGGTTCAAAAAAAATGTAAAAATTTGACGAGACACTTTTACTTCATTCATCCTTCATGTTCATCCTTTGATGAGAGGTCAAGGGAAGTAAAGGATATTTCAATTTGAAAACCAATCTTCTTCATGTTGATCATGTTCACTGATCCGCACCCAATTAAAGGTGAGTCGCTATTAAATGGATTGTATCCTGAAAATGGTGATGATGAACATGATGATGGCTTTCCCTTTCAGATTAATTCTGATCAATTCCCGTTGAGAATTTGAACATTCACCTTATTACCTGGAGGCAGCCGTCAACATTTGATCCACTTTTAACCTGAACATCTTGATCTCTCTTCATATCGATCAATGGCCCAAGACAATGATCGTGTTTATGATAACATTATTTGACTAAATTAATAGATGAATACAGATATTTTTAACCTGATCATGATTACACCAAATAACAATAGATTCAAGTATATCTTTACCCAGTTAATGTGTTTGTATATTTATCTCTTGTTTGTGCTTCTTTTGTTTGTATTTTTATGTCTAACCACGATTTTTGGCTTCACTTTTGTTACTTTTCATCAATTGAAAGCTTTCAGCTTTTCTGGTTATCTGGTTCAATCTGTTTATCCAATGTTTTCCAATATTTCAACAGTTGGCTCAATGTTGCTCTTCATTTTTAAATCTCAAGGATTCCAGGTGACTATTTGATTGGGTTTTTTACTTCAATATTTAGATTGATTTGTCACCAAATCTCCGTTTGATCGTGTTTTAATAATAATCTTTATCATTACATATTGACATATTGGTATTGAAGCAAATTGTAATAGGCTTGATAAATCATTTCAACTTGTTCCTTCATTTAGTGGTGATTAGTAATTTTTTAATGTTGATGTCAGGTATTGATTGGTGAAATGAAAGCCTCAGGTCAGAGTAAATTGCTGACAAGCTAATTGATTCAGTAAAAGCAGAAGATTAGATTGCGAATCCGGTTTCACTGATTTATGATGAAATGTAAATGAAAGTAAACTTGAATGTTGATGTTGCGCTTTTGATACATTTCATCGTTGACATAATGTTTAGTCTCTACATGAAGCGCAATGCTTTGTTAATCATTAATTGCGGACATTTAGGTCACTTAATTGATCAAATAGATTCACTGATGATAAAGTTGACGTCTAAATTGACTTTGAGAGAAACAGAAAGGAACATTCAACAATTATTCAAATTCACTGCAATTCAATACATTATTTAATTAATAAGGAATATCTTTGAATTGAAGTTTAAATGCCAACATCGAATCTAGATTAATAAAGTTCATTTTTAAATTGGACTCAGGTTCAGATGAGCTAACTTGACAGACACTAAGGAAGGCAGCGAATGAAATTCATGCACGAAGATATTTTCATCTGCAAGTTTCGAAAAAAGAATGACCTATTAACCAGGTTTGAATTCGACGAAAGATTTCAGAGATTCTTATTTTAAAACAGAGAATGAATAGAAATCTGCAAAACATGAAATGAGCCGAGTTACAACTAAACTAATCAATTAAAAGAGAAATGTGAAGTTCATGAAATGTGTACCTAAAGCAACAACTTGAACTCGAAAATGCCTTTAACTAAATCTTATCCTTAAACTTTTTTCGTTTCTTTCTTGTTCGATAAGCTTTTAGTGTCATCAGATGAGTCATTATTACTGAAATGGATTAGAACTGCTTGATGTTCAAGGCGACGGTGGCAATCAGCTCAGTGATGAGTCGAGCTGAAGCTGGTATAACAATATCGGAGAAATATTTACAGACTAAAATCTGTCCTGAATAGTTTCCTTTTCATAACAGAATTCAACTGAACTCTATTTACTCTTTCTTTTTTTAAACTTTTCAATTGACAAATACAAAAGTACAAAAGTACCTAACTCGGTCAAGTATAGCATTCATGAGAACCTTCTCCTAGTTACCAATATTCATGTGAAATTGACTAGAGTTGGCCTTGTGCTTCTTTAACTGTCACTGCCTGTGATCAGCTTCTGACTGTTGTTTGTTTGACTCAAAGAGTTATTGGAATTTTTCTGTTGGAAACTTTTATTGAAAGTGAAAAGCTGTTTATGAGGCAGCATCTTTTTGACTCTTCAGTGGCTAAAGAAACTGTACTGATCATTTCATTTCAGATGATTACTCGATGACGAAAAAATTGTATTTATTTTTCTCTTTGAAGTCAGCAACTTATAATGAAGCTTATTTCATCCGATTTTTATGCTTGAAATGTCCATGAAATGTCCGAGATGTTTTGAGTTCTCCAATCATAACAATCAATTTGAACAAAATTGAAATAACATGAACCGATAGTTTGTTTAGTCATCAATATCTTTAAATAAAGTTGGTTATAATACCTTTACTTTGAGTAATCACTTGAAGAGAAACAATTAATTTATTTCTGTCATCATTTGTTTTGGTCAAACATGGAAGCCTTTCCATTGACCTCAAAACTTGCACTGAACAATTAGCTTAACCATTATTGAAGCCAATTTATAAGTTTAACCAGCTGACCAATTAGTTATCCTTGGTAAACTTAGAAGCCGTTTGGGTTTGCTCTTCATTAGTGGACGACTGACCAATTGTTTACCAAACTAAGGTTTATCAGGTTAGCCAAGGGTCAACCAGTTTGCAGTAATCAAGGAAACTTGAGGAGTTCTCATGGGTTTAACTAATTAATGAATGATCGATTATTGTTCCCCAATATAATTAACTAATCCAAGGTTAACGGGTCTAATGACACCCAACAGTTGAGCCAAGAAATGATCCCATTTGGTGCTATTGATTAAACACAAAACGTTTAAAATGATTAACTGTTTAATATCGCATCGCGTTTTTCATTTGGATTTAAGATGATGATGAAAAGGGTTGCTTTATGGTTATAAATAATATTGAACAGACAGAAATAAGTATTTCACATTAATAGGGTTAAATGAAATGATCAAGTGATTATATGAAAGTAAATCACTGTCAATTGGTATTAATTTCAACAAGTCAACACTCAAAAGCGTTCAAAGTTTTTCATTTTAATCTTATTTTTAAGCAAAAAACGTTCAACTTTTGTATGAATAATTCAAATCTCTTATCATGCTTGTTGTGTCTTTGGTACATTTGAGTGTTTAATATCGTCCATTTGCGATCAGCAAACAATCAAAATATTGATTTAAAAGTAGAAAGTCCAATTAGCTTTGCTGATCATTTGGTTACACATTGATGATGGACATGACAAAATTGGTCAGTGTTTTATCTCGCCTTTCACAAGCAACTCACTTGAATTTGATCCGAAAAATTGATAACTTTGTGGGAAGTCTTTTGCTTTACATTCAAATTGTAACAACTATCGAGTTCTTGAGTTGTGGAACAAGAAATTAAGTTAAATTTAAAACAGGCGTAAATCACATAAACTTAACCAAGATTAACTTTTGAAGGGTTTAGAGATGACAAGCTGCAAACCAAGTGAATGGAAGCAGCAAGTCAAGCTGCTCGTTTTATTGTTACTTGAGTCTAATAAAAAATCCATAAAATGACTAATTTTGATCGTCTTGTTGTGCATTTAATTATTCATTCAAAATCAGCTTCCAAATTGCTGTCAATAATTTAAATTCTTTCTCATCGTTAACACAAATATTCTCTTATGCTTTTTTATTCATTTTTAATTGCACGAGTTTTCGTTGAATCTCACTCTTTCCTTCAGATTTACACTTATAAACATTTAACTTTGAACATCGCTTTACGAAGCTAATGCGTTGAAAAATAGATACAAATGATTGCAAATAAAATAAAAAAAGATTAATATCAACGATATTTACAAACACATTTATGTTCAGAATCACACTTTTCGTAGTGATCGTAGATAGCAGTTTAGCTGAGATTGTCCAACCTTTTGAAATCAGTTTTTTGATCAAAATCAATTCAATCAATCAATGAGTTTCATTTTTTATGCTTTTAGGCAGTTGTCTTATCTTAATATTTTGAATTCATTTTATCAAACGTGAAAAATGGAAAATTTTGCAAATAGAAAAATTCTTTGCTAAGAAAACGAAAACTAATTCTAAAAATCGTTTAATTTATTTCTATCCATTGGATTATCTTATTTTCTTGATGTGTTCTTTACCATGTGAATGAACTTCTCCTTTACACGTTTGGAATTTACTGTAAGTTGTTATTATATTCGTTTCCAATTCTAGTTAATCGAAACCATCTCCCCGAGCACGATCCAGTTGAACAGTTAACAATAATTTAGTTTCATCTTTTGTTGTTTAAGTTTGAAATAATAAGTTTAACTTATTTTTCGATTGATATTCGATCCATTCAAAGCCATGATTTTTCTTTTTGCTTATGTTCATCTTTAAAAAATTTATCGAACTGAATTAACTTTTCATTGTAAACATGAAATGACTATTCGCAGCATTTACTATCTAATCTGATAGATGTCACTTTTTAAAGAGCTTCAGAAATGCGAATAGCTCCATCTATTGTTTGTAAATAGCTTTATCAAGTTATCCACACTTTATCTTGACGGTAGTTCAACTACTGGTATTAATACATTCAATCTTAAAATTCTTGTAGCTCTATTAATATCGATAGATTTGTTAAAATCTTTTCTATATGTTCTTTAAACTGGACCTTGTTTCTGTCAAAAAGTATTACACTAGACAATAATGACGAACTTTCAGTGTATTGAACATGAAACCAACATCCATCTCTACTGTCAAGTTCATTCAAGACCACTTTTTTACACGTAATAACATTTAAAGATAATATTACCTGAAATATTTGCATCAGTCGCGATTTATGAGCCTTTTACTTTGGTGACAATTATGATTATAGACAAACATTTCTATCGATTATACAAGTGTCTACATTGTGATCACGCTTCTTCTATAGCGGACAATTTGGATCGACACATGAAAAGAGCTCATGATTATAGCACAATTACACCTTCACACGTATTGATTGAAGAGGAATCAAGTGAAGACGATTGTGATGTAATGTGTTGCAATCCCGATAGTCAAGGGCCATGATTTGTTTTAAAATATTTTCCATATGTTCTTAAACTGAACCTTGTTTCTGTCAAAAAGTAGACTAGACAATAAAGACGAACTTTCAGTGTATTGAACATGAAACCAACATCCATTTCTATTTTTAAGTTCATTCAAAACTACTTTTTTACACGTAATAACATTTAAAGATAATATTTCCTGAAATATTTGCATCAGTCGCGATTTATGAGCTTTGTACTTTGGTGAAAATTATGCTTAGCAATCAACTCATATAACAGTGTAAACAATCCACAATCTATATCGCTTTCTTGAAATAGTTTTTTCTGTGATGATTCTCCCGTTCGCGCATTTAAGCAAATAAGCTATTAATAATACATGTATCATTATATGAACATGATCTTGTCTCTTTTAGATGATTATGAAAATAATGCAGAATTCATATTGAAAGTGTTCCAAAGCCCAGTTCCAGTTACAATATCTTGATAAAAGTGAAACTTGTAGCTTAATTGTTGTAAATGAATTTAAGACAGTTACGCGAATCACCATTTTACATTCGAAGTTTATATTTGAATATTTGATGAAATAACTGGACTTCTGTTACTATTACTAATACTTGTCATAAATGTGTAACTTTCATTCTATCAATCACTTGTCAGTTCTTCAAGCCTTCAGTTTCCATCAATTCATTTTTAACTTCACCAAGTTATCAGCTTCCAAACATTTTTTATTCACAAACTTTCTCTTTAATTATGATCTCATCGCTCTCCTCAAATGAAATACATGCTCATGATGCATCAATACAATCTGCTGGACTGGAAATGCATCCATTAATGGGAATTAAAACGGTGTTTGTATAATGATGATGGTATTGATGATGACTTCTAGTGAGTTCTTGCATGCAATTGAAGTTGCAAGCTCAACGTTTGAGATCATCGTTAATCACTTGAAGTAAAGCATTTTTATTACCACACTCTCCATTGAAGTCATCCATGTCTGTAATAATAAACAACAAATGATCAGTTAACTTGAAATGACAACATAAACACTAACCTATTGACCATATCATGGCTCCACCATAACCTTCATCTTTAATCAACTTCATTTTAATCATTAAACTCTCTTCGTCTTCATAACCAACCCATTGATCCTCATGATATGCATAAGGCACTTGACCAACATCGTCCCATTCCTTGGTCCAACCATGTCTTTTCATATTATTGCATATCTATTGAGTACAAACAAGATGAAATAAAGTAATTCATTGAATTTTCAACTTGCTCAGTGAATGTTGATTACCTCATAATAAGCCAACATGCCGCTTTCATTGGTGTAAATACCAGGAGCACCGGGCCCTATTATTGGGGCATTCAAATGGGGATTGTCTTTATTCACAAGAGTGAAGCTCCGACCATAAAATGGAACTCCGATCATCAGTTTCTTTTTCGTGGCTCCCCCGTTGGTCCATAACTCAAGACCATTTCTCTTAAATAGCATTCTAAAAGTATTAGACAATCGACCATTTAAGGTATAAAGAAACTTACGACATTCGTTTTTGCATATTCAGCCTTATCATGAGGTCGTACAGTTAAAGGGCTGTGAACATCGGCAGAACCAGACCAAGTACCACGTAAATCATAAGTCATGATGTGAATTTGATCCAAATATCTTAATAAAAAGGTGAATGTTAATCATTGAAACTAATTAAATTTAATGGTCAATAATTACTTTGTCAGGTTTTGTATTGAATAACCTTGTTTAACATAATATTCAGTCGCAGGTACAGCAGCAGATAAAATATAATGGTGTTTATCGAATTCAGTTCTTAATTCCTAAAGAGAAATGGTGTAAAATAAATGTCATTATGCACATCTTATGCTATTGACTGACCTGTAATAATTTGGAGAAGTTTTCAATGTCATCAGGATGGCCACCTCGACTTGCTTCTCCTGGATATTCCCAGTCCAAGTCGAGTCCATTCAATTTATACTTTTCAAGGAAACTCATGACAGATGCAACGAATGTTTTCCTTCTTTCCTCTTCCTTAACCATTTCGGAATAGCTTTCTCCCCCTTCTGACCAACCTCCGATCGCAACTAAAAGCTTCAAGTGAGGCCATTTCTTGTGAAGAGCAGTGAAATTTTGAAGGCCGTCTGAATAGAAAGGGTGAATTTCGCTGCTTTAGTTAATAGACTAAAGACACTGTTATAAATACAATGAAAGGCCAATTCTTGACTTACGTTCACTTGAATCAAATTTTGGGTTAATTAACTTGAGCTCGAAACTTTCACCATCCAAACCAACGAATGAATAGACTACATGAGTACATATGTTACCTGGAATTTTATCGATGTTATAGTTCATTGGTGGTTGACGATAGGCTGACCAAGTTGCGAGGTAACACACAATTTTATAATGTTTTTCATGACGCCAGTAGAAATAAACACCTTGAGAATGGAAACAATATTAAAAGAAGAAAACACTTTTATATTAACTTCTTACCTAAACCCAAAATAAACAGAAAAGACAAAACAATCCCAAAAGTCAATTTTTTCCTCATTTTTGGGTTAAGAAGACAAAAAACACGATTAAAAGAATTCACGTAAAAGTTGTATCGAATGATGATTCAAACTCTTTGACGAGTTGAAACAATCTGGTGAGATTGAAATCAAAATGGGATATCATGATAAGGATGTCCTGTCGAGGTTTTGAATGCAATTTAATCAGTTTAAGAGTTTATTGAAAATCAATGTTTAATACCGAACTGCATTGAATAACTTAATGAACAAAATTGAAAGACTGATTCAAAGAGTTTTAGATTTAAAAACTCAATAGTTCATTCATTATTCATTTCAGCAACAATTTCAAATCCAGAAATGTTTATAAATCCAAATATGCCGATTCATTCAACAATTACTTGTTTCATAAATGAAAAGACCTTTTGATTGATTTCATGAAAGGAAAGTTTCAGTGAAATCAGGGCTGATTAAATTTCGAAAATGCAGCGAATGTAGATTAATTTTACGTTTATTCAGCTAGTAATTAATGGGAATGAAGCCAGTCCAGGTGAATACATCGATGATCTTCGAAAACTTGATGATTTCTTGAAATTTTTGCTTGGCAAACAATCCATTTCAGAACATTATTATTGCAAGTTTTTCATGCTCTGGCATTTTGCGTCTCTACATTCATAAACAATTTATATTTTACTTATAATAAAATCTGTTGTTTGATGTTACTTTCATTTGGATTTAAAATTTAAGTTTATTCTTTTCAATATGTTCGAGTGTCTAATATTAATAGATTCACTGTTACATTCCTCGGCCTAATAAGTTGTATTACATGGTGTATCTAACTGTTTCACAGAATATCATGAATCGCTAGGACCATGAATTACATGGATGCTATCTCAACATCACATATTGTGTTTCTTGTATCAAAGATTATGAAAAAATGTATCTTTGTAGTCAATGAGTTAATTGCAATACTGTTTTCTGTTTTTACTTTTTGTACTTCGATGCCTTGAATATCTGCTGATAGAGCATTTAAGCTAAAGCTTTAGAGCATTCTGTCTACTTGTCTATATAGTTCTACTAATTTTTGAAGCGTGCCAATATATTTCCGTCATTCGTTTGGTTGAATTGATATGTTGAGATTAATTGCTTTACTTATCTCGAGAATCAGAAAATGAGCAAATGAGAACAGAATCCAAACAAGAAATACGATCCTTTGTTTCCGGCCTAATGTCATAATGATACTCTGCTGTCTCTCAACATGAAATCTTTTCCTCTTTCAACGTGTTTCGCACTGATAACGTTTCTATATTGCCTGCAAAGTCACTGGAAGTGGCAAAAGCTATCGGCTGTTAGATCTGTTATCAAATTTAAAAACGTTTTTCTTATCGAGTGATCTCGTGTTTTAATCCCAGATACGTTTTGATGAAACTGTGAGCACTTTACAGAAAGCTTTTAAATCTCTGATGAAACATAAATCAGGGATGGCGAGGATATCCTTTCATGAAGATCAGTTGTTGATTGGCTTCCACATGTTAGGAATTGTATGGAAAGGATATTACACCATTAGGTAAATGCTATTATTTGGTATAAAAATGATTGATCAAGATTCAGATTTTTACTGTACCTACTGATATCAGAATGAAAGTTTTAATTCTTATTTGTTTCTGCTTAATGAGCCTTGTTTTGTTGAGCTTTTATCAAGTCTCAGCTCAAAATGATTTCGATAAAGGACCAACTTTTGGTGACAGAATGAACACTTATAAGAACAAAAGTTGTGTCAAAAGTCATCAATTCGGTTGCTACAAAGGATTCTGTTGGTCTCGATGCTCAAGTCAAGGAAAGAAGCCCAATAACAAGGAATGGTGTTACACTACTCGCGGTCGATCACATCGTTATGGACCTTTCAGATGCAGATCCAAGAAAGATTGTAATCCATGTTGGAAGTGCGGAGGTCCTTGTACAGATTAAGGCCAGCGTTTTTATTTTAAAGCAAATATTCTGATGAATAATAGTTTCCATCATTGAAAGTATTAAAGAATACAAAACATGAATAAACACAATTGTCCATTTTATTGAAACTCGTGTTATTGCTATGATCCCTGTGATTAAACTAACTACTGTTACTAGTTTTCGTGTAATAGTGCAGTTGTAATGGTCAAAATTAATGATAATTTGACTGCGATTCATGGCAATTCTTGTGTTCTTCTTGCATCCTTTATCTTACGTTAGAAGTTTTTAGACTGAAGTTCACTGTAACAAAATATCAAAAAACAAGTAATCCATAACTGTCTAATTTTCAATCATTTTTGCAATTTTTTTCCGAAATATAAGAAAATTTTGAGCTTTTTTAAAAAATCGGTATCTGCTGGCTGAGCCTGAACTTGGTTCATAGATGAAAATTATTAATCTGACCTAATGTAAAGTTAGGATTTATAAAATCTTAGAGCAACTTGGAAAAATTTTTCTCAATCTATTGATCATGGATCTGCCATTTCTGGAAGATCTTGTCTTTGTTGGTTAAAATTAGGAAAGGATACGTTCAGGTGGCACAAAAATGGCTGAATACTAAGAAATTTACAAGCCTAGCAATTTTGGATAAATGTGAAATTATTACACATATTTGAAAGCAGGTCAGAATTTGACTATGAATTAAGCAGCTTAAATTATAAATTTATTGAAACTCGGTGTAAGTGCACAATTCGTGCTTTTATTTAAACCACATTTATTATTCAAAAATAAAATAAAATCGTCGTGCGTATAATTGTATGAATTTTACCAATAAGACTCGACTTTTGAAGACGGTCCACTTTGGCCAATATTGCTTTTACTTCGCACGGTTGCACTTTTCATTGCATGGTACAACATGCATTGAGTTAGTTTGTTCAAGAGGTAGCCAAGTGAATGATGAAATATTGATAGTAACTGGTTCCCTTGGAGTTGGTGGTTGACCGTTGAAAAGCCAAAGATTTATGCGGACATTTTCATTACCATGAGCCAAGCGTAAACTTGTATCGGTGTGATTGAAATATTGTCTTTTATCACCTTCCTTAGTCAATCTGAATGTAACACCACAAGGTGACCAGGTAAACTCGGCTTGAGTACGACCAGAAGAAGGCTCAACAGCAAAGCGAGTGATTTTCGAATGATCTCTAAATGGGAGAATAGTGAATTGAGAGTTTGTTGACCAACTTGATTGTCCAAACTTAGCTATTTCAATGTCGATTTCACGATAAAATTCTTTTGGAGCATTGTCATCCCATGTGAACAAACCTAGAACAACTTGAGGAGGAAGATTGGCGATTTCTGATTCAATGATCCACCGATAAGTTCCATGACCAGGAGAAAGAACAGTGTAAATCTCAGCTGAACTCCATTTTCCTCCACTTAAAGGTTTTGTTGTAAGACTCAATATTTTATTGTTGATAACTCTAACACTATCAGCGGTGAATTGGTTTGGTCCTGGACCCCAAAAGCGATCCTTGATTCGCCAAGTATAACCACTCCATGATATAGTTTGCTTATCATGCGTCCATTTGTTAGCATCGGACTCCAAAGTGAATACTAACAAGAGATAAAAGACACATTTACTCATTACAAAAGGCTGTGATCTGGCCATTTTAATGGATTGGTAACAATTTTATAACTGAGAAATGATACATCTTTCAGCAGTATAATAGCATTTGTATAAATCAAACAAACCCACCTATCAATTCAACCTTTGCACACAAAAGACTATTTTTTTATTTCCTTTTTGTCATGAAGCCCTGTGTGGGATTAAAATTGTCAGATTATGTGACAAAATATTACTATTTGTATCAAAAATTCTTGCGAGTATAACGCTAATAATCCCAAATCTGATTAGTGTTTGCGTTGAAAAGTTACAGCAATATATATGTCCAATACTAACAATTTTGACTCTAGAATGTCGTATTTTTGTTGACTTATTTATTCTTTTTTATTGTTCATTTGTGAATCTATAAAACAGCTAAATATTTAAATTCTTGAGCCATCCGATGCCCGATTTGATCCATGGAAAACCTTTCATTCAAGAGTAAATTCTTATAATATACTCAAAGAAAATTAACGGATTTTGTTCATCTGGCCAAATATTTGGTACGGAGATAGAAGTGTCCGTCAAGCATTCATGCCTCTAATGTAACAAAAAAATTTCGAGACAGATTAAGTGAAGGTATTGAGCTTGCCTGCATTCAGTCAGGATTTGACCTTCTAGATCTCGTGATTTAGTCCCAGATACGTTTTGATGAAACGATTTGGAAATAAAATCTGTGAGCACTTGCCAGAGACTTTTACGTCTTTGATGAAACATAAATTACTGATGGCGAGGATATCCTTTCATGAAGATCAGTTGTTGATTGGCTTCCAAACGTTAGGAATTGTATGGAAAGGATATTACACCATTAGGTAAACAAGCTGAGCCCGATCATGACTGATAGTAAATTTCTTTCACTGAATACAATCCAATCCAAATTTCAGATAAATCAGAGACTCAAATTATAGATGAAAACTATTGTCAATGAGAAAAACTAAAAAAACTTGTGTTGAGATTTGAACCTTTGTTGGCTGTGCAGGTATAAAACTGATTTACTTATCCTTCCAATGCAACAATAAACCATCAAGCTGAATGACCAAAAAGTTTTTCCCCCTAAGTCCATAGTAAGAGATACGGATTCTGCATTTTTCCCCCAGCCTGTTCGGACGCTAATTTCTCAGTAACCTCAATTCCGAAAAAGCTCTGATTGTTTTTGTGGATGAAGTTTAATCATGGCTTTCAGGCTTTTCTTTAGAATCCTTTTAGTTTGGCTACAATCTTTACGCAAAAATTTCTTGTTTTGACTTTCTATATTGTGTAGATGTGTAGATGCTACTATTTGGTATAAAAATGATCGATCAAGATTCAGATTTTTACTGTACCTATTGATATCAGAATGAAAGTATTAAGTCTTATTTGTTTCTGCTTAATGAGCCTTGTTTTGTTGAGCTTTTATCAAGTTTCAGCTCAATATGATTTCGATGAAGGACCCACTTTTGGTGACAGAATGAACACTTATAAGAACAAAAGTTGTGTCAAAAGTCATCAATTTGGTTGCTACAAAGGCTACTGTTGGTCTCGATGCTCAAGTCAAGGAAAGAAGCCCAATAACAAGGAATGGTGTTACACTACTCGCGGTCGATCACATCGTTATGGACCTTTCAGATGCAGATCCAAGAAAGATTGTAATCCATGTTGGAAGTGCGGAGGTCCTTGTACAGATTAAGCTCATTGTTGTTATTTTAAAGCAAATATTCTGATGAATAATAGTTTCCATCATTGAAAGTATTAAACAATACAAAACATGAATAAATCACAATTGTCCATTTTATTGAAACTCGTGTTATTGCTATGATCCCTGTGATTAAACTATCAGTTGTAATGGTCCAAATTATTAATATTAATCATTTTAACTCCAACTCATGGCGATTCTTATTCTCTGTTTGTATCCTTTATCTTGCGTTTTATACTGAAGTTCGCTAAAGTACCGAAAAATAAACTACAATGTCTTGCTGATACATGTTAAACTCTCATAGAGAAAAACAAATTTTTGAGACCAAGGCGCCTTTTTGAAGCTAAAATTTTATTCGAAACGCAATTCTTGAAAAAAAATTTCTCAGAGTTGAGCGATGATTGTGAAGTGACCTTAGTTTTTTTACATTCTGCATTTCTCAGATATAAAAGATACACTAAGATCCAACCATAAAATGTTGAATTTTCAGAAAAATTCAAACACTATCTTACAAGATATAAGGAAAAAACCTAATTCTTATAATTTATCCACACAGGTTAGTAGTGAAAATAAGATGATTTTTCGGTGTCTATTCAGTTATCAAAATGAATCATCGATACGACTTCCATTGGATTTATATTTTCTTTTCTAATTTTGATAGCATCGTAATGTGGGAATGGATTATCAGGCGAAGACTTCATATCTACAGTCTTTTTATTACCTGAAGATTCGCCCATAGTCATGTAACTGTTGTATTCATATTCATTTTTTAATTTTAAGCTGGACGATGAGCCCATCGTTAGATAACTATGTTCATGAGTATTATCTTTGCCAAGTTTAAGAGCTTCATTATTCTTATAAGTAATGTCCAGTTCAATATAATAATCACGGATGGATTCGTCGATCAGTTCACCCAATCTTTTGACCAACTGTTTAAAATTGGGTCGTTCAATTGGAATGGATAGCCAACAATCTGTCATTATCTTATAAATGATTTGTGGACATTTGTCTGGTCTCTCCATTCGATATCCTTTAACCAACTTGAGATAGAAGTGTTGATCCGCAGGTAAACCTGGATAAGGTGATTTGCCCAAAGTGAATATTTCCCAAAGTAGAACCCCAAATGACCAGACATCAGATTGAGTTGTGTAGAGTCGATCACCAATGGACTCAATGGCCATCCATTTTATGGGCAATGGAGTGTCGACCTTCTTGATGTAATTGTAATCCTTTTGAATGTCTTTCGCCAAACCAAAGTCACATATTTTAACGACTCCTTTATCGGCCACAAGAACATTTCGAGCAGCTAAGTCACGATGAATCAACTGTGTTAACAAATAAAACAATTGTATTAATAATTAAAAAAAACAATAATTAAAGAAATTACTTTTTTCTGTTGTAAATATTCCATTCCTCTGGCTACTTGAAAAGCAATTGCAATTAAATTACATGTTGCTAACTGTTCATTATCGTTGGAATCTAGCTCGAGTTTGCTTTCTGTAATGAAAGCTCGACGTTCGTCATTAGAGTTACTACAATTACCAGAATCGTTATTGATGGAAGAGCAACTATTCCCATTCCCATCGTGCTTATTTGGCTTTGAAAAGTTGTCATCATTTGAGGATTCATCATTTTGGTCATAAAGATCGATTTGGTCGATGAAAATTTTTCTTCGTTCTCTTAGAAAGTTTCTTAAGTTGCCAAATTTACAGTATTCAACAATAACCATTAACTGATCATGAGTCCTGTTTTTAGTTACTGCACCAAGGCAATTGACAATATTCAGATGATGACCCATGTGAATGAGTATTTTGAGTTCAGAAATTAATGCTTTGATTTGTAAAAAGTCAGCATTTGGTTTCAGCATTTTAACTGCAACGAGTTGTGTTGAATCAGTTTGGCCAAGGCCAATTGCTTGAGCCAGAACAACTCGACCAAAAGCACCTTCACCAAGAGTTTGGATTATTTTCAGTCGATCAGGTGGAAACTCCCAAGCAGAATCATAAGATAACAAGTCAACTTGTTCATCTAAAGGAAGATCAGGATTGAACGAATTCATGGAAGTTATTGGACTCAAAAGGTTAGAAGTTAAATACTGAAGATGCTTCGCCTTGCAATACTTGACGACGATGCAAGCAGTGACACACAATGCTAAGGCGAAAATGAGTGAAGTTATAATTAGTAAACTAATCAAGCTTTTATTGGATTCTTTTGAAAACGATAAGTAGGCAACGGCAGACACATTATCACCACGAACAGACGCAGTACATTTGTATTCACCCAAATCATTCTCTATCAGTCCATTGATGATCAATCGTTGCTTATTGTTAGTCGAATGAAAAACAAATCTTCTTGTTGGCCTTAAAAGCGTCCCATTCTTGAACCATTCAACTTTAGGTTTCGGTTTACCTTGAGCTGCACAATAAAACTCGTGAATAGCGTTTGGTAAAACATTTATCACTTGACCTTTCATATTGGTATCTATTATACTAGGCTTGACACTAGACTGAGCAGTTATTTTGATTTGTTTTGTCAAGTATCTGGTGCTGATTGACGATTCACTGCAATTATCGACTTCTTTTAAATGATTTATTGTTGCATTACAGTAATAAATGCCAGATAGTTTATAAACAATGTCTGTTATAAGAAGAGTGCTTTTTAATGTTGACTCTAGTTCATCGGTAGAGTCAATGATGGTCATTTTAGTTGAGTTTTCAAGTCGTTTGACATTCAAAAGTTCTTCTCGCGTTTTAAAGTACCAATCCAGTTTGTTGTATTTGAATTTCGAGGCTTCACAAGTCAATTCAATGTTATCATGGACAATGAATTCACTTTGAGGTGAAACTTTGAGGTTAAACCCATTGAATGCTGATGTTACAATGAAATAAGTATCGACATGCTTGGAACCGAATCTATTCTTGGAGTTACAACGATAAACTCCACTTGTCGTTGCTTTGTCAATCCTCAATGTCGATTTAATTTTAAATGGATTTTCGAATTTATCCAATGTCTGCCTTTTCGCAATTTCACTTGACTCGCCATTTAATCCTTCATCATAATGATCAACCAAAGAATCTGTTGATTTATTTCGAAGGAAATTGTAACATTGAAATGATTTACAACGATAAAAAGTCCAATATAAATTCGCAAGTGGACTTGATACTGAAAAACAAGTGATGTTATATGAAGAATTGGGATGAAAATATATGTTTGTACTTTCAATTTCGACATGAGGTTTTCCATCAACTTGTAATGTAAATGATATTTTACTGGATTTACCGGGAGTTTCGCCAACAAGAGTATAAATCCCAGAATCAATTGATGTCAAATTATTTATCATTAGTTTTGTTCGATTGTTTTCTATTCTTGTAAATATTCTTACGTTATCAGGTTTAGCCATTGATGTAACATCTTTAGATTCAACCAGAGTTTTATCTAGTCCATCCTTGTACCAATTGAAATGAATATATTGAGTGGGAAATCCCTTTGGTTTTACTATTATTTTGACTTCTGTTTCAAAGTTTTCACCAATTTTACTTACAAATCGATATTTTTCAATTTCAAATTCTACTGAGAAATAACTCCATTCCATCGTGATTAATATTCTGGATTCTTGGTCAAAAATACGATTATCGCTGAATATACCTTCATTTTCATCAAAAGGAACAATTTTTGTCTCATTCAATAGTTTTCCAGGACAAGTCACGTTAACATAATCACCGAGAATCGCTACGCAACTCAATTTGGATGCTATAGCATTGCGAACGTATCTTTGAAGGGAAGTCACAGAATAACTGGAATCTAAAGGATTAAATCTTTCAATCATTCACTTATTAGTTTCATAATATTATAAGAGCATACCTGGTTGAACGATTTGATTAGATTTGATTCTAGATCCACTCGTAGTCCATGATTCGTAATCGACATTAACCAATGGTTTTTTATAATCAGCATTCACGGTTTTATCAATGAACAAGTGTATTACCCAAAAAATAACAGTTAATAAAATTGATTTATTCATCTATAATATGATAATTCCAAACTTTCTCAACAATAATGAAATAAAATGTTATTCGACAATTATTCGATATTTCTCGTGTTGGCTTCAGTTTTCGTTTAAAATTTGATTTCCGTCTAATTCTCTATACACATCCTGTACCTTTCCCTTTCCCTTGTTATTCTGATTGAATCAATCATAGTTATTTTCCGATTCTATGATAGTTGAAGAAGCCTCGATGTGTTTTAAATTTTTATAGAGACTTTCTTAACTGATTAGTTGTAACATTTTAATGAATAATATTTGCGGACATCAATAAGTGAGAAAACAAAGTTTCAAAAACTTGTCTTCTGAATGATAAGTTGATTGACTGAAGAAAAATACAAATAAACATGTTTTTCTTCGCATAACTAACTGTGCAACATCGCAACAATGATAGCTCAAGCCTTCAATCCCTTCACTTAAACAAGGCTTTGTTGCCTTTTCTGTTTTATTGTACTCTTCGCATCCAACGATTGTCCAAGTATGTGGCATACAACCAGTCCACCAACATCCTGAACCTCAGATATATGAATGGGTGAAAACAGTTAACATGTTAAATGAGCTTTAATGTAATGTTTTAAGAACTTACCAGGAGTGTAATCTTCACTATTGACGGCTAATGTGGTGATGATTAGAACGAAAGTTATCAACTTATAATTCATTTGAATTCTGCACATTTTCATTCAGATAAAACTTGAGAAATTTGCTCTGAGAGAGACGAAATTTGGCACTATTTATTGCAACAAACGCTCATAATTGCACGTTTTTTGGATCAAGTTTAACTTGATGCGTCAAATCGATATGAATCAAATGAAAATAGGATTAACTCACTAAAATAGAGAAGCGGATGTATCAAGTGTAACATATTTTTACTAGTTTGATTCATGAAAGTGGTAAGAACAATTCGAAAATGGATTAAAACGACGCAAATACTCCAAAGGTAAAGGGAAACATCATAAAATCAAAGATTTTTCGTGTATTTCTGTTAAAAGGAAAGATGAACTGGTAGCAAAATTAAAATGAAAGCCAAAGCAAAATTCTTTATTCGAGTGCATAATGAAGATATCAAGTATTTCCCAATTACGATAGTCTTTAGTAGTTATCATTATGGAAGTTTTAGACGATGTTTCTCATCTCATGGAAATCATTTTATTGCAATAAATTCACTTCTGGATCACTCTTTTTGTCATTTTAATGAATTTAATTCTCTATTATTACAGTGAGAATAAGTAGATTTGATGAAAACTTTAGAATAGATCAGAAGGTAAAGAATTGGAATAACCATAGTTCGTCAAATCTCGTCAATCCTTCGAAATTATTTGACGATTCGTTGCAAACGGAAGAAAAATTAGAAGGCTTCTGTCAATTCGGATTTTTAGAGACTTTAAAGAAACTTGCTGGGGTTTAAAGTGCTTCTTATTGATCGAACAAGAAGACTGACAAATGTATTGATACTGAGTTAATATGATTAAAACCGCAGCTCGATATTTCATCGGCGAAACAATAGAACTGAATAAACTTTATCACTTGTAATACTTGCAACTCTTTAGCATTACTTTGCAATCATTCTGATCAAAATTTCTACTTGAATTTACTGTAATGAATAAAACACATTTTTAAGAATATTCCACTTGATCCTGGCTCATTAACGAAAAATATCGATAGACACATATTACGTTTGGTGCTTATGCTGGCAAAATCACAGCAGTTATATTTCGTTCCATTTTTTCCTTCGGTCACGCAGTTTTTCGTCGCCTTTTCAGTTTTGTTATACACAGAACATCCTCGAACATCCCAGTCAGATGGTTGACATCCAGTCCACCAGCAACCTCAATCGATTTATAAATCAATAAATAGACAAATTAATAAGAATTAAACTTAAGGAAAGAAGCGCAGTGAATTCAGGGAATCCCAGAAGCGAAAAGTAGAGACACTGCAGCATTCATTTTGATATATAAAGCAAGAGTAAACTTACCTGGTACATATTGAGTTGATTGAACAAAAAGTTTTTCACTTATTATGATTAAACTTACCAACAAAATGCATTTCATGATAGTTCACATTAATTGCAATCACGATTCTGATTCAACCAAATTCCTCACAGATTGAATGGTTTTGAATTATCAGAGCCACCTAACTGTTGAATGCTCGTATTACAATTCGATTGAAACAATAAGCCATTTTCACAGATTTCTCTTCGTTAGCTTTTTTCGTGTTATTTATTCAATCACTGCTTGGAAAATTGTATTCACCATGATTATTCGTTTTTTATTAGGGGCTTAATGCTTCAACCTTCAATTTCTTTTCGCAGTAAATTGTTTAATCCCGTTTGTCAGGTGCAGAGAATATTCGCAAAGTGTTAATGTTTATTGCAATGCAAAGAAACTACCTCATTGAAGAAGTTCTTAATAAATAACGTTGCAAATGACCTTTGCGATGTGAGTATCGAGAATAAAGCTACTGATTAAATCTTGTTTTCTCCGTGCTAAATGTATGGAATCATAAGAAGAGTGCAACTTTTTCAATCTTACAATGCCAAACTTAAACAGATAGACCGATTGATTGAAATTGAAACTCAACAGTCAATTTACAGTTTATTTTTATTTTAGTTTTATTAAGATGCATTACTGTACTTTGTTGTTAGTTTTTTGATTGCATTTATTCAGTAATTCGGAGAACAAATTCAGTTATTTATATCTATAGTTCAAAGCACATCTGCAAGTTGAGATCCTTTTCAGTTCTTTTTCCTTTTATTCTAATTGACAAACAATCCTTTCTTTTAATATAAATCTCTGTCGTTTCGCAGCAATCACTATGTTCTAGGCCACATGGAACGCTGATATTGCCACTGCTATTATTCGGACAAGCTCGCATTTCTGTCGCGTAAGAGTTAAAAATAAGAGAGTTAATAAGTGTATTTATGTTCAACGAAATAGAAACCAGTTAAACTTACCATTAGCAAGCGAAATGCAATCAAATAAACTCATCAGAACGAATGCAATTGAGGTCAATAAGAAACACAATGATAATACTTTATTTACCAGTTTAGTCATATTGACCAATCGAACTTGAGAAAACGACCAATTTTTAAACTACATGTAAATAGCTGAATGCACAAGATTATTTAACTGCATTTCGAGTTGGTTAAACTAATGCAATTGTATTTTCTCAGCTCAATATTTTGTTCCTGATGAAGGGACTAACAAGTTGACTGTTTAGTTGAACCTAGAGTACAATCGTAACATCTATTGGTTGTCGGGATGAACAAATGTGAGTTAATCTCGTCCAATCGATACAATTTATTCTATACCTTATAATATCATTTCCGTGTATCGAAAATGTATTTCCGGGAAACAGGATCAGTAAATGTTATCACTCCATCATTTCCCCTATTCTTGATGCTAATCATTTCTAGGATATTTTGCAGACTGACATCTATTAAGTTAGGTTAAATTTCAAACTTTGATTTGAGTAATTCTCGCAAACGAAGCTCATTGTTCAATATCTCGTCAGCACTCCAAACATGACAGCGAGAGGAAAGCAAAAAGTAAAGGCTGTTTCAACAAGTTCCAACTTGTTTCAAATGAAATAACAGCCTCTTCTTATTGCTTTTCCTTTAGTTTGTCGTCGATCTGCAACAAACCTAACGATCATTGCATAAGTTCTTGCAATTAGATTTACAATTGCATGATAGTTTAACATATCTGATGGTAAGCAGAATCTTTTAACTAGGAATACTGATGTTTTTTCCAAAGAATATCAAAGATATCGAGAATTATTTTGATTGACTGAGCGAAAGTCTGACAAAACTTATTAGACTTCTTTCAGTTAGCAGAATAATGTGAAAGGTATGTCAGTAAATGTTGTTAAAGGATCTTTTCTTTTATTTCTACTCCTAAATGGAGTGTTTCTGTGTAATGTTTCTGAGGCCAGAACCTCATAGAAGACTATTTTGAATACATGAAAATTACATTTCAAGCTTAACTTGCAAAAAGAATGCAAAAGTGAATGCAAACTGCTATAATTTGATGAGGAAACGAATGAAGAAAGAGTTGCTTTACATGGGTTAGAAGATTTCAATGCATTTTGAACTCTGCAAACTATCTATTTGATCTTTTACTGAAATGATATAATATTCCCAATTTATATTAACTTCAGACTTTTGCATGATGCAAGTATTCAAATCATACGTTTGCACAATTATGTTTCCTTGATTTTCATCAATCTTTTAGCATTTGTTGGCAAAGGTTTTTTATTTCGCAGGAAGTTGATGCAATGGTGAATAAAGGGGCGCAGATTAGATATCGAAGTGGGATAGTGTCGAAAGACTGTATATATTTGAACCTCATTGGTTCATGATGTTCATTATTCAGTAATCAGTAACTTGACAATTGAAAGTAGGTAATCAAAGGCTTGCAAAATGTTCATTACTTTGTATATGCTTTTTATGTCTCTACAAATGCTTTTACAGCCAATTCAAGGTAAGCTCATAAAATGATCGAATTACACGATTCTTTGATTGATTGATACAGCTTCTACATTTGATTGTTACAGGTTGGACACCAGTTAATATGGGTAACTGTTTAAGTACTCATAATTACTTGAGACGTCTTCATGGATCACCACCGCTGCATTGGGATCATAATGTAAGAGTCCATCAAATAACTGTTGCTTTACCTCTTCTTTCAATGACAGGATTCTGCAAATACGAGTGCAAGTAAAATAGAAGTTAAAATCTAATGACAGAACAATTTCTCATTTATAGCTGTACAGATTCGCTCGCAAACGAGCTGAACATATGGCAGCAACTGACATATTCGCCCATCCTCGACACTTGCCTTATGGTGAAAACTTGTATTACGTTTGGGGTGCAGTTCCATCTTGTAAGAGCGCAGTCGATGCTTGGTATAATGAGATCAGACACTTCAACTACAGATGGCCAACATTTTCACCAGCTACTGGCCATTTCACGCAAGTTGTTTGGCGAGGCACACGAAGAGTTGGCTGTGCTGCTGCTCAAAGTCGTCGAACTCGACGAATATATATTGCATGCAATTACTGGCCTGCTGGTAACGTTCAGGGTCATTTTCGTCACAACGTTCCTCATCGTGGATGAAGCATCGAACAAATGATTGAATAGCAAAATTTTGCTCGAAAGCAATCATCAAATAATCAAATCTTACGCATTTTATTAATATTCATATTTTAAGTTTTCCTTGAAATAATAATCGTATGTGCTCGCTAAATTTTAATGCAATTAACATATTAAAACTAATTAGAAAATTAGAGTTTACTCAGTTTATAAATAATTAATTCAATATTTTGTATTCAAGAAGAGCAATTATTTGTCTGTTCATGTTACTATTGTTTAGGCAGTTCATATTTTTGGTGCAATTCGCAAGTTAGTTCAATTTATCAACTTATTTAGAGCAGAAAACATCGCTATTTGCAATTAATAATAAATTTGCAAACGTGGAATAACTTGCAACTCTATCAAAATAACTAAATTGTTATTCTCGATACTAGCGAACGCACACGTTGAATGGTGTTGAGGTTTAGAAGGAAACGAATGATTTGTTACAAAGTATTCGAGTCTCTCTTTATTAGACATTTGCAGGTCAGTCTTTGAAATATCAATTGGTTAGGTTAAGTCTAGTTAGTTTTGTTGTTAGAAAATTGACAATCAGAAATTTTAAAAATAATTTGACTGACTTGATTTAATGCTAGTAAGAATTTTATTTATTGAATAGTCACATGGAGTATTTTAAAATAGATGATATTCTTGTCATTACAAAGTTGATATTGATTAATTGATTAGTTGATTAGTGCTGTTAACCAAAATTTTCGATCTTTGGGTCCATTCGAACTCATCAGTTACACATAATCAACCAATTCTTCCCACTCGCGCAATTGATTCAGCTATTGCATGGAAGATCTAGTAATATAAATCAATAAAGTTATTAAATAATCAGAACTAAAAACGATATCGAAAGCTTACATTTGAACAACATCTATATTCAAGTCCAGCATGACAAGGTCGAGTTTCCTTTTTAATCCGACCATATTGTCGACATCCTTTAACGGCCCAATCATGGCGTTGACATCCAGTCCACCAACAATCTGTATTTCAGTTTCAAGATGAAGAAAAATAATAATAGCAATAACTAAAAGATTGTCTTGACGGTTGACTTAAGGCTATCACTGGATAACTAGAGAAAGATTTGTAAAATTATTCGAACTGTTATCCATCAGGAATTTGGATTAATATATTTACTGATAACATTCAGCTATTCATGTGAACAGAAATGCAAGTTAACTTAGCCATCGATTATACGTTTTAATTGAAATGTACTTACCAGCTTGAACTGAATGATTATCAATTATGAACACGGCAAAGAACACTAAACTTATAACGAACAGTTTATGCATCATTTTGAATCAAAACTTTTGAAGTGCGTGCTTTCACTCGAAATTTGTAAATAATTGTGAAATTACTTGTTAAAATGATCACCAAACAATTAACAGGACGTCCTGTCATCAGAGCATAAATAATGTTAAGCTATAATCATCAAACTAGATTGGATCGTAGCTTAATCTCTAAAAATATCAATTGTCACGATGCTTTTACATGAATTTTGTGAGTACATTTTACATGAGAACTTTTATTTTGCATAAAATGTGTGTATCTTGTCATTAGTAATTGCAATTATGGCTCTATTAAATCGTAAGATCTAACAGTTCTATCATAATTAATAGATCGATTTATGGTGATTTGCAGCTTCCGACATCAATTTTGGGAGAAAATAAAAGCTAAAAAAAGCATAAAGTACCAGCAAATTAAAAGCTTGTAACAGCGAGTAAAGAATTGCAACGGAATTGGTTCAGCTTTTGAAAAGATTCCTGAATCTTGATTCGAACATTGCCATTCTCCTTCATCTTTGGATGTTTTTGTGAAGTCACAACGGAATAGTACTCGATCCAATCCCATCTCCATGATCGTTCGCATATACTTGTTGAGGAATTTACGCTTTAATGGCGAAAGGTAACTGTAAATTGGCAATGAAATGAGAACATGAGCGAACGGCTTACTGATATGCAATCGTTTATCTGGATAATATTGACAGAATTTCGCTCTCATGTGCTTTATTGATTCGATTGATGAGAAAGCAATCACCTCGCCTGCCGGTGATTTGCCCAGTAACTCATGACTGGGAGTCTCTTTAATCAACTTATCCTCATATTCCTTATAAATTGGCAATCCTTTTACTGATGACTGACAAATGGCGTAAAGCGTTGTGAAGCTGCTTATATTCCTCTTATCCAAGTCTTTCAATGTTTCAACAGTTGGATATTGTTGAGCCACTGTTAGTTGAGTCGAGAAATGGACTGATAAAAGCACTCTGATGTAACCAATTGAACAAATTGTTGCCAAGAAAATTATTATTCCATATTTGGTAATCTTCATAATAGGCATTGGCTGATGATCATCCTGTTGATTGAATATTAAAGAAACTGAGAGTGAAAATGAATTCTTCAATCGTTTTATCATTGGTTTTATCGGTTTGTTAACAATCAAAGAACAAAGTATTACACAAATCACCAGAACGATAAATACATTGATTGAAAATATCGATATTGAGTCAACAGCATCAACAAATTGTGAACTTGCTGGAATCGTATGAACAACAACACAAATGGATGAACCAAAAGGCAAAGACAAGGTGACATTCGGGAAACTATCGTTGTAAATGGTTACCACTGGTTCGAGCAGCACATCGATGGATCCGTTCATATGCATTTTAGTGCTATAGCTCGTATTGTATTGAGATTTATAATTAAAGAGAGTATCAACGATTTGCTTAAAACATGAGGTTGACTTTTTATCATGGATTAAATCATAAGCACCATCTTTCAAACCAACAGTGATGACTGATTCAACCATTTTCAATGGACTTCAAATTCAAAGTCTCATAACTTTGGTTAAAGTTGTTGACAAACCATTGAATCACAAATGAAGAATGAAATATCAAGTTTCATCAAATTATTTGAGTGTAAATTGGATTTACTTTACCAGTATATTTGCTTGTTGAAACGCGAATGAAAGATATGAATCATTCAATATCGTGTTATATTTAATGATAAAATGAAACAAAATTACTTTTCCACAAAATTCAATTTGTTCGAGACAACCTCTGTGGATACTAAGTTTCATTAAATTTATATTTTCTAATATTAATTATACAAGATCAATTTACTTTAATTAATCCAATTTAATTTACCAAATTAACTGAATGCTGATTATTATTGAATAACAATATGCATTTTTATTTCGATACAATATAAATACAAAAAACAGGGTCAAACATTAAATTTTGCCTAAACTGATCGAGTTCTAAAGAAAATTTTTACATCTCATGAAACCCATGATTAAAGAACACCATTTCGAAAATAGTTAGAGTTTAATCAAAATTCAGGTTACTGGGGAAATGGCCTTCATACAGCATGGAGGAAAAGATGCAGAATAAGTATCTCTTGCTATGGAATTTGAAGAAAAAACTTTTTTGGTTCAGTTTCGTGGATGTAAAACCTTGTCTCTCGAGCAAAGGTTTCGTGAAAAACCCAACTGCACAAAAGGACTTGTCAACTCAGTTTTGTCAAAGACTGTCGTTCAGAGAAACTTTTGATCACATAAATGGTCTCGATTTCATGTCCATACAATCGACTAAAAACCAACTCTCAAGACCAATCAAAGGCTCTTTAGTCCAGTCTATACTTGAATATATTCTAAAGAACTTTAAGCTATTTCATTGATTTCTGTGTGATTTTTAAACTGTCCATTTTGTTTTTCTGAGCTGACGAGACTTTTAAATCATAAAAAGATCATTTGTAGTTCAGAACCGTTGTTGTATTCAGTAAAATGAATTTCAGATCATTTGCCATTTTGCTAAAGACGATCGATCGATAATTTAAGCATAAATGATTGATTTTCAGTTTCCAATCTCTGTAATGCCAAGATTTGTTAACAAAAATAGCGGTTCAACAGTTAATTAGAGTTAATGGTGAATAACCATTAAAATGAAGCAAAATATTGAAAAAGGCGCTTCTCTTCCTCTGGTTACTCCCCTTGACTCCCTTGGTTACTCTTCTGGTTACTCTCCTTCAACTAATAACAATGGTTTTCATGTTTAATGTTATTAAAGCCTCTTGTTTTTGTAATGATGGTTAACTACAATTAGTAAAAGGTAATCACAATTAGTATCACGATTCTCAGTCAATAAGCCATTAATCTCCTTGTTTCACCCAAACCATAAGTTTATGTAAAGATCACCTTTGAAAATGAGTTGAACTCTGTCACATATTAAAACAAAACATGTTTCATCTTTTACTCTTTGTATGTTTTCATTTGGACACAATCAACTAACCACATCATCATCATCATCTTGATCATCATGGAAACTGTTACCTTCAATGAATCAACTTTTGGTGTCTCGGTCTACTGATTTATTGTCCACTTCACATTATCATTTGCTTGTCTCCAGTCTTTTCATTATTTTATCATTTCTCTGGCTTTTCACTTTTACCTGAAAACCATAGCCAAAGTCCATTCCTCTTTACCTTGAACTGTTAATCGATTAGATTATTGATTACAATCATGGTGACCATTAATAGTTAATAGTCCTGTTGAATTTTCATTTTTACAAACAAAACCAACAAAATACTTTTTCACAGCTCAATCCAATAAGTCAATTTATCCCATGAATTATTATTAATATTTTAACTCAATCTTCTCAAAGTTTCTGATTTTTTTACCTTTCCGATTGCAATTACTTTCATTATATGATTCCAAACTAATCTAGCCTTCACTAATCTCGAACCATTTACTTCGATTTCATCTTTAATTTGTTAATTTTAAATTCCTTAGCCACAACTCGAAATAGCAATTACAGATTAATGGAAGCAAATGTGCCCTATTCGTGATTTCATTTGCTCGTGTTTCAATTGAACCCAATTTTGGGTTACAGTAATTGTTAAATTGAACCATTGTTACTGATTTCAGATTTATTATCTATTTTTAGGTGGAGTTGATTATGAAAATACATTAAGGTTATAGTTAATTTAATGGATCAACCTTTAATAGAAAACAAAATTGGTTCATATTAAAGTCACTTTAATAATCAGTTTATTCAAATCATTTTGTCTCTTCACTTTCCTATCATTCAACTGTATTATTGAGCGCAAGATTTGGCATTAAAAGACTTTAACTTATCAGCTTCAGGTTAGTATGCAATTAAAATGTGATTTAAACATTATCATCATTTCCCTCCACAGAATGAGACTGAAAGTTCTGAATAATGAAGTCCTAGTTGCATATTAGTTCATTTGAGGATAAATTGAACTTGAAACACAATTTGCGTCTTTTATTCGGACCTTTAATTGAAACAACATTTGAAAATGAAACAATTGTTAAAGTCATTGACTGATTTGCTTGAAACTTTTATTCGATAGATTTTGATTCATTTTCCTGGCAATAAACACACCCAATGAAATCTATTAACTACAATTTACATTGGTCTTGTGGGAATAAAAGTAAAGATTTTTGGGCCAAAATTAACACCAATTGAAGTCTATTTTTATTTATCAATTTCAATTTGTTTCTTTGAAAACCTATCAATATATTGAATCAATTCATTGTTTTCTTTCCTTTCATTGAGAAACACTTTTCCAGTTTAATTGACAATTTTATTGTTACTTTTACATGATTGACCTATCATTATTATAATGACAATGTATTAACCGGAAACTGGATCAATCAATTGATTAAATTGGCTTATTCAATATCAACAAATTGGCAAATCTTTGTAAAGCCAATTCAAGTGACTTGTCGATGAGAAATCAAGTTGACAGTTGAACTGAAAATTGAATTTGAATGGATCGACACGAAACATGATGTTAATCCTTTCAATTTTAACGGCTTCATTATTCAGATTCTGTTGACAGTACAAATTAAAGCTGTGACTGATCATTAAAATGCTATGTAATGAGGCTTCTAATCAGGGCGTAGGTTTGATTCCTATTGGGTGCGGTTGGGCTGAGTTGCTGCTCTGTTTGGGCGTTTGACTCGTCATGAATATTCATATCGAACATCTTTGGTTCTTTGATAAGACAAGATCAAAAGTTGAACATTTTCATTGTTTTCAATGTTAACCAGAAAAATAAATTCGATAAATTTGTTCTCCTAGAATCTTCAAAATCAACTGATAAACTGAGTAAATATGAAGACAAGGAAAGCAAACAAATGAGTCGATTGGGCTCAACAGAAGTGGACAATGAATAAGCACTGAAAGTGGAAAATGTTTAAATTGATTTACTTACCCGATGTGATAATTTTTTCATGTTTGAATTTCTTGTTGGTACCAACGCGAAGGTCTAAGTTACAGGCCGAGTGGTTTGCTTATTGAACGCCATTATCCTGTTGTCCACTGTTGCTTGCATGAGCAGTGGACAACAAGAGAAAGGTGAACAATTCACAATCAACAGCAAAAAATCAATTGAAAGAAATGGAAACATGTAAAGAAACATTTCGTTATTGGAATAATTACAAGAATCCAAATTAATGGTTGATAGTCAAGTAAAGATACAAAGATATTACTTTAAAATTGTAGTTGAGAAGCGATGAAGAGTATTCAGTTGATGTTCATTTGATGAAATGTCTAACCAAAGTGACCTTTCAGTTAAGATGGACTCAGGACTTTTGATGTAAAGAGAGACTCACTTGATAGCGAGTGGTGAAGAGAGTGAGAGTGAAAGAGTGAGTGAGAGAGAGGTTCGAGTGATTTGTTTGTGTCTTTCACAAGTTAAACTTATCAAATTGCTATGGAAACAAATGAAACTATCTAAATAATTAGCATATCATCTTCATTGAACCTTAAATTGGACTGATCGCATCACTAATAACATCCCTGACTAACTGGCCTTTACTCTTGTTTATCTGTCACTTGATCTTGTCCAGCTTCTTTAATTGTCTTTTTATTCTCATTCGCCCTTTACCCTGAAGGATATGAATAATCATTAACCGCACTTTGATTTAGAATGAAAAATCAGTCGGAAATTGTGATCATCAAACAATATTTTAACAAAAAAAGAGAAAGAATGAAATTCCATTGATTTTTATTTAAAGTTATTAGTTGACTTTACGAGGTAAACAGACCATTATGTATCAATCAACTGATATTAATTAGTCAACTTGACTAGCAAATGCCACTATTCATGTGTATTCACCTCATCTGAATATGAATTATCCTCGTTTCTGTGATAACCTTTTGTTTCACTGACATTCCGGTTGAACCTTGGAAACAACAAAATGAAAACAAATTGTGGTCAACATGGAGACATGAGAAATTCACTGCTTTTTTAACTGGAAAATCATTAATAATTGCAGATTATTTATTCTGTGAAATGAATTCATCCTGAAGTTGACTAGTGATTCAAGGAATTAACCATTAAATCATCAATCAACCTATCAACAGCATAATCTGGTCAATCTGAATGTTTCATTGAAAGTGAACAGAACAGTGAATAAAGAGTTGATTTTCCGTAATTTACAACTTTAATCAATCTCCAGAATCTCGAGTAAACTTTTGGTTTCATCATGTTCTCTGCATGACAATTGTTCGCCATTGATACTTTCATATTCACAATGAATGTTGAAGTGTCAGCTAATACAATGAAAGTCAATGGCGATGGACAATAATCGTTATGCTTAAGTAATATCAACTCTATGATAAGTTATACAGTTTATCATCTAACAGTTTGGATATAAAAAGATGATAAAATCTGTCATCCATGTAAACTCGTAAACCGTTAAGTCGACAATAATTGTCCCATTCAAATGGCTTGATTAATTATTTAACCATTAACCTGAGAGTTTCGAGGATTGTTTTGTTTATGTTTTCATCATTTTACGATTTACGAGTTGACCTCAACATTAAATCCATAGTTTTGTCATGTACAACTTGCTGTCCACAACATTAAAAATTTGCTTTTATATTGACTGGCAAAAAAATAATCAATAAATCGTGATAAAAAGGGAACAAAAGTCACAAAGAATTGGAAATTAATAAAACAAAATTGAACAAAATCAACAATCATTGCTCTCATTTTATCCTAGACTTTTCAGCAAATTGTTGCTCGATGACAATTGAATAAGCATTTGATTGCAACTTGTTTCATGTATTTATGCATTCATTATCATGGGAATCCTGGCTGAATACAACTCATTGTTGGTTCTGTCTGTAAATTGGACAAATGTAAGCTACTCTTTCCGTGACTCTGTTAAGTTTCATGGTAACACGGAAAAACATTAATGATGATTGAAATCAAACAGAGAAGTTAAAGTGTTTTTCAATATTTTAGATTATCTTTTGAAAGAAATGACAAAACCACAGAAAAGGTCATTCGATTTCATTTGGAACTTTCTTGTTTTAATTGACTTGTGGCGAAAATTTCAAAGCTCAATGGACATGAAAGGTAATAACAGTTACTTACGTTTGAGTTTAATTGAACAATCAATTGGAAGCCATCGAATCATTGAATCGGGTTAATGTAACAGTAAACTTGAATGAAAATGAAAGTTAAAGTGAAGTTGAATACACATTTAAAAAACATTAAGAAACATAACAATGAAATGGACGAGTGAATGGCTAATGTTATGTAAGTCTCTAAATTTAGTTGTGATGGCGAGAGATTTTATTGTAATAACTGGGAGTTAGTGAGCATTGGGTATAAAGATCTGGGTGTGTCAAGGTATGCAATCCAATGGATCTTCAATCAGTAAAGATGAGCCCAAAATTAAGTGATGAATATGTTGCTAACGCCCTGAGTTAAGATACAAGCTAGATTATGCTTGGGTTAGATTGAAGGGAAGAAACAAAATCTTTCGTTTTTTTGTCATCAAGGCTAGGAAGATGCAGATGATAGGAATGGAGATAAAGTGAAATCGATTTTTGATTAATCATCATGAACAATATTCAATTTCCTGAATGTTTAGTCTTTTAGTTCAGTTTTTTATTCTTTATTTTAACTAACAATATGCAATATTTAACTTTGCCGGTCATTTTATTCAGATTAGCTTGTGTCACCATCTCCATGGGGATAACTAGAGAAGCGAATTGTTTCAAAGTTTAAACTTCAATTAAATATTTATTATTATGATCAACTAATGTTTTTATTTTCATCCCGTTTGTGGTAATGTATCTTGATAGATCAATCTTTTCTGTTCGACATCGACCCTTCTCGTAATTATAGCAGTCTTTTTTATGCCTTATCTTTATTGTTTGGTGAGTATTGTATTATTCATGAGCTTTAAAAATGTAATTTATAAAAATGCATTTTATCATTCTAAACCAGATACTAATTGGAGACAAATTCTGGGAAATTCAAGAGTTTGGATGGTGATGTTGCGCTAGCAGGAAATGTATATCCAAGTCACACATCGAAGATGTCCATATGACGAAAATGGAAACAATTGAAACTGTCCTAACCGATTCTATCATACAACAAACAAATTCAACCCTGAAAGAGAAGACATATTTAAGCAGTTAGAAGAGCTTCTAGATTAAGTAGAGTCTCAGTATGTCCATGGACTTGTTCCAAGAGGTCAATATACAAGTGGTAAAGGATCTTCTGCTGTTGGTTTGACGGCTTATGTTACAAAAGATGCAGACACTAATCAATTGGTACTTCAAACTGGCGCTTTGGTATTATCTGATGGTGGTATTTGTTGTATTGACGAATTTGACAAAATGACAGATTCTACTCGCTCAGTTTTACATGAAGTTATGGAACAACAAACCCTTTCAATTACCAAAGCTGGAATCGTTTGTCAACTTAATGCTCGAGCTTCCATTCTCGCTGCTAATCCAGAATAGAAATTGGAATTAGTGGAATAAAAACAAAACGATAAAGTCGATATCTGAATGAATCTTGTTCGTCTACCATTTATTATGAACTTAAATATGACTATGTTTTTAATTAACTTGTGAAATGCGATCAAATGCTATTGAAGATCTTCAAAATGAAGGTTTTCTTGATCTTCCGAATTCATCAAAATCACGTTTGGTCTTTCAGAAATCTAGCCAATGTGCGATCAAAGTTGAGCATGTTTTAGATTAAATTATGATTTAATCCGATCTATTAGAAACTGCTTAATTAATTATTCACAATAGACGTGTTATAATTCTTATGATATCAAATTTTTTGAGGTGATTCACCTCACAACTCTTGTCAAAATCGGTTGTGTTTAACTTTAAGGGACTTACAGTAGGCATATAAATTTTTCATTCAACAGCTCAAAATTAGCATTGTCAATATTCTTTATGGATTTTATTATCTGAATTATTATTTGATAATCTGAAATCAGTTTTTTAATTGTTCAAAATTCAAGGAAAAGAGTTGTGATATTAAAACATTCAATTTTGGCGGTTGTAACTTAACATGAGGGAGTCTGAGTGAGTCTCTTAGGTGATGCTACGGAAACGGAAATTGATTTACTGTATACCGAATTAGTGGTGATAGTGACATTTTTTCAGTTAATTTGTTATCGTTTCTTGTTCCCATAATTTACGTTTAATCAAATTCTCATAACCGAAAATGAGTGCTGAAAATTTTGATTTAGTTCTTAAAGGAACCCTCGAAGGTCATTCTGGATGGGTTACCCAAATTGCTACCAACAGCCGATTCCCTAATATGATTTTGTCTTCATCTCGAGACAAAAGTTTGATCCTCTGGAAGCTAGTTAAGGAAGATTCATCTTATGGTGTACCGCAAAAACGACTCACTGGCCATGGTCATTTCATTACTGACGTTGTTCTTTCTATGGATGGTCAGTATGCATTGTCTGGATCCTGGGATAAAACTTTGAGGCTATGGGATCTCAACGTTGGCAAAACCACTAGACGTTTTGAGGACCATACCAAGGATGTTTTAAGTGTTGCTTTTTCCCCTGACAACCGACAAATTGTTTCCGGTTCACGCGACAAGACTATCAAACTTTGGAACACCTTGGCTCAATGTAAATACACTATTCATGAAGATGGCCATTCTGATTGGATTTCATGTGTTAGATTTTCTCCAAGCAATAACAACCCAATAATTGTTAGCTGTGGTTGGGATCGCGTTGTTAAAGTGAGTTGAGAATGTTTTATTCAATTTAATAGCGCTTTTTTCATCTAAATTTATCATTTTTTCATCATTTCAGGTTTGGAATTTGAGCAATTGTCGTCTTAAGAATAATCACATTGGACATACTGGTTATCTTAACACCGTTACTGTTTCTCCTGATGGGTCTTTATGTGCATCAGGTGGTAAAGATTACAAAGCCATGCTTTGGGATCTCAATGAAGGCAAACACCTTTACACTCTTGACCATAACGATATTATTAATACTTTATGCTTTTCTCCTAATCGTTACTGGTTGTGTGTCGCTACCGGACCTTCAATCAAAATCTGGGATTTAGAAACCAAACAAGTTGTAGACGAATTGAAACCTGAGGTTATTTCTACAAACAAAAATAAGGCTCCTCAATGCCTTTGCTTATCTTGGTCTGACGATGGATCAACTTTATTTGCCGGTTATACCGATAATCTTATTCGAGTTTGGCAAGTAGTTCCATCAAGAATGATGTAATTATCTTATTCAACAATTCAAATAAATTAATAAACTGATAAAACCTTTCGGACATTCTAATTTACTGTTTTAATTGCTTTTGAGCAAACGTATTGAGTTTTTTCAGACAAGTAGACAAGAAAAATGGGTAAGAAACAAAATTCAAGATCTAAAGATTCGGTGATGTTTGACTCTTACATGTATTTTATAGTGATTGTACAGTTACCATTCAGAAACTGCACCTTTCCGAAACTACACTTATTTTTTCAATGGTCCCTAAGCAGGAGTTGGATCTACTTTTGTTTTTCGAGATCTAATTTCGATTCGATTTTTAATTACCGATTGACTTTATGCAATATTCTTTCGTTAAATTTCGATCCAAAAATTCGCAAAATCAGACTAAAGCTAAATTTCAGGTTGAATATCCTCTATCAAGAAAGATTGAAAATCATGAATTATGTTGCCCTACCAACAGTGCAAATAAGCTATTTCTGGTAGCTGTAGTTTCAGAACGATGGCTGTAACCTTTTAATAATATCACTTGAACATTTTATAACCCATTTTAAAAGACAAGATAATTTGTTCCTCGTCGACCTTGACATTGGATTAGGGATGATTTGAGATCAAATACTGCACCCTTTGTAAGTTTGGTACGAACATATACTTTGCGAGTCTACTGGTTTATGATGTGTTTGCTACTTCCGAAGTTATCCCATATCTGGGAAATATGATGTTAATATTCAGTTTTTGAATCTCATTTCCGAATCTTCTTACAGAAAATGAAATTCTATTTAATTTAGAACCGTAAGCAAAAACTTTTCCAGCTTTAAATGATTAGTTAATATTTAGCATTACTATTTAGTACAGTTTCGATTCATGGACTTGTTCATATATTGATTATTCGTTTATTGATCAATCAAACTGCTTTTAAATACATTGTACTTCCATTGATTTAGCACCCCATTGAGTTCACGCATCTTAATCTCGAAAGTTTATACAATCTTTAATTTATTAGACAATAAGGTAAGGCTGTAGAAACATCCGTAGGTAATGATACAATCAGTATCAAACTGGATTCAGAACTAACCGGAAAGAACATGCTTCATTACTGGTCAAGTTATCTCTATTCTAAACATAACGAACGGATGCGGGAAGCAATTAAAACGGGTGCTAACCAAAGAGGTTAGCACCCGTTTTAATTACGCGAGGTCTCTTTAGTGCTAACTCAATGAAAGCCTCGGTATTTAATTCCGGTTTTAAAATCCAAAGGTTTATAGGTGCGCCACCTAGAAACGAAATTATAAAGCGCGCTCACAATTGAATCGATAGAATCGATCGTAACAACAAAGAGTTGGCGCCAATTTTTTCTCTTTAACAAAAAAAGTCTGCCCTTGTATCACACGGTTTAAACTTCTCAAAATTCCTTTTAATTTCTCTTATTAACGTTTAAGTTTTAAGTTTTAAGTTTTTTACCAATTTGTCAAAATGTCATCTTCACCATCTTCTCGTCGTTCAGCTAGAGTCTATCAGTTAATGTCTGAGAGCAGTGAAGGCTCTAGAAGAACTTCACCGCGTAACTCACAAGCAGGTACGCCATCAAAAAGATCTCGTGCTTCTAGAGGAACACCAAGTCGTAGTTCAAGAAGGCTAAACCCAGAAGGTGGGGATGGTTTGGATGATAATAGTACCATCGGTGGATTTGAGTCACTTTTGGATGAACAACCTCCTGCATCACAAAGAACTCTTGATGCTGCATCAGAAAGAGGATCAGAATTGGGCTCTAGACGTGGTTTGAATCTTGGTTACATCTTGAGTGATCCATTCGAAGGTTCTTCACCATTAAATTTTGGTTCTAGTGAAGGAAATATAAGATCTTTGAAAAGTCCCTCTCGCAGCCATGGTTCCTTCAGAAGAGCAGATATAGCAACTGATTCCAGACTTTTACGACAAATAAACATCAGCGATGTGCATCCTGATAGAGGCGATGCATCCGAAGGGAGTCGTCTTCCTGATGTGGATGATGTGCGATCTCAAAGCTCGCAAACAGTTATTGATCCTCAACTTGTAATTTGGGGTACGGATGTTTCCGTTTCTGTTTGTAAAGCAAAATTCAAACAATTTATTCGTTGGGATGGGCTTGATATTGCCTCACTTGAACCTGATGAATTAGATTTGGTGAGTATTTCTTAAGCTAGGAACATTTTGAAATTTTCATAACATAACATGTATTGAATCATTCTTATAATCATCTTGTAGTTAAACTCTGATGGAAATGGTGGACGAATGGATGTCGATGCTGATGCACCAATCAGGAAATCTCTTTATCTTCTGAAATTAGAAGATATTTATGCACTTGGTGATTATCCGTACTTGGATGTGAATTGTGCCCATATTCATCAATTTGATGCAGACCTGTATCGCCAATTGATAAATTACCCTCAAGAAGTTATACCTGCTTTCGATATGGCAACAAACGAATTATTCTTTGAAATATATCCAGATGCACAGCTTTCAGACCCAATCAACATAAGACCTTATAATGTTATGCAAAAAGATAATTTGCGTTCTTTAAATCCCGAGGATATAAATCAATTGAAAACCGTTAATGGTATGGTAACCAGAATTTCTAACCTCATTCCTGAAATGAAAACAGCATTCTTTGCCTGCTCTTTATGTCAATCAACAAGTTCTGTTGAAGTTGACCGCGGTCGGATTCATGAACCTACCTTATGTCCACATTGTAACACGAAATATTCATACCAATTGGTTCATAACATGTGTGAATTTATTGACAAGCAGCAGATAAAGTTGCAAGAGTCACCTGATGATATGCCTGCTGGCCAAACTCCGTACACTGCGTTACTGTATGCTTGTGCTGATTTGGTTGATTCTGTCCAACCCGGTGATCGTGTTACAGTTACAGGAATATATCGGGCTTCTGCGATTAGATCGAATCCTAGACAGCGTAGTGTGAAAGCTATTTTCAAATCACATATTGATGTTGTACATTTTCGTAAGCATGATAAAAATCGTCTTCATTCTGATGATGCTAAATACAAGTTTACCCCTGAAAGAGTGGACAAAATTAAACAGCTATCTCAGCTACCAGACCTTTACGAAAGGTTAGCACATGCCCTTGCACCGAGTATTTACGAACACTTAGATATCAAAAAAGGTATTTTACTGCAACTATTCGGAGGGACTCACAAAGAACCAACTAATGATAATGCAAAGCAAAAACATTTTCGATCTGAGATCAACATTCTTCTTTGTGGAGACCCAGGTACAAGTAAATCTCAACTTCTTCAGTATGTCTATGGACTTGTTCCAAGAGGTCAATATACAAGTGGTAAAGGATCTTCTGCTGTTGGTTTGACGGCTTATGTTACAAAAGATGCAGACACTAATCAATTGGTACTTCAAACTGGTGCTTTGGTATTATCTGATGGTGGTATTTGTTGTATTGACGAATTTGACAAAATGACAGATTCTACTCGCTCAGTTTTACATGAAGTTATGGAACAACAAACCCTTTCAATTGCCAAAGCTGGAATTGTTTGTCAACTTAATGCTCGAACATCAATTCTCGCTGCTGCTAATCCGGTTGAATCCCAATGGAATAAAAACAAAACAATTATTGAAAATATCCAGCTTCCACATACGTTAATGTCCAGGTAAACTTCAAATTACAAATTATATTCGTTATTCTTTTATTGTAATTATAACAAGGAAGTTCTCTAATTGATTCATTATTATTTTATCCTTTATTTTCAGGTTTGATTTAATATTTTTACTTCTTGATCCTCAAGATGAAAATTACGATAGAAGGCTTGCTCGACATTTAGTTTCACTTTATTATCGATCTCGAGAAGAAGAGGAAGAAGAACATCTCGATATTGGAGTTATTCGTGATTATATAAGTTACGCTCGAATGCATTGTTTCCCTAAATTATCCGATGAAGCCAGAAGTGCCCTTATTCATTCTTACGTAGAAATGCGTAAAGTTGGAATTGGTAAAGGGATGGTTAGCGCTTACCCTCGACAACTTGAAGCCTTAATTCGTTTGGCCGAAGCTCATGCTAAAGTTAGATTATCTAATGTTGTTACTCTTGCCGATGTTGAAGAAGCTAAAAGACTCCACAGAGAAGCTATCAAACAGTCGGCAACTGATCCAATATCCGGTAAAATTGATGTTTCCATCTTGACTACTGGAATGAGTGCCTCTATACGAAAGAAACGTGCCGTTATTGCCAAAACTTTGAAAGAATTATTGATGAGCAAAAGTGTACATGTTGGATCAAGTCAAGATTCACACCAATTCAGCTCATCAACTATTTATCAAGAACTTAAATCGGATTCTGATGTTTTAATAACTCGTGAAATGTTTGAAGATGCACTTAAAGATCTTCAAGATGAAGGTTTCCTTGTTGTTCTTGCTGGTAAATTCATCCGACTCACACATGCAGAAATTTAACCGGTGTGGAATCAAACCTTTATTGAATGCCTTTCTATTCAAGTTATCAATTTCATCTATTTGATATATCATTCATGTATATCGTGATTAACTTTTACTATTGAGAATGTTTTCATTTCACACTTTCAAAGTATAAAATATCATTCGAAATTTTAAAGTTCACCTTGTATTTTAATGTTCTAACTGATTGTGCCATTTTTTCTAAATTGAATTCATTCATATTCCCAAATTGAATATTTCGCAGCTATAGTCTGTTAATGGCCTCGATGATGATTGTAATCGATTTGATGGTGTTTATTGTGCAATACATTGACCCACAACCAAATGATTATTCGAACATGAAAAGTTTTCAATCTGAGAGCCTAATACATATTTTAGGTATGCGATTTATTCAAATTTCCTCGACTTGAAGCAACTCGATTCGATTTAATTGAGCTTTAGTCTTAATTAAATTGATTATTTCGTTTAAATTTATATTTAATAGGGACTGTTAGTTATATTAGTACGAGAATTCAATTCCGAGAAAATTTGATGTAAATCTGGTTATGATGATATAAAGGCGAAATTGAGAGTAACCAATAAATGGTAACTCTTTGATAAGAGAATGATGAATATCTGAACCACATTTTCTATCTTACCCAATAAATTTGAAATAAACACAATTTTTAAAACGAATAAAAATGGATTATTCAATTCAGCATGAAACAAGTTTTATTAGCAAATGTCTTTGTTCATGTAAACAGTTTAATCGGTTTAATCTCGCTCAAATTTTGATTCAAACTCATAAATTCCAACTGATTCGTTAGCTTTTTCATCATAATCAGCCCATTCACCATCTTGAAACTCAACCGCAGAAAAAACTTTTCCACTTTCAAGGCCTTCACACACAAAACCGTCTCGTGGTTGGTAATCAATGGGCTCAATTCCTCGGCAATCAAATACAATCAGCTTCTTGAACTTTAGACTGTCATCAGCATTGTAACTTCCAATAGTTTCTGGTAAAATGGCTAAAAAACGAAATTAAAGTAATGAGAAAATTGCATATCTCTCGAGTCTGATAAAGATTTGTAATTATTCGTAAATTCTTACAGATGGATGAGGTGATTGAGCATAATTTGCATTTATAAACAAAATGAGCCTCTCCCCGGCTTCCCTTTAACTCGTATGTTTCCTAATGATGAAATGTTAATAAAAAAGAACATAAACGAATATGAATAAAAAAATTCATGAACACTTTCCAACTCGTTACTGATCATTTACCTTGACTGTAAGTTGATGCCATTTATCCGACGCCTCATTACAACTGTTACATTTAACCTGGACCATAATAAAGCATAATACTGTACTTTAGTCACTGAAAATAATCAAATATCGTACTATTATGAGAAGTTGTTCCATGAATCTTACGGCTTACCTTGATAATCCATTCGAAATCATCATTAGCTGGTTTTAAATTGGTTACATTTTCCAAGTTCGCTTTAACTTTAAGAGCGATTTTCTGTGAAAACAGAATCAATAAAGCAGAGTTATGGCATTGAAATTCAATGAATTAAAAGGAGGGCATTACTCTAATCAAATACATGAAAGATACTATGAAGGACACACTGAAAGTTAAATTGTGAATAAGATAAGAAAAGGCCAGTTTAATTGAAATTTGATTGGAAATGAGAATGAAAATAAACAAAAAGAGCTCTTACCACCATTATCTAACAATTTTGCAGACTTTTTTACGATGTTCCAACAATGATTATGGTTATGGTGATAAGTTATAGTGTAGATCACTACAAATTTGGGTTGGGAAGTTAGCCTGAGGTTACAATTAAAAAAGTTAGTGTTTGGAGTCAGCTTGAATAAAATTAACTTTTTTTCTCACACAGACACACAAAAAACGAGAAAAAAAGAAAAAGAGACAGAAAAATAGACAGAGATATAAAAGCTCCACAGGGATGTGATGATTGAGGATAGAGCGGCTTATTTAATCATGGCTTCAAGCAAATACTAAATAAATTGCTAGGCTTCAGTATTTGACTAGAGCAATCAGAAATAAAATTTAATTTCGATGCGAAAATTTTCTCGGTGAAACATTGAACCATAATAAAATAAATAGATTTAATAGATTCGCTTAAATAATCTGAACAAGTAAATTAATTTTAAATTGTTTTCTTTTATCGCGATATCAAGTGAGTAAAAACTGTTGCAATATGAATATCAGGGTTCTAGAAAGGGGAATAAAGCATGTAACAGAATGAAAAATAAAGAAATGGAAAGCAATGTCATTCAACTTTGATCTAAAACAATTTTATCACATGAAAGTCAAGATTTTTTCCCATATTTTACCTCAAATCAATCAACTTTTTTACCCTCACTTGATAAACAAAATATCAATTGTAACATAGATGATATTGAACTTGCGATCAACAAGTTGATTACAAAATAGGAAGTACACTCACAATGCCATGCAAATTGTTGCCATATCTTTCGCTCATAAATTAAGGTTTTGTTTTGTTCCATTTATTTGCCTACAAGATAAACATCTATGTTAAGTTGTAAAAAACGTCACCGAAATTTTGTTTAGCTTGTCTCGCTATGTCGTTTAATGTTTGTGAAAAGGCTCGTCACCACGAGTAACGTTGGCGAGTCATCGAGAATATTAACATTTCTTTCAAAAATGTGTACATTGTTTAAAAATTATCTTAATAAAATTTATGAGATTACAGACAAAATTAATTTATTATTTCATTCATTAGAAATTGAAATCAGTGAGAAAAAGTATTATTTGATTTAACAAGAAAAAGACATTTTTATAACAGATTGACGTTTGGCTTAAAGTATAGATTGGTCATTTTTCAGAAAATGGCAAATTATATCATTTTATCAATGAGTAAATGATTCACTTTGTAGTGTGTATAAATAATAGTTTACAGTGCATCATCCCGGACAATCAATAAGTCTGTTGATGAGTCTTGTGAGTTTTGTGCATGTTTTGGCTCAAATTGATCAAAGAAAGGAAGCAAGTAAGCAAGGAAGAGGTAGAGATAGTGAAATGGAAGACGTGACAAATGAGATTGGAGGAATAAAATGAAAAAAACTTAAGCAGGGTGTGCGTTCTTCAAGATTAAATAATGAATTCATTATGATATTCCAATGATGTCTGCTTCCTACTTTGCTTGCTTTTTGGTTCCATTCCTTGATGTACTTTGATTTAACTCATTACTACATTCGTATTCATAAATGGGTGGATGAAGCACATATTCGTCGAAATACACATGATTAAGGGCCTCCTTGGCTGTTATTCTCAATCGAGGGTTAAACCTTAACATAGCCTATGAAAATAACGTAAAAATAAACAAACAAAAATTAAAAGTTGGAAATATGTATGTTAATCTAACTGTTCGTATATCTAATGTTTACCTTGAGAAGTTCGCAAGCATCAGATGCCATTTCGGGTATTAACACATTCAAATTGGCAGGTTTGAATCCAGCATATGCATTACATGAAAAATATGATTCTTCTGGCCATTCTGATTCTGATGGACTACCAATTACTGAAAAGATTTTACTTAGTTGATCGGCCTCAGATGCACCACGAAGAAATGGCTTACGACGGTGTAACTCTGCAAAAATACAGCCACAACTCCAAATATCGACCCAACTAGCATAGCTGGCTCCCAGTAAAACTTCTGGTGATCGATACCAAAGTGTGACAACAACTGATGTCAAAACACGTGAATCCTCGTAGATTCGAGCTAAGCCAAAATCAGCCAGTTTTACTCTCCCACTATTTGTAATAAGAATGTTTTGAGGCTTCAAGTCTCTGTGAACTATTCTATTGGAATGTAAAAAATCAACACCATTCAGTATCTGGTACATAATGTCCTGTAATAAAGAATGAGGCAAAGATAAAATAAATAAACATGAAACGATAAGCAAGATCTAGAGTAAAGTTTATTCATTAGTTAAAGATCTGGAGACTAACCAACCTTTATTCTATCAGGTCCCAAGCCAGGAGCTGGACATTTGTCTAAGTATTCGAATAAATCTTGTTCAATATATTCAAAGACGAGGTATAAAATTAATTGTTTTTCTTTTTCTAATCGTTTTGCGTAACAAATATCAAGCAACCTAAAAATAAAAGAATAGAAAGATAGAGAACGAGAATTAGCTCACATGTAACAATATAAATGTTTTTGTTTTGCTTTCTGTTGATGATGGTATCATTACATGATATTACGTGGCTTACAGTGTGAGTGACCACCGACGTAGCAGTAAAACTACAACAAAGGAAGACCTCCTAGCGGAGATTCCGGCCATTCTAATCGGCCTCTGTAAATAGCTCGAGCACGAGCTTTAACCAATCATATTTACTGATTCGTCGCAGGAATTAGACCGCTGGGCCACACCTGAAGTAATCATCAACAAACAAGCAGCAAACAATGCAACAAAGTTGCCGTAATGTTAAAAAGAGAATGAGCGAGTGAGAAGCAACAGCAACAAAGAAAAATAAAAGGAAGAAAAGGAAGAAAAGGAAGAAAAGGAGGGAATGAGACAAAGAAAATTTTCAACTTGATACATAATCTATGGCTAATCATGTTGATGAGTGTTGATACTCAAGGGTTGCTCTAGATGTTGTTAAGTGGTAATTCATTTAAAGGTTGAAGGGAAAGATTGGGTTGACTAAAATGAAGGAATCTCGAAAAATAAAGCAACAGAAAAGTAAAATGAAGAGTTAAAAAACAAGGACAGAAAGTGTAAGGGAAACCTGTTGATCCATGCGTTTGAAAGGATTAAGAAAAATAAAAATGCACATTTTTTCGATACAATAATCATTATTGTCATCATCACCATCATAATGCCAGATATTGTTAAATATATAAACTGTCTAGACAGATAATTGTCGAGATAAAAGCTTATTAAACATAGTTTTACATACCTTACAACATTTGGGTGCTCATACATTTCTAGTTGCCTGAGGAGAGCAATTTCTCTGATAAGAGTTGCTGGTACACCATCATCATAAAGGGCCACATTAACCTTTTTGATAGCCACAGATTGTCCTTCGTTAACTAAATCACGAGCCTTATAAACAGTACCATAAGCACCAGAACCAATGACTCCGATCTCTTCATAGTTGTTGGCTGTCGAAGAGGAAGTTAAACCAAAAGACATATTTTTCTTTTACACTCTTCTCTTGAATGTAAATAAAAACAATAAGATTTTTCAAAGATGTTAAACTATGGAACTATTCGTGACGTTAACCAACACAAACTACATTGACAAATAAATTAAATGATGAGAACTGAAGAGGAAAATTAATCAGCTCAGAATAAAAATCCACAGTTTATTTTACTCTAATAGCAGTAAGGCCATCTTGTATGACTTGTTGAGACTAGCTGCTGATGGTTTTGTAACTAAACAACCAATAACCAGAATCCTAACCTCAATACAGTTTCTCCCTCAAGAAACCTCAACAAACAACCAAAACTGAATGCCAAGCAAAGAGTATAAAACTTTAAACTTCTCACTCCAACCTAAAAGTGAGGCCTGTAAAACCCATAACCTTTGCCCATTTTTTTTCGGGAGCGCAAATAACAAAAGACAAATGAAACATGATTTTTGGTTAAATCGTTTTGAGTTAAATACAAACTCATTTTATTAAAAATTTAAATTCTGTACCAATCAGTACATTAGTATAAAATTTGGCATAAAAATATTATTTGTTCAATTTAACTCTTCAATACCATATGCATCCTCAAGATCTGAGTCTAATTCAGATTCTTCTGATGTAGTTGGGTCGTATGGTAAAACTTTGCTGAAATCAATTACACGTTTAGGTAATGGTGTGAATTCTTTTGGTGCTTTGGCGTTATCGTCTTCTGAGTCACTGCTCGATTCTTGTGCACGTCGCTCTGCTTCTTTCTGTTTTTTCAATCGCATTATCAATCTCTTAGCTCGTGGTAGTTTCTTAGGATCAAATTGAACAGGATCCTTCTCAGCATGCTCGCCCAAATAGCTTCTCATTCCATTATCGATAGCGCCTAGTAAATTTTGAAGACATTCCTTTTCTCCATTCTTCCATTCCTCTTCAAAAGAAGCGTCACTTTCGTCTTCATTGGCCTTTTGATTAACCGTTGTCAAAATTTTGTCCTGTTCCTTTTCACTGGGATCCGAGTACTTAGCATGTCCATTTTCAACTAGCCAATTTGATAGAAGATGAAATTTAGTTTCACAAGCCGACTTTTCCAGATGAAACCAAAGTCTAATAGAATAGCCATTTTCTTTAGATCCACTAACTTTTTTAATCCAGCAATCCTTGAATATGTCATCTTCGGTTCTGGTCAAGTCATAAATGGCATCAGGTTCAGGCGACCCTTCAACTCCAAAAAGCGAACACTTTATTGCCTGGAATGGCAATCTTTTTATATACTTTTCTTCTATGGTAAAACAACAATCAGAAGGAATCTTGCTCGTTTCACCCCAGTCAACAAAGAAAACTTGAACTAAATTTTCTTCAGGAAAATGTTGTTTGATTAATATACGGCTGTAAGATGTAAATGTATCTGTTTTGAGCATACCTATACCCAAACAGCCATTGCTGAAAGATTTCATGGGAGCTAGTTGAGATTTAGCTAATTCTTTCTCCAAATTTTCTAAACATTTGTAATAAGTTTGTCTTAGAATATAAAAAGTGTCAAGATTTTGGAAATGAGAAAGATAAACAAACTCGAGATCATCGGGAAGGAAGGCTTGTGATGCTGATTTAACCAAACTACAATTTCGCCATTTAATAGATAATTCAATTAGATTTACGTTGACCTGGTCAAACATTTTGTCATTTTTCACGGCTAAACCAGTATCAATTAAATCAGATTTTGGATTCCAACTGGTAACAATGACATCAAGAACCTTCAAGTTTTGGGTGATTTGCATATTATCAATCCAAAAAATGCTTTTTCTTTGCAAGCGTATCCAAGCAGATGCCTTTAACACTTTACCGTCACTCATGAATCTAGAAAGCGTTTCAGTTGGATTGTGAGTCCACTCCATGTCACCATCAACTGGTTTTATTCCTAGAAGATATGCTTTAAAAGCCAATGATGGATAGTCTCTCAAATTTTCAGGCAATTCAATTAATTGATTGGATAACGCTTTGCTTTGATGTCCAAAGTCAACAAAAGACACTTGTAGTTGATAAGGCGTATCTTCATTGAGTGGTGCGTTGGTTTCCTTTACAGTCAATTGGCCAAGGTTCTCTATGATTCGCACTCTATGCACAGTACCAAGAACTGCAAGTCCATATATCTTGCCAATCGTAGGTATTTTATCATCAGTGAATGGTCCTTGTTTATAAGCTTGTAGTTCATTCTTTATCGAGCGATAAAGACAAGGATATTTTACCCAGTGTCCATCTTCATTACGGCTATCACGATATTCAACAATACGAATGTAGAACTGGTTGATAGTAATGATATGGCATATCTCGAATTTCACCTGGCCATCCATAGGAAGATCTTCATTAGGTGATTCACAAGGCTTGAATTCGTGGCGATTAATACATATTGTAGATTCAAAAGGACAGAATCCAAAGGCGAGAAAATTTTCACATAAAGGCCGGTATGACAAGTTTCTCAAATTATTCAAGCAGGAGGGAATTTCACTGATTCGTCGAAGAGTTTGACACAAAAAGTGAGCATGATTACCATTAACAGGGGATAAAAGAAAGTGAGTATTTATCTGTTCACCATTCTTAATTAAATTAGACATTAAAAGAAATCTTATCCTGAATATATCACTATGAACAGGCATACTGTAATGCACGAGAGTGTCGATAAAATTGAGTTGAGGGACCTCTTTAATTTTATCATCGGTTATGATAGTGATTGCTCTGGGATGATTTTTGCATAAATCGATCAATTTAGCAATCTCATAGTTGAAGTTTGACGAATCGAGGGCAACTGGCTCAACATCCAAATCAGTCATTGCTTTAATCACAATATCAATTTCAGCATCATTAGAGCATACTATTGCGATGCGATTTAATGTACCTCTGCAAAGAAGACCATGAATCAAATCACCTAAATAGCTAATACGTTCTTCTTCGGCTTCAACAAAATGGACTTTATAATTTAAATCATGAGCGATAGCAGCTTCAAATAAATCACCGAAAATATTTATAGAGTTTTTCATATATTCCTTGGAAAAATTTGCAACTTCTTTCGTCCATGAATCAGCCAAAACCAGCATCGGTGCAGTTAGTAAGCTATTAAGATTGTCGTCATTTACACGCAATCTGAAGACATAATAGATAAAATAAGCGTAAGAACCATTGATTAAGTAGTTGTAATTTTATAAATTATTTCACAAACCTTTTCCTATATGAAGTAAAATATGATAAAACAATCGATTGAACAAACTCAGGTTGAATAGTGAATATTTTATCAGCATTATCGAAGACTAGCAGCGAACAGATATCGAAACGAATGTACTGTAAGATTAAAAATGAAACATAATGATTTAAAAAGACCATAATATAATGATTGTCATTTTATAATATATTTTTTTTATTTACTTAGCTGTAAATGTATTGTTTTAACTTACCCCATCTGCGATTAGTCTTTTAAGAGGTCCTGGAGTCGAAATCAAAATTTCACAGCCGTTCAGGAGTTTAAGTGGTACTTTTTTCTCATTGTCTATGGTGATGGTAAGAACACGAGGTTCCTTTGCGCCATCCAGTAAATCAAGACAGTAATCTCGAATTTCATACGCTTTACTCATTCCATAACAAACAATAACCACTTTCGGTCCTTCATCGCCATAAATTATTGCGGCAGGGTCCTTGTTTGCGAATTGAGTAGAGCTCAAAGCAGGAATCAAATACGCAAGAGTCTTACCGCTCTTAGGAGCTGATATACATGTAGCTGATCTTCCTCGAAATATTATTGGCCAGAGATGAGCTTGAACAGGAGTTGGAGTTGAAAAATTTTTTTCTTGAATTTTATGAAGGTAATCGGTTTCATAACCAGGAATCTGGTTAATCGAATCAACTGGATACGGAATGAATTCGCCGAAAGCAATACACTGCTTTTTAACCAAACCAAGATCAGGTAATTTGATGCCAGATATTAGCTTGGCAATGTTTTCATTTTCACGATTCAGAGTTGAAAAGCTATACATTGTTTAAAAGATTATAAACACAAGAAAAAATTAGCTATACTGATCGATGACAAAAAGTTAAATGACCAGATTAAAACAAATCTATTTCTAGCCAAAAACAAATAATTATTTGAATGACGAGGATGCTGCCATCTCTAATTAACAACTGTTAATTTTTTCGTTAAATAACTAAAATAAAAGATAATATATAGTAACTTAAAACAATATTGACAAGTGGAATACTTAAGGATATTTAAGTGGTAATTCATTTAAAGGTTGGAGGGAAAGATTAGACTAAAAAATGGAATCGCGAAAAAGAAAAGTGAAGTGAAGAGCTGAAAAACAAAAACAGACAGTGCAAGGGAAACCTTTTGATATAGCCGGTTGTAAGGATTGGGAAAATAAAATGTATATTTTAAATACCTTATTAACAGTCACAGATTGTCCTTCATTAGCTAAATCACCAGCTTTATGAACAGTAATATAAGCACCAGAACCAATGACTCCGATCTCTTCATAGTTGCTGAGTGTCGAAGAAGGATTTATCCAAAAAGACATAGTTACTTCACCTCTTCTCTTGAATTTAAATAAAAACACTTCAAAGATGTTAAACTATGCAGTTAATTGTGACTCAGATGTATTTCTGAACATATTACTGCAATGATCAAAACTCAGGATGAAAATTTAACCAGTTTAATACAAATTCAAAAGCAGTAATATTTGACAACTTCAAATCAACAATCGACACCCGATGGCGTAACTCAAGTCACCGATGGCGCCACATTACAGTTTTTAACAACAACCTGCAAATCACTGAATTGAAATCAGTTATGGAATGAAGTTAATGCTTTTCAAGCGATGTAGCTGTAGCACTTCATTAATCAAATGATATTGTTTAAAGATTTTTTATTGTTATTTGTTTGTTTATCCTCGGATTATCATAATTAACAAAATTGGAACCTTTTAAACACACTTTTTCTGATAGGTAAGTAATGTTTCATTTTATCATTTCTGACTTTTCAATACTTTCAAATTTTTATAAAGCTATTTGCGGATATTCTGTAGCCTTAACTGTTTTACCGTCAAGTTTCTCAAGTTTCCCCAAATATTAACAAAGATTTCATCGAATTTCATGCAAATTTTCCGCTTATTGCTAACTTAGTTTGATTTCATTTCAATAAACACCAATAAGAAAACAATTTTAAACTAAACTCATCTTTTTAGATCGAAAATCATGAAAGCACGTTGATAGACGAATAGTGTAAATAAGCTGTTTTCGTGTTAATCTGATTGTGGTAACTTCAATTGAAACTATGAGATTTCGCTTTAAAAGTAGATCGCTTAGACTAGCAGTTTAGGCAATAAGCATTTGAAAGATTTGTACTCAAAGAAGTCCTTGTTTCCTCGCCATCCACACCACACATCCAAACCTAGTACTTTTTCCCACTCATCAGTAATTATCATAGTAATCATCACCAATTGAGTGTGAACTTCGAACTGGTCAAATTGAATTATCATTGACCACTTGATAGAAGATATCGCTGTCTATTTGTAGATAAATTCACTTTCGGTTTTTACCGTTCGGTTTGCATTGTGGGGATTGGTGTGGATTCAAGTAGACCCTACTCAATGTTGTTTCTAGAAAATTTATATTGTTTGATATTTCTCTGATAAAAATAATTTATTAACAATAACAAATAAGATTTAACTCATCAGAATTTATCAGAAATTCGGAAATCATTCCAATTTTTACTGAACAGTTAGTGAGTTATCCATAAATATTTTGAACCACAGTAGATGTAATTGCTCCACTGTATTGTTGATCATATGAATCAGAAAAGATGTCACATTTCCCAGTTGCTTCAATAGCTTCAATAATGAACTAAATTTCTCAAATTTTTACTTTTTTAATCATCTTTAGAGCTATTTCATTGTCATTAACTGGCATCAACATTAATTAGATTTTTACTCGATGAATCAGCAGCAATAACAATCAATGTTTAGTCAGAAGGAATTCAGTTTTTCATCATGTTAAACAATAAGATGTTCAAATAATGAAACTTATTGTTTTGGATTGCAATGAAAGAAAAACAAAATGACAAAATAGCCAGTAAACTATGGTATTTTATTAGCGAGTTATCACTCAGGTTACATGGAATACTTCTGGTATCATCTTTCAATTGAAGACAATTTTACAATTATGTAGTTTTATAAAGCTAAATACCAGTGTTGAACCAGCATTCAAGGTTTGTTGTCCATTGTTAAAACGCTGTCAACTGTAAATTACAAATTGTTCAAATAGCTAAATGAATCAGTTTCTTGAGTAATTTACATTATTGATCCATTACCTTGATTCTTTTGTAATCAAATTGAACAATAAGATATTTCTGTTCCTTCCGCTCCTTTCATCTAATAGTTTCTAATATGGCTCTGAACAGTTCTGTCAACTCAAGTCCAAACCATTTCCATTCAACAAACATTAAAATTCTGGTTTCTCAAAGCAACTCACAATATTTGTCGTTTAACCCAAAATTTAAAGTGAATCACAGTGTGAAAAGTGATTGCGTTTTGGGTAAAACAAAAGGATTGTAGAGAGTGAAAGCTTTTGATTATTAATTTGATTTCTGATGAGAATTTGAACCTCAAATGCTAAGGCTGATGACCCAATATGAAATTAAGTAAATGACAAAAAGTGATAATCACATTACCATTACCATTATTTTTATTATTGTTACAAGTTTATATCAAGATACAGAATATTCCCAATCGCTTATAATAGCGAAAACGTTAGTATTTTTTATTCTATTCAAGGTTATCGGACTGAATTCAGTCTTACCCAAGTTTACACTTTTTTCATCTTCATCAGAAACTAGATGAAGTATGATCATTATTGCGTTGTATATCTTGTTAACTGAATGATGTTCAATAAAAGTTGAATGAATCGATGCGTAAACCTGTTAAAAAGTCACGGTTATTATGTTTTGTATCAAAAAGAGTAAATCAAAATAAACATAAAAAACAGGCAAAACAATCAAATAACTAAAAGGTTAAAACAGATGATAAGGTGAGTTTAACCTCAAGTTTACCCATTGATCAGTTAAATTACCAATAACTATAATCGTAACTATAATGAAATGAACAAAAAACACTTAAACTGTTAATAAAAGTGAAAACATGATCATTTGGGAAGCGAAAGTAAACTTCCTCAAGTAATTACCAATTTGTTGTAGACATTTCAAGCTGTTAAATGCAAGATTATTCAATACAAATGATATTTACCGCAATTCAAATCAGAGTTGAGTTCAATAATAGATTATGAATAATAAAGTGGATAAATTATTGAAAATAGATTGGTTTGGATCAAGACATTTCAAAAATATCAGATAGTTATGGTTAAATTGCAGCTAAAATAAGAATGATTAAAGTGGACCTTTTCTGGAAAAACATTGTAAATGTTTGATAATTTTGTTGATTTCAACGACAATTATGTATTTCATTTTGATATACTAAACACAATTGGAGTGAAAAAAGATGACAATTTATTCTAATAACATCTAATTTGTATTCTGTTAACCTCAATAACGATCCGATAGTTTCTTTTTAATTATTAAAGCTTCTCTTTTTGGATCATATCAATTAAAAAGAAAAAGATGATTGCGGTTGATTGGTTTACTTTGATTATTGTCTTTCTTCTGATTGTATTTAAACATGAACAAACAATTTACTTTTACTTATCATTCACCAACACAAATTATAGCAAAACATTTCGACTTAATGTTGCATATTCAAATTTTTTGTCACATTTCCATATCAGTTTATCCTTTTCTCACAGCTAAGCTAAAATAAGATACATTAGACCACAAATTAGGTTGCTTCACGCAACTTATCATTCAAATGAACTACTTTCTCAAATAAACTCATTATTCTGTCCTTTTAATTAATACATTTTTCTAGATCCTCAGAAAATTTGCTCAAGAATATTCAAAAACAATCAATCATAATCTTTTCTTTTCGTTTTTTGTTCACTCATAGGATGAGGTAAATTGATGGGAATCAGTTTACCATTCATTTGGTTAAAAAAGGCGTCCAAATGATAAACTGGAATAATTGCGAGAAAAAATTGGATTGAATTGTCAACGGATTGCTCGAAGGGTTAATATCCGTATTTACCCATTCGTTTCTTATGGGTCGTAAGCGTGAAACAGGCAGTTGTTTTGAAGCCAATTTGATTTACTCGCTATTTTGTGTGATAACCATGTTGAATAGTGTTGTCAATTGTCAATTAATTAAGGAGATCAACCGTGATTATCATGGAGATATTTTCATTCTCTCAAGTGATTTCGTCTCTTGCGATCCATCTTTGTGTACTGAAGATCAAAGATTTGCAGCTCCAGTTAGTGGTCATCCGTGTAAATGCCAATGCGATCCATCGAAACAAGTTTTTCGTGAAGACATTCAACAATGTGTTAGAGATTTAGACGGTGAGTTCCACTTGAAACCATTTCATGTTTTATCCTTGATTAGCTTTGTTTCTATTAATAAATTATTCTAAAAGAAAGAAAAGGCAAAAGGTAAAAGGTAAATAGATTATTAAATTATTTCAGGTGTCATATTTGATTAGTACGCACAAATAGTTGAATACAAAGTAAGAATATAAGAAGAACTATCAAGTGTTTGAAATTATTCATTTGTAGATGAAAAATGAGTTTGTCTTCATTTCAACTGTCATTTCGGGCCTTCCAATAATTCAATAAATCTGTATGTATTGGACGTGATCATACTTGTTTACTGTCTCAACGGGACGTGCTAATCAGATAATCATTAGTTTAATCTCATTTCTACATTCATCCATCTGAGAATAATGTTATTGAAATAATAATGATGATGAGTTGTAAAAATTATATAATTTTAAGATTTGTAATTACTTGAATCTTTCCTTTATGGTTTTCAAAACAGACTGTCCATTGGTTACTTTCACCAGAACTTATATATCCGAAACAATACCAGTGGTCTCATTGCCAACTGCAGGACAATTGGTCCATCCAGGAGCCCACCTAAATTTAGAAAGTAAGAAAACTTAATTTACAATTTTACAATGATAATGTAATGTCATGACCAATAATACTGACCTTTTTGTTTAAAGATCGCAATAACATAGTTAACCAAACATGTCGAGTAGAAAGTGATATGGTAATGACTAGTGACGGTTGGATCCCGATTGACAATAGACCAGTATTTGCACTGATTATGGAAGGAAGCCGATCATTTTTACAATGGATTGGTAATGACCATAATAGGCGACAGTTGGAGCAAAAGCTAGTGTTGATTCGCTTCAATTGTCAACTCAAACCGCGCCATGGATCGCTTGAAATAGCTCCTTATCGCCCTTGTGCTGCAGTCAGAATTGGATGGGTTCCTGGTTCAAGTCTTAGCTTACTTAATAATCAAATAGGAGGCTATGATGGTTCAACAGGATCTGCAAATCAAAATAAAGGTACATCAGGCTATCTGATTATCGGCTTATCCATAGGCATTTTAGGGTTAACATATGTTCTTTCTTTGATGATTTACCTGAGATCTAAGAGGGTAGATAGAGTAAAACATCACCATAATCACCAAATTCAACATAACCCTTACAATTCACCACAAGCCAAGCAAAGTTTGAATCGTCATGGCTCATCTTACTATGGAGATTCGTCTTCCAACCAAACAGTGAGTTCATCTTTGGACCGCAGTAAAAACCATAAATCAGAAATAATCTCTCCTGGAGGAACAGTTGATAAAAAAGAGAGTTTCACTTTGTCAATGGGTGAAAGTTGCGACGAAAACGACGATTTTAACCCTTCCATTATTTCCGTAAAGTCAAACAAAAGTGAAAGCATTAACATAAACAATAGCTGTTCAAAACAAGATGTCGCCTCTTTCAATCCTTTTAATCAACATCGCCTTCCTATGTCGTCATTGACCCCTATGTCAACTTGTTTCCCCTCATCAGTGCCATCACCAGTCTCACACTCTGTGTCATCATCAACCTCAACAACCATCACAACTTCAACTTCAACATCAGCTGCATTGTTGCCTAACTCACCTTCAGTTTCTTCAACTTCATCTCTCCATACTTCTTCCCCATCACCACCCTCACCCTCATCATCTCTTTTGCTATCTCAATCCTTGTCATCATCTCATAATCAACATACTCAATCTTCATTAACTTCTTTACAGGTAAGCAAATTGTGTCAAACCTTTTCTTGTCTCATTTCATCGAATCATCAACCGATTCCAATGAAAATACTGATTACCGTTTCTTGGTAAAGCATACAATGTTGACAATCACTCTACAAGATTATTTCATCAACGTTCTGTCTTTACTCGAACGCTTTGTTAAAGCTGATTTTTGTTGAAATAAACAGTTTAAAGACAGAATCTTTAATAATGTAATAACAGGTATTAAATAATGAAGCCAACCGTACCAAGACCTCATTTGGTTAAAATTTAGCTTTTTTTCGTCATATGATTAAATACCCTAACCTCTTATTGTTATCATTTCAAGTTCATTAAACATGGTGAAGTAGTTGAATATTTATATTATCAATAATGTTACTAAATATTAGTAGAAGCAAACAAATAGTCAAGATTTAATTGATATCATTAGCAGTTGACAATGAAGATGAATGGAAAATTCACAAAAATTTAGCTCCATTTTCAAAGCGTCTTCCATTTGCTGATTGCTTATCTAAGTCGTTATCTTAAACTTGAACGATAAATCTTCTCACTTTGCAAACCATTTGTCAACTACAAAAATGAGCAAACATTTTTCACCATTTTGTCCACAGATAAGTCATCATCTCAATTTGAACAATCAGTCAGTTTACAGTGAACAAGCTTGATCTTTCATCTAGAATTTATTATTATAATCCAATGTTTTCATTTCACCTAAAACAAACTGAAAAGATAACAGCTAAAGTAAGGTGAAAACCTCAATACATCATAAGGTACATTTGTAGCAAAATAATGATGTTTATTTTCTGTAAGGCAACAAGGCTCTGAATAATATTTTCTCGTAAATTTTTGCCTTCAAAAAATTTATCAATATCATCATTTATTTCAGATTTCATTTTCTTCACATTTGTTCTATTCTCATGTGAATTTTATATGAAACTCTTAATATATTTATACACTTCATTTTCTCATGAAGCAAAGAAAAAAAACTAACCTTTCAATGCCTTTAAGGGTTTGTGAAAGTTTCAAGTTGAGTTGCTTTTTGTAAAACTTCACTCTCTACAATTTACAGTAAATTGCTGTTGCATCAAGCAAATCGACATTTGTTGATATTCAAAAATTTCAGGGCACTTTTATCATCTTCACGCCTATTTGTTGTGTTGACTCGTGATGTCAACGTTTGCTTAGACAAGTTCAAATGCGAGTTTGTATTTTAAAATTTAGAAAAGGTAAATTCCGAGATTCATGCTATGTATAGCTCAATCATGAATCTTATCATCCAAGACTCTCATCTAGGATTCATCAAAAATCTTCACTGAATAGTTGCTGAATAGTTACATCCATAATATTACTTTGTATAGTCTCAGAGGATCTCTTTTTTACATTTGACTTGCTTTTTATAGCTTTACATTTATTATGAATATAAGAGGCAATTTTAATCCATTTAATTTATAAAATAATCATAACTGATGTTAAAATTATTAACTGCTTCTAACCAATTATTTTGCCAATTATCTAAGTTTTACTAATCTTACCTTGAGCTGTTCATGTTCATTTTTTTGTCTATTTTAGTTACTCGGCTCAATTATTAGTTTAATGTTATATAATATTTAGTAGTCCAAGTTGAATATTAATTTCATCAGCATTCGTTGGTTTATTCATACATTTCAACATTTATTAACATATTCATGACTTACCAGATATTGTCAAAAGATGAGGATAATGATAATCTGAAAATGGTTTGCTTTCCCAGCAAAAATAATCAAATCCTTTGAGTATTAATCGACCGATAAACTCCTTTTGTTGCTTAAATCAATTATTAAACAAGGCAAAGATAAAAGTCAACTGTTATTTATTTTTTATTCAACTTTATTAGCAAATGAGATGTTTATTGAGTTTGTTGACGCGTCGTCAAATCCATGACAAGCGACAAATTAAATTATTCAGATTTATTAATATTTTAAACCTCATAATGTATTGATTATCATTATTAATTGCCTTTTATTTTTTCTTCCACCTTTTATTTACAGACTCGGGTGAATGAAAAATCTTCTCAATTTAATGTACAAACTACATCACAACCAGGTTTATCATGTCGCAAGCCAACTCGGTTATCCAAACGAGATCTCGCAATTGCTCCGAAATTGTTGGATCCAGAAGCTTTATCTTCACCTTCACCAACAGCGATTGAATTTTTATCCCGACTGAGAGAGGTGATAACTTCAGCTCGAGGCCGAATGAGAGCATTTCGTTTCAAACCTACTCTCCTAGTCATTCCAGAAGATGATTACTTTATTGAAGAACCAGAATCTAGATATAAATCAATTTCATCATCAATCGATTCAATGAATACAAGTTCCTTGGAAAGCTATGGAGAAATAAACAGAACTGATTTCCAAAAATATTTGATAGTTGGAGAAACCTTATCATTGTATCCTTATGGTCATGACAATTTTCATAGCTATTCTCGCAGTCAACATTTACAACCATTATCTTTGCCAGCTGAGCTTTCCCGACACCTGACTGACAAATTAAAATCATGGAAGCTAACAGATAACCAATCCTCACTAAGCCCTAATCTAAGCCCTATTAGTGATGGCAATCTAGGCTCTTCATCATCATCATCTAATGATATCTCTGACCCAGAAGTACCTCAATCACCACATCGATCTCAGTATCATGAAAAACTCCAATCAAATTCCAGTGCATCACCAACCTACAGGTCTTGTGAAGACTCCGCTTCAGTTGCCTGGAATAATGACAATACATCAAGAGTATCACGAAGAGAAATAGTTGATCGCTTAGCAGAGGAAATAGCTACTAATGATAGTTGCGAAGCCAATAATAACGCTGAAAACGATGATCACGACAACAATGAAGCAGATTCACTGAATGATTTGTCTGATATTAACGAGAATTTGTTTGAAACGAATCGGAGCCTTGGAAATATGTATGATAATATTACTTCAGAAAATTTAGTTAATCTATCAAATGAAGTTGAGAAGAAACTTGCTCAAAGAAGTATTGTTCCTTTGCCCGAGGTCGTAACCAATGTAAATGAAGGTAACAAGATGAAAATTGCTGATGGAATTAAATCAAGCTCTCAACATCATTCTCGAGAAGACTCTAAATTGAGTCAATTAGTTGCTGATTTAAAACATTTTACTCGTAAACGAAAACAAATTAAAACGAGTAAATCTTTACCGGTGGTTAGTGATAACAATTGGATGTTACAACCAGTTTCTTCCATGTCATTGAGGTTATCTTCATCAAGATCATCCAGACCTTCCATTTCTTCAGGTCAACCCGGAAATCGCTCAATGAGAAACAATAGCAATTTCACCAATAATGGAATAAGCCGGTTGAATAAGAACCAGACTAAGTTTACTGCTAATAATAAGTCAGAGGAAATGTCCCAAGTAATCATTCAGGAAGGTCGTTACCTAAACCTAAACAATCATTCACCAGTTTCCGATGACGATAGGTCAATCGGAAATGAAATTACAAGTTCTCGATGCGGACTGGAAACGTGGAGTTTATCATCTGAATTAAGCACTGGATCATCATCACCCATTTATGGGAAAAATATTGATAATGATAGCTTTGGAAATCAATATATTCTTGACACAATGGCCCATCATGATGAGGATGAAATGTTCATTTCTTTCACAGGAAATCAATTTGAATCAACTCTAGATGACAATGAAATTGGTTATATAAGTCGCTTTAATTTAATCAAAAAATATATCGATAATCCAGATAATTTCGATGTGAAAGATGCAAAGAAATCAGATGGCATAAACCAGTCGACTGAAAGACAAAAGGCTGGAAAAGACAATATTTCAACAAATCAAATAGATGCAACTAATCATTTGACTCATGCTATTAACTCTCAGTCCATAAACCAAAGAAGATCAATTGATTATAAACATTATCAACCATCAGCTCAATCATTATCATCATTAACCTCAACATTGCCAACCTCTTACTCTGAAATGTGTTCATCTGATGATGGAATGTCTTCGGCTTCCGTTTCTTCGATAATGTTCATTGAATCACCTAATCAGGGAAGGCGAAAGTCTGTTGATCGTCGATTAACCAAAGGTATCACGGAACGTGATGATCAAAGTCACTACGGAAACAATGTTGCTAATAATAATAACTTTATGATGATGAAAGGATCCATCAGAGGAAGCTGCAATAATATTAATAAAATGATTCAACCATCTAATGGAATCAGATTAACTCGTCAGAATCCAGTTCAGAAAAGATATTTTCCAAATGGATTAATGACAATTGCCTGAAAAAAAAGATGCAACCGGAATTGGAACTAGATAATGAAAAAATATGAGCCAATCTTAGGCTCAAAATTATTTTTTTGTATTATACAAGTCAAACAAAAGAAATTATGGATTACCAGAATGTACTTTTGCCTAATTATTTCCATCATTTTTTTCCTGCAAAAAAATGAATTAATCTGAATCATCCAGAATATCTAGTGAACCAAGACTAACAAGTTGACTTTACAGATTCATTATCAACTTATTTTTTTGTAATTATAACATTTATAGCGCATTGTAATTTGATTTGGTGTTAATTTAATTTTGGATCTCAAATGAACCTTTTGCTCAAAACTATCATGGATGATGATAAAGCAAGTTAGATGTAAGCCAATAAATTGTTCACAATTGTCCAATAATTCAAGTATTTCTCTTTGAATCAATCAAATTCTAATCTAACTCATCCAATGTAATTCGAATCGCTTAATAGCCTTTGATTTGAAAATAATCAGAAACTGCTGTTGAAGCAATAAAAAGCTGCTTAAATAAGATTTAAAAAACTAAAGGTAATTGTAAATCCAAGTTAATTGTGATTTACTTTAGTTTAGCCAATAAACAGGTTCCATTGGAGTTGACAATCTCTTTACTTCTTTACCAGTTTATATTTAGAAGTCATTATTGTTCAAAGTTGACTCTATTGCAGTTTAATACACTTGATAATGGTAAGTATAAGATGAGATCGTAAATTCAGTTATCATTCAGAATCATGAACTTGAAGTAAAGAAGGAAAAGTCCAGAAAATAAATGGTTTTCAGTGATGAATGCAGAGAGAAATAACAATTCAAGATGGATTCTTGGTGGCCATTTGATAAAAATGTTGAAGGTTCAGTGAATATTGATCAGAAAATATGTAAAATAAATTCATTGTAAGCAAATGGCAAACAATTATAGCAATTTAAATGCTGTAAAAAGCTCATGTTGATCCTTTGCTGTTGCTAATGTTTATTTTATTCCCAATATTAATAAATCAAATTGAAAGTGAATCAACAAAATTTTCTGGATTACTTTCTTGCATTTAAATGATTGCATTGAAAGGGAAATACTTTGGCCAGATCAAATTGAACGATGAAAATATAAATGTGTGTTCAATTCATGAATCACTTGACATTTTAAATCTACCAATGATGAAACAATTTCAATCCCTTCTCCACTCTCCTAATTCAATCGATACCTTAATAAGCTGAACCATGGAAACCTAAAGTTCACAGATTTCTTTCGATTCCTTTCTTATTCCTATCAATATCACAGTCATCTTGAGAAAGAACAACAAAATGGAATGATAATTCACAAATTCCAAGTCTAAATCCATGAACACCATAATAGAATGAATCAAAACGATTAGAGTTGAATGGAAGCAATTGAAATGGCAAACGGTTAGGCTTCACTTAACATTTGCATGAAGGGAACAATTATAATGAGCAAAAGACATAATTATCTGTGTTTCTGTTCATATTTTGTGTCTCTGTTTATCACATTTGCTCATTAATTACTTTACTTTGCAATGAAAATTGAAAATAACATGTTTCATTAAAATAAGAGATTCCAGGATAATCAAGATTATTTGTTTTGTAGTCTAATGATGAATAGAGTCAATTTTATACCATTTTCCCATCAACAGCAATGTTAACTATTGCCATTTCAATTACTTTAATCCATCATTTATCAAGTCAAGTTGTATCAATGAAACCTCAATCAACTGGCTAATTTGAAAGGCAATCATAATAATGTTTACTTTGATAACCAAGTATCCAATAATGGACACAACCAGAGTGACCAAAATAATGACGAGCTAGTCTTTTGTATATTGATAATGTTATGGTAAAAATAAACTTAAATGGTTAAACATAATGATAATCAGTCACGATGAAAAATGAATGTAAATTGAGATTAGAAACAATCAATGATTTATATTCTTAAACTTGATATAATTTCAATTTTTACTCCACCTAAATGGGTAACAATCAATTTGGTTGATTAAAGGTGATCAATCCATCATGATTATATTATGATTACAATAATAGACTGACTAACAACTTGAAAAACAAAAACCAGAAAAAATTTGCTCACAAAAAACTGTTAATGTTTAAATCGTAGACTAATCTGAATATAAAGATTGTTTCATTTCAGCTTAACACGCCAAGTCATTTGATTATCGTTATTCAATCTTATTCAATTTTCATCTATCATCACAATCATTAATAACAATTTAAGTGAAAAAGAAACGTTGAAAATGTATGACAACAATCAAACTTGAATCATCTAAACCCTGCTTTTGCCGTTTATTTACTTTCATGTTTACCGTAAACAAACTCCCAAATAGCATTATTTTGTTATTATTTTACAATCTTTTTTTTCTGATATAATTTTTATTATATCAACTGTCATAACTGGATAAAATCAATAAACAATTCATTTGATGTGTTAACATTTGCTGGTTTCTTTAAAATCAGATCAATCAATATTTGTTTTTGCTGTTAACTTTTTTTTCAATTTATACTCAATTCTGATTGATTTTTATTTCTAAACGAGGTAATTTTAATATAAATTTGATTCTAATTTTGGGTTCAAAAAAGTAGGAAATAATTTGACATTTAGCATTAAAGGAAAAGGCAGAAAAAGCAAAACAATTTTGTCAATTTCAATCATTCAAAAGGTAAACTTGAATTTTCCCAGTTAACCTAATCTGGTAAATTGAAACAAAATGATTTTATAATAACAATTTTCATTTATAATTTGATTGCTTTTTTCATTGCAAATGAACTTTAAAATGAAATGTCACTGAAAAAAAGGGTAAAAATAAAGATTGTAATTACCGCTGAAAATCAACCGCAATTGATTAAATAATGAGAATAGATGATTTAATTTGATAAAGTTAATTGAAAATGAAAAGGTTAACAATTGTGAATACAAAATGAATGGAAAAATAAAGTCAATGTAAGTTTATTAAAAAATAACAATTGAACAAAGTTTTTAATCTTCTCGTTAAAATGGTAACAAAAAAAAGGGTTTAAATTGAAATTGAAATGCAAAACGTAAAAGGTAAAGCATCTGTTGATGGAGTAAATTGTTTATTGATAATCTGTTTAATCAAAGGGATAAATTGATTAAAATTGTTTTCTCCATTCCCAGGTAATTCGCCATTTCAACTGATTAATGATGAATGCTTTTTTACTTGAAAATTGTTGTTATTCATCGATTCAAGCATTTGTTGTTGACTTGTTTAGAGTCTAACCTTTTGCATCTGATTGCTTATTTTATCCCCAATAATAATGTCATGTTTAATGGAAACTCTTTCATTCTCTCTTCATGTATTTCTTATTATTGGCTAATCCGATTGTTGAGTTGAATAAACAACTTGAATTTTATGTGAAAAGGTAACAGATATTACCTGGTTAAGGGTTTATTTTTAGATGAATTATGAAGATACTCACAGTTCTCTTTTTTTTCATCACCTTTTCCCTTCTTTTATTTACAAGTGTTTGTCGTTTCTTTTTGCTTCTTCATCAACACAAAATTCATTTGATGAACAAGGTAAAATGATAATAAAAAAGCAAGTGTTGATGAAAAATAATAATAAGGTGAAATAACAAAGGAAAAGTTTAGATAACAGTTACCATGTAACAATCTTATTCTTATTCAATATAATGAATCTGGGAATCGCCTGGGAAGTTGAGATCGCTTTTTTTCTCTATTCTTTCAATTTTCTTTCCTCAGTCTTGGGAGATTTGCAGATTGGTTTTCAGCATCAAATTACGCTCAATTGATTAGCTGGTTTCATCATCAATCATTATTCCTTTCAAGTTAATCGAAATATTTAAATGTTATTCAAAGGATTATCTTAACTGCATTGTAACTCAATGAAAAGCCAAAACTTAATCACCTTTTTTTTACTTGTTTTGACTAATGCTTTGTCAAGTTATCCAATGATGTTAACAACCCGAAACAAATGCTTGGAGTGAATTAACATTTATCAACATTATTATCGATTAAACTGAACTACTTTCAAATTCAAGTCCAAGGTAACCATTACCTGTTGATCTGCACTTTGCTCGAGATGATTTTGACTTTTTGTTCACTGAATGGTGACAATTAGATGGAGTTGAGTGGGTTTGCAAACAAATCTCAATGAGAATGCGATGTCTGTGTTGCCAAAAGTAGAAGAGAGAAGAAGATATTGGAACTGAAGAGTATTTGATTGCTACAAAAGTAATGAAAAGTATATCAAACAATGAACCATTCTCATTGTTTTCAACGACAACATGTTTCCAAATACGCAGTATGTTAATGGGTAAAAGGGTTAACCCATGAACTGTGAACATGATCAACAAAATTCGGTGTAATGATTGTTCCAGAAAAAAGTGAGGCAATATAAAGGTTCCTCTGGTTGATGAAGAGGTTGATCTGGATGAGATTGTGATTGATTGAGAGGTTGAAGGTGCAAGTGACTGTTCAACTGAACTGCCACGATCACGAGTGTAATTGAAGGCATAACAATTGGGTTGAAGTAAGTTGTTGCCTGGTTTAGGAGATAATTGATTAACTGGGTCTTTATGCACTTCAGTCATTACAGGTTCATCATCACTTTCAGCTAGAAAAACTCCAATCTCACAGTCTGTTGTTGTTGTTACACTGGCTCTTGTTGCTGGAGCACTTGAACTGTTACATCTGGACACTTTAGACAATGAAGACAAGTTCATTGTTGCCGATAAATTGAATAATTGTTGCCAGTTTTTCATACAAGTTGTGATCTTGGAGTGATACGATAAAATCATTGCAATCGGTGTAACGTAATAAGTTAAAAAAAGGATTCTTATGTATTCTTTGGTGTTGCCGGTTGGATTGGTTGAACAAACTGCTGTTCGAGCAAATTGTGATCCATGGAAGTATCGTGAAAAGGGAATGTGAACAATGAACCAGGAATATGGAAGTGAGCCCAAGGCTGAGATTGACCAGGCCACAGTAAATACCCAAAATGATGGAATCACGTATTCGTATTTGGTTAGGCTTGTAAAGTTTTCGTTTAAAATGATCTTTGAAATTGTCTTGTAGCGACGGGAAAAGATGATCACATAAGTAATTGAAGTTACATGGAAACACGAATCTTGTAACATTGGAAAGGTGAAACACAGGAAGGATCCATGAGTCCAGTTGATTGTGATTAAAATAACCAATGAAAAGGGTAAAACGAGAAATCCTTTGATTAAGAAGTCGTTGAATCCAATTGCCAATAATGGATCAAATGGTGTTCGTCCGTGAATTGAATGAATCTTTTGATAATTAATTATTCGTTTGATCATTAAGAAGGTGAAAACTTGTGAAAAAGTAAATATCAACAGATAAATAAAAATAATTGGGCCAACATATGAGGCTACTGAAGGTCTTAAATATATTTTATTGAAGTCAACTGTTTCATTTGGGAAACTTTTCATTAAAGATAACATTAAAGGTAGATATTTGTTTGGAATCGCTCTTTCCATCATTTTCAGAAAATCTTCAATTCTCAGTGAGTTTCAAGGGAAGCAAGAAACAGACTGAATATTTGAAACAAGTGAATACATCATCTCATCCACTCTGAACTTTTCCTTCTAACATGCGCTTCTTTCCTTTTAACCTAAACAATCAAGAATAAAAGTGAATCAATCGGATGAAGATGGCGTTCATATTTATTTCCGTTCTTCTTGTGTGAGGCGATGATGAATGAATAACCGGCGAATTCATGAAAGCATCGAAACTGCGAATCACATTTTTTGTCTGGAAATCAAACAAAGATTCGAAAAGATCAATCATAATAAGAATGCAAAACGAAAACAATCTTTCAATATGTTATTATTCATCATTCGTATTCTGAAAGTATCCATTTTCGTAACTCGAGTAATTTGAAAATAGATGAATTTGTCTCGATTTTTTTCTAATTCTCTGAGCTCATAAATTGACTTAATGATTGATGTGATTGGATGGCCGGGAATTATCATGGAAGTTCATGTCTTCCAACAAAGAGAAGGGAGAAGGGAAGATGAAATGAATGAAAGAAATAATCCAAATCGCAAAAGTTTAGAGATAAAAACGGATTTTTATTGGAATTTGAAAGGAAATTAAATGCTGTGGCTCAGGAAACTATGAATTCTGGTTTATTTATCGATGAATGGATCGAAAAGTGGATTTTGAAACTAATGTAAGAAGCAACATTGATGGATGATGTCAGGGTTTGGTTTCATCTCGGTACTCCAAGAATCTAATAAAACTCATCATTTCTCAATTGAAGTCTTCAATTAAAGGCTATTGATAGCCTCGTAATCAGTTCTGGGAAAAAAAGACTAGAGAGTCTCTGCTAATTCTCATATTATATTTGCTCGAGAATCTGACTTTTATTGGTAAAAACTTCGACCTTAGAAGTGAAAATAATTCTTTTTCTTCTAATATCCCAGATTTTATTATAATAACAGTTAAACTTGAAACAAATCCAGTGTAAAATTTTCGTTTTTCAGTAGATCTTTCGGAATGTCGGTAGTAGCAATGTGTGGCGTAAAAAGTATAATGTTATGTGGATTAATAGTGAACGACTTGTGCGGAATGGCCTGGATAGCGTGACTTCAAGTATGGTCTCTGTTTACTGTACCTGAAATGTCTAGAAATCGAGTGTATTCAGATTTATGTAGCTTTATAAATCATGTTTACAGGTGGTAAATGCATACCTAGTATTACAATATGAATTTAAATCTCAAAAGTAAATTCCTAGAAACTAATTCAATAAACTCTCGACTTTTCTGCAAGATTAGAGCCATCTGCTGACAGAAAATATTCAACATCAAGCAATTCTCAACGGTTTAAACTGTTTAAACGTTGACATTAAACGGTTGCATGGTAAGGAGTTTTACAACAGTTGTAATCCTTGCTGATTTTTCAAACAGTCAGTCGAAACATATTGATAAAAATCGTAAATTGTAAAAGTCGATAAAAGATCAAATGAACAATTGAAAGCACAAAATGCTCAGTTCCAGGAGTAAAGCCTGGTGGAGCTTTACTATTTTTCCTGTAAGTTTTGGCAAAAAAAATCGATGTTTACTTGAGGTAATTTATGGTTTTTTGAGTCATTTAATTTTGAGTTTTCTCGATTTCTTAATGGCGCCCTCTTGTGTTTGTAAGCTTAACTTTCATTTTCTGCTTGTGTCTCTTCCTCATCTCACTCTTTGTTCATTTTACACTCATTAATCTGATACATTCTGTTTCTGTTTAAATAAATCTTTTGAAATAATTATTTAATTGGTATTTCTTTTCCATCTAATATTATATTTGCTACAATTATTCATCAATTGTTAATATTTTTTGTGTTGCCGTTGTAACCATTATTAATGTCATCAATGTATGAGATTTACTTGGATGAATCAAATGGCTCTATCAGGGAGGAAGATGATGATATACCAGCTGAAGAATTAAACACCGACAATGCGAATGGTGATACAAGTAAGCCTGTTGATGAAGTAAAGGTAGCTCCAGAAGTCAAAACTGATACAAGCTTAACATCAGGAAGTAACAATGTGTGGGTCAGTGGATTATCAAGTAGCACGCGGGCGGCCTCCTTGCAAACATTGTTCAAAAAACATGGGAAAGTGTTGAGTGCCAAAATTATCACAAATCCTAGAATGCCTGGGTCCAGAGCTCACGGTTTCATTACCATGGAGACTGCTGAACAGGCAGAAAAATGTATCCAACATTTAAACAAAACCGAATTAGATGGTAAAACAATCACTGTCAGCAAGGTACGTTTTGTTATTTTCTTACGTATTATTGCTAATGGTTTTCTTATATTTATTTTCAGAATCGTCCTAGTGAATCAAGTTCGAGCTCTAGGCACAAATCTACTAGTAGTAGCAGTTCAACTAAGAAAGACAAACCTAAAGATAAAGATTCAAAATCGAGGAGTGATGAAAACAAGGATTCAGACAAGGATAAATCAAAAGACGATAGTAAGAAGAGCGATGAAAAAAGTGAGAATCTGTCATTATCATACCCGTGTCTACCAAATTATTTTTTCAACCTGATATCAACGGGTTATACTATTTACCCTTGTCTTTCACTGGCTGTTCATGTATCGCTCTGCGAAATATTTAGATTTATCCCTGATGCAAAGACATTCCGAAGCTTCGGTTTACGGTTTTTTATACGTCACAATATTTTTATGGCTCTTTTACTTTTTTGTCAAATTAAGATACTTTTATGCAAAACTATTTTTCTGTCTTGAAATTAATCCAACTTGCTTGGTTTCAGGTTCACATGATGATGATAAGAAAAAGAGAGAGAAATCTGGTGACAAAGACAAGGAGAAGGAAAAAGATAGACAAAAGGATCGGGATAAAGAGAAAGAGAAAACTAAAAACAGAGAGAAAGACAAATCCAAAGATAAAGAGAAGGAGAAGAAGAAAGATGACGATAAAGACCAGTCAAAAGAAAAGGACAAGGACCGTGATAAAGGTGTCGAAAAAGACAAATCCAAAGAAAAGGACAAAGACAAAACTAAAGAAAAAGAAAAGGACAAAGATAAAGATAAAGACAAATCTAAAGAAAAAGACAAAGACAAAGACAAAAAGGATGACAAAAAGGATGACAAATCTAAAGATGAAAAAGAGGCTGATAAAAAGGACGAATCTAAAGATGAAATTAAAATCAAAAAAGAACGTTCCTCTAAAAGTCCGAGTCGAAGTCGCAGTCGTGATCATAAAAAAGGTTCTGAGAGTCCTCCTCGTAAATTAGGTCGTAGACCAATGAGACGTTTAGCTCCTGCGTTTTTGGCCCGAAGAATGAATACTCGTGGTCGATCCTCTAGTTCTCGCCCTAACCCTGTTTTACTTAGGCGCATTGAAACTGAAAGAGCTCAAAGGCGGAGAGAACGTGATCGTGAGATTCAAGAAGCCAAAAGGCGGCGAATCGAACTCATCCGAACCCAACGAGAAGTTGAACGCAAAGCTCAAGAGGAACGTGATCGAATTGAACGTGAAATGGTAAAACTTCGAATAGAAAGAGAAAGATTGGAACGGGAAAAGGCTGAAATCTTGAGATTAGAAAGAGAGAAAGCCCGTCTCGAAAGAGAGCGACTCGAAAGAGAACGAGATGAACTTAGGAGAAAACAATTCCAGTTACCACATCGCATCGACGACAGCCCAAGAGGACGATCTGGTATCAACAAGAGACCTTATGATTCCCGAGGTGATCCCAGGGATATGGATTTGCATTGGGATGATCGTAAAAGGATGTCTAATCCTTCACCAGTGACTGCATCTGGAAGACCATTTAATGTAGCCGTTGGATCTCGGTAAGATCATACTTGACCCTAGCAACATTGCATTTGGCATTCCGGTTGCTCTTCCAGTTTGATAATCTGGTTTTCACCTATCTTTAATTTAAATTCGAAGAAAATTTGAGCGAAGAATGAACTTCCATGCAAGTTTAGACTCCATCTTCTCACTCACTCAAATAATGGTCACGTGAAAAAGTCCATGGTCTTTGAATCTTTTTTTGAATTCTATTTTTTTGATTTGATTTACCTCAAAGAATATCTTGAAAGTCCTCAAAATCTTGGATCTTTGATCAAAATCTATAAGAAAATGAGCAAGAAGAGTTACTTTAATTTATTACAATATATGGCAAAGACAAGCTTCGAGACAAGGTCTTATCAAAATATCTGGAAGTCTTTAATGTCCGATGCATGAAAGTTTTAATCAAAGAGTACTCGAATACTTAAACAAAGAAAAAAGCACGAAAAACTCAATACTTTAAGATAGGCTTTTCTAAATTAACTGATTCAAGTTAAAAATGTTGATATCTTCATGGTCTCTTTCTCTTTCTCTTTCTCCATTATCCTTTCCTTAAATCGGTTCCAAAAATACCATCAATTACAACCACCAACAACTGGAATTATTACCAAAAACATCTAATCACTTCACAACTATGACAGAATGTCAGATTTTGATGCTCGTCATGGTCACACATCAGCTCCTTATGACAATAAAGGAGGTAATTATCGTCGAATGAAATTAGATAATCCATCGTCTGGAGCTTCAAGGAATGAATACGACATGAGACGAGATTCTGGTCGTCATGGTGGAAGCGGTGGTGGTCATGATCGCGATGATCGGCGGAACACTGGTGGTCCTAGTGGGGGTTATTACAGGGACTCTTCTCGAATGACAGGTTCATCGCGAGATCGAGATCGAAGAGGAGGTGGAGGACGAGATGATTGGAAAGGTTCTCATGATCGAAGAGATCGCTATTTGGATAAAGGATTAACATCAATAGGTTCTGGTTATTCTGCTGGTGCTGCATACTCTGGTGGTAATAGTGGAGACTGGAATTCAGGAGACCGAGGCTCTTCAAATTTATCCAAAATGTCATATCCAGCAGGTAAATCATCAAATGATCATCAATTAATGAATAATTGTTGTCAAGTATTTCCTTCATTTTTTCGCCCATTTCACAAAGAAATGATGCATACTTGATTTAATCTCTACCTGGATTGGATTTTATATGAAAATGAATGGTTGATTTAAAATTTTGAATTTTCTCGCCCTCTTCGCTTAGGACCTTCAGTTTCTGAATCAAGGTCACGTGGAACAGGATTGAGCTCATCATTGATGACTGGTGGTGGAAATCAATTAAATGACCTCTATGATAATAGTTCAAATATGCCCATGGCTGGTATAATGTCTCATGGTGGAATTGGCTCAGCATCTGGATTAGGATCTGATGAAAGACCTTATATGCATTCTGTCAGACGCTTTTGAGCTTTTTTTCATTTTCTTTCTATTTTTTCTCTACTTCTCTTAATTACTATCAAATCGCATCCACAATCTCGTGAAACATTCAAATTTGTATCTCACACTAAGACATACCTACATCTAAAGCCAGCATATTATACGGTTACACACATAGATAGACTCTCACAACTTCACTGACATTAACATTAAGCTTCTTCATTATTCTCTAAGATTCTCATCACTTACCACTGTGGATACTTCATCGATTGGTAGCTAACCAAGTGGACAGATAAATTACTAATTAATGATCTCTCTACCCTCCTTCAAGAAAATGATGAAAGTCAAGTTACCAGTCAATTTCAATTTTTGATCGACACATTATTGGAAATATGATCGACTCTGCCGAATGTTATCAAACCATTGAAAATAGCTTTTGAAAATTTTTTAATTGAGTTGCAAATCATGCAAAAACTAAGAATAATTACGCCTTTTTGGCCAAGATTACAGAATTCTCAGCTCCTAAAACAGCTTGAAAAGGGCGTTCCGATTCAATTTGCTGTTTTACCTGATGGAGGTTGTGTGAAAAAAGATGAAACTAAACATGCCACTGATGATCCATTTAAAGAATTAATAATGATTATACAAACTTAATTTTCAGGATTGTTCCAATTTTTGATTTTAGGATGTCAATACATGTGTAAAAATTAAAAAACCTTTCTCCATCGTTTTTGATCACTATTTAACTTGTCAAAACATTATTGGTAAAATTGTGTAAAAACCGACAAGAAGCATCAAATATCAATGATGATCTTTCAATTTTTGGCTGAATCGTAATACTTATTCTTTTAATCAAACGGTAACTGCTTTTATTGGAAAGCGAAAGTAAAGGGTGTCAAATTTAATTCCATTCAACCTCTTCTATTAAAACTTTCTTGAAAAATATAGTGAATTGGGATATATTTTTTATGAGAACAACTTTGTTACTCTAGACACGCTCGTCGAGCAAAGGTAATCCATGGCTGAATGGCTTCTATATCCACCCACAGTTGCCATACTAAGCTTCGCGAGTTTAGTTATGTGATCACTGATAGTTGATTAAACGACTGAGTTTCATAAGGTGTTGAAATGTTAGCAACTTGAAAAAATGTTGATAAATTACAGATGTAATTGAATCTGAAACTGAATCTCATCAGTCGATATCCATTATCGAGAAGTTCGATGCATCGAAGTTAAACGGATCCAACAAGATCCTTATATCCGATAAAATCGCATTTGGTTCAGTAAATACCTTGACTACAAATGTTGATGACAAAAATTGAATTTTTTCATAGTTATTTTGGTTTGTGTTTCTTCCCTTGCTCATTTTCTTGCCACAATTTTAGTGTTTTTTACTTTCTGTAAATATTATTGACGGATTGTGACACTGATTATGAATTTACGCAGTTTAAACAAAATGTCTCGTCGTCATAAAGCAATGGATGATCCTGATGGTGGTGGTAGTGTTTTTGTTGTTGAAAGTATTTTAAAAAAACGTTTGAAGCGTGGTCGAGCTGAATATTTTGTGAAATGGAAAGACTGGTCCCCTAAACATAATACTTGGGAACCTGAGGAAAATTTTCTCGACGAAGGATTAATCCAAGAATTTGAAAGGACACAAAGAGATGCTTCCTCTAAAAATGATTCAGTAACCGAAACTTCGGACAATCAACTACAATCTAATGAGGATCTTGATGTTGGTTCTATTCACGATAGGACCTTAAGGGTTTGTCCTTCACCACCAGAAATTTGGAAAAACAAGAATAAATTGGTGGATCAAATATTGATCACGGATGTCTTTGTCAATGATATGACCATTACTGTTAAAGAATGTAAAACAGATCAAGGTTTCTTCATGGACAGATCTTAAGCTGTTTCTTCAAAATTCACTTTTTTGATGAGAATCGTAAACAAGTTACCAAAGGGTTTCCTCAAAGAAGCTCAATCAAGTTTGATCTCAACTTTCAATTCAACCTTATTTTTCTAAACAATTGTATATTTTATCTCATGCATTCTACTTTTTACCGCAAAACGCACATCCTCAAAAAATTTCAGAATTGATATAGATTTATATTTTCGATTGAAATTTTATACACTTATACAGGCTTTGATCATATTTTTTCCAATCCTTTTTGTTTGCATTTTTGTATCTCGGTCTGCGAATTCACTCATTTTTGAATAAACAATAAATCTTAAATTAATAAGATTACCTGCATTCAAAATAACTAAATTATTTGGTATAATCATAAACAAACTGTAAATCGATTATCAATTTCAATGTTTGTTTGTTTGAAAATGAATGAGATAATTTCATCACGCATTATACATCTGGATGTTATTTGAAAAGATGATGCAAGTAATGTCAATACAATGATTGTTCAACAATCTTGAAACTGACTAATGAACATTAGGTTTCGATGTTAACTATTAGCTTGTCTGTTTCTAGACTGTTTCTATTTAATTGCCATCGTACAATACAATCGTACAATTTCTTAGATTGTAAACAATCGAGGCCTAACTCAAGGCAATCTTTTCTATATAGTGTTTCGCTTTACATGGAATCAACCAAACCCACACACACACCCACACACTGATAATACTGACAATTATTTGCTGCATTTTTTAGCTAATACTTGCTATTTGAATGTGGATATAAAACACAGTTACAAAGGTCGATCATATGATTTGATTCTCTTTCATCTTGCTCTCCCTCCTCCTAACTATAAAATATCTCTCTATTTTTCTCTCTTTTTTCTGTTTCTAGTCCACCAACAGCCATAATTTATGATTAAAAATCTGATGCTTTGGTTAAATAACACCACTTCCTCTGGTTTAATCCTAGTGTTTACATTGACATATTCATTATAATAACAAACTAAAGCAAAGCTGATGAGAGCCTATTGTCCTATCTTAATTCGCCTTGCTTGCCATTATCACCAATCTGAAGGTAAGTTGATCTCTGTTTGTTAACAATAACTTATTACTTACAATTTAATTAAATTTTACATAATCAACTTCATTTTAATCAATAACACCATGTATAATGATTCATAATTATGATTCATAACATTAGGCTTTGGTAACTGTTTTCGTGGAAATAGTGAAAATAAGCTATTTGTACATCTGTATGAAATGAAGTTGATTAATTTATTTACTAATTTATTCTCAATTTTTGAACTAATGACACTATTATTTCTGTTTACGATAGGTACAAAATGATTAGCGGTTGCTTCGGCAACACATTCCTGATAATCGTGCAAATATTTTTTGGCCTTTTATCAGCGTTACTAGGCTTTATTTCCTTCTTCTATTACCTTCTAAACCATGAAGACTATAATGCATCCATTTGGAGCCTATTTTTGGGTGAGTTTACCGTGCAAAGTTTTTGCTCGAAAAGCTCTTTTATTATCGCTGTATCTAATCAAAAACCTTTCCATTAACAGGTGTCAATGCCATTTCGCTCATTCATCTACATGTGTTATTCCTCAAAGCTCAAATTGATGTGTGGTATGACAAATATACTTTCCGGAGCTTGATTAAGTTTTCTTTCGTCTTGTCTATTGCGGCGATCATCGCTTTACCAATTTATATATATTTATCTGTTAAACATCATGAAGGTTCGTAGTTTTTAACCAATTTTATTATGAATTCAGTCATTTATTGATATAATCATTAATAATGTTATTTCATTACAGAACTAACGCTTCGTGGCTATCATGTTGACGCTATTTTTGCTGCTCTCTCATTATTTTGGTCAGTTAACCTCTTCTGCTCTAGCCGTCTCTACTCAAAATATGTACAACTCACCAATCCAGCGCTTATTGCTTCTATTGAGTCATTAGAAACACCTTACACATTTTATGTTGATACATTTTAATGTTGGCTACGTCACTCCTGTAATGAAACTCAAAACTCACCATAATCTCTATAGTCAAGATATTGCAGCCTGAAGAGTTATATTCTTGATCTCATTCAAAAATTCATATTTTCGCCACAAAGAAAACATTCTTGATTTATTCAAGATTGGACCAATCCAAGCTTATAACTTTTTTATGCCACCTAGACTCTTTCACATGAAATTTGTCTACAAAAAAGTCTTTCCATTAATTTTGAATTCAATTTATTAAAGTGAATTATTTGAGTATTACAAAATAGTTTTTATTTTTTTCCTAGTAAACATTGGTCACTTGATTGAGTCAATTTTCATGAAATAGTCAAAAATTGGAGCACAGCTAGGAAAGGCAGAGTTCAATCCAGTAACGACAGAACCGAGGATCATCCATTCATTATTGCAAATGATCCAAAAAGGCACTTATAAAGAGCATCAAGATAAATTTGTGATTTGCTTCCTTATTTCATCGTGAGAATATGTTCAAATCGACTTCAGAAGCTATTCCATCAGTTTTATAAATACGGTCAACCCGCAGTTGATTTGAGTGAAAAGGCGTAAAAAATTACAAATTAAAAAATTACTTTGGTATAATGGACATAAATATTTCCAGGAGTCAGACAATCAAATTTAAACAGTAAACTTGTATCAAATGTTTAGTCTATTTGATTCTGAATGCAGTCCATTGACTAATTTTATTTTCTGTGGTTTAAATGTCATCTGTTTCCACAAAATTATACCCATGGATCCCAGACGTTGTTCATGAATTGTTGCCAAATGTAAATGGTAGTAATCAAAAGACTAATTTCAATCTTCGAAGTGGCCTGGAGAAGGATCAGCATCAAGCATTCAGTGGTCAAATAATCTTGATTTTTTTCGAAACGATTCGATTTGACGTTCTATCATTTTCCAAAACGTCTAAAGGCAGGTCAGGCATTATTTAAAGTCTCAAAAATATACACAGGACTCAGCCAACCATATCACGAAAATAAATACCACTTGAAGAATGACCAGTTCGAGAATCGTCTTGATGACAGTAAATATGTTCAATAAACAATGGACTTGTTCCAATTAATCCTTCACCAACATGGCAAACATGTAACATCTCATTAGTCTGCCGGGAAACACAAAGAAAGTCGAGTTAACAAAATTCGAATGACAATCAAAATGAAAAATAATCACCTGTTTATCATTATTCTGGTCTGTCATGGAAAGTTCTTGATTTTCAAGGCAAATCTGATGGTAAGAACCATCAGGAGGCTGAGGCACAATAATAGTATCAATTGTTTTGTGCTCGTCAAAAAGGCTATCATCGTGATTATTGCAAAATTTGGTAACATGATTAATACCAAGATCTGGTCCAAAGTTAATTCCGCTACATTCTTGATCCAGCAACATGTTTTGAAGTCTGTTCAGATGGAAAAGAAAAAATTGGAAAATAAGAAAATGAGCAAAAGAGAAGCTCAATTTGAATAGATTTTTTAAACTCTCACTATTTATGATAATGTTTTATTTACCTTTCATCAGAAATGGTATTCATTGCTATCTTGACGGAATCAGCATCTAACATTAACGGAAATTGAAAACAGACAGAGTTAAATGTAATTAACATTACACAATATTCATGACATTTGTTTGAATCAAAATACTTACTGCGACGTTTGCTGCGTTTTATTTTAATTACTAACATAATCAAACAGCCAAGAGCAGTGAAAGTACCCAAAGAAGCTAGCAAAATAAGTGTCATTGGATTGATTACAATATCATCAACTGAGTCTGTAAAGAAAAATAAACAGAAATTATTTCAATTCATTCAATATTTGCCAAGAAGGAATCAACGCTTCAAATAAAAGCATTAATTAAACTGATAACAATTAGAAAATTAGGGATTCAAAGCAAGTTGGATGTCAAAGGATACAAAAAGTTACAAAGTTTCAATTGTTTACATAAGTTTTACTCATTTCTATTGGGATTTAATTAGATAGAATTAAAGAGTCATGATTTAAACAAGTTTGCCAAATAAAGAGTTGATATTGAGATTACAATAGCACCTTGCAAAGGTTTTACTCGCTTGTGATTTGTATTTTTGTGGCTCTGGGTAAGCTTGCGAGGGTTCGCCTAGCCTCAGGACTCCAGGAAAACTGTTTTACTTAATTTCATACAACCTTTTCCTAGGTTTTACTGTAGTTTGATGAACAGACGGAATAATTGACTAGTAATGAAATAAAACGAACTCTTTCCGTGTATATCAATTAGTTTCTAGAACCATTTTCATTTAACGACATGAGTATTTCACACAGAAAAGATTTCAAGTGAGTTTCGAGCAGTATCAAGCAGAAGAACTGAGAAAAATTAGGCCAACTAGTGTATTGTTTTTTATCCACGTTAAACCATTTGAAATGAGATAATATAATGAGAAGGAAGACTGACTAAAATGTGATAACTCAACGACTTGGAAAACAAATTGAATAGCAATCAAGATAAGAGGGTGAATATAATCAAAAGATGGGATTGATTGTGAATAAATAAATACCTGTTGTATGCCATTGAGCTTGAAGTTGAGTTGATCCTCTTAAAATGACAGAATCTGATCGACCCTTAACATTAGTTGCATAAATGTTAATTATATACGGATTACCAGAAGTAAGCGATTTAACAATGAAAAAAGGATAATCAGTTGTACTTTGATTTTGAATTAATGGTCCGTCAATATTATTTAGTCGCATCTCAAGATGATACTTTTGATCTAAGCCACCATTATAACCAGGCCAACAGGAGACAGTTAATGAATCCATAGTTATATTAGCTATTGTACAGTTTTCAGGCGATTCTGGTGGACCAGCAGGAATAATATAAAATTTACATGGCTCTTTTGATAATCCAATTGAATTGGTTGCCCAACAAAAAAGTACACCATAATCGGACGTTGATTTAGGCGTGTATATTGCAGTTGATTTAAGGCCACTTTGACTATATTCAAGGGACAACGTTTCAATATTCATGGATGTTGAGCTTATTGTCGGTGGTGAGGCTGATGAGGATGGCAATGAAGATGGGGATGAAGACTGGGATGAATATGATTCATTGAAAGACCAAATAAATTTAACTTCTGGTGGATCAGCATCCACTTCACATGTAATTTCAACCTTTTCACCAAAAGCAGCACCAAAATAAACCCTATGAGCACCAGAGCAAATCGGAGCAACTACAAACAGAAAACAATAATTAGAAATATTTATAATAAGTGATCCTCAGTAAACTTTGATGTTTTTGTGGCATTCAATTAAAATTGCCAGCTGGTTGACGTAGACATCAAAGTAGACTAAAGTTACAGTCACCTACCAGATACTGCACCACTCGCAAAATAGCTTATTTACCCTATTCGTCGGTCAGTGAAATTCATGATTTTCAATCTTCCTTAATAGATCAAAAGGCAAAAATTGTTTTTAAACTGATTTTCAGAGTTTTTGGATTAAAAGCCACGAAAGAAAATTGAATTAAACTAATTGATAATTAAAGAAATCGAATCGAAATTCGACTGAATTCAAAAGTAAATATAGCTCCTCCATAATAGAGGCCATTGAAAAATTTAGCGCAGTATTTGGTAGGTGACCGTATTTACATAGTCCTCGGTGGTTTGGAAACTTTTGAATGTTTATTGTGCATTTTAATAATTTTGGTAAAAAACATTCATAATTTTCCTTGCAAGTTTCATGAGTTTAACGTTTGCTCACATTGAATGTTCAAGTCAATTGAGTCCGATGAGCCCTGTCCTTCGTTGTTTGCTGCCCAACACTTATATCTACCTTCATGATTCTTCCAAACATCTTTAATTAATAATGAATTATTTGAAATAAAAATATGAGCAGTCTCATTTGAAACTAAAGGCTTTCCGTTGAAATACCATCCCATTTTATCAGCAGCTGGATTAGCCTATTAAATAAAGATGCAAAGGTACTATCAGTTAGTTGTTTTGAAATTTCAGATATTCCAACATTGAAATACATCATGTATCAACCATAAAAGCAATGTCATTTTAAAAACTTATAATTAACCAATAACTTTATTTTATTTGAAGATAGTCTACGACAATAGCTTTTTGGTATGAAATAAGTGGTAAAAATTAATAGAACCGAGGCATCAACCACTATGCTGTTACCTGAATATTGCATTCAAAAAATATATCACTTCCAGCCAAGATCTTTTCATTTCTGGAACTAACACCCATCGCAAGGTATACTATCGGCACATCTGAAAAAACGAGAAAAAGGCAAAGATCAGTAAGATACAAAGAAAATATATTCAACCCAAACTTTGATAAGAATCAACTTACAGCTAATATTGAGCAACATTTCATCCTGAAGACTATCTCCGTTGAACATTGGATTCCAAGCTGTACAAGTTAATCTTTTCCCATTATCATCAATAGAAGGCACAAAGGATAAAAAACTGGTCGTAACTGAACCATCATCTGATGTTGATTCACCCAAACCATCCAATAAATTAGATCCAATTGTCCATTTAATATGAGCTGATGGTTTAGAGCCAGTTGATTGACAAACAAGTTCAACCGTTTTACCAATAGATAATTTACTTAACGGTTTAATTATTTGAACCTCTTTTGGCTTCACTGTTAAATGAAAGACAACAGATGGCAAGCCTTTAGTTTTTATGACCAAAAGGGGAAGCGCATAAATTTAAAATCATTCAAAGCCATAAATAAATCCAATTAAGTCAACAATCTTAATCCATTTGCAGGATAAAACACCAAAAAAAATTCAAAACTTCAATGAAAATCAAATTATAGACATAAAACTGAACATGAAATCATTTTGTAACTCATAAAGTGATCTTTCATGAAAATGAAGCAAACAAACTGAATAAATGAATTAGATTTACCGTAAACAAATTGCTTTTATAATTTAATCTTAAGCTCCAACGATTAAGAAAATTATTCTCACAGTAACATGAATAAAGGTGAAAAATGAAAAAGCAACTTGTGAATGAAAATAACAATTGATACAAATTATTTGATTATTTTTCCAATCCAATTACTTCCATTATCAAGTTCATCATGAAATTCATCTTTAACAGTCAAGTTAACCAATTCAACATCTAATAACGAAATAATTTCAATCAAATCACAAACTAGTTATCTGTTAAATTGGTTGGGAGTTTTTACTCCTATTAATAACAATGTTTACTTCAAGATAAATGTTACTTTTGCCTTTCTTTTACCTACAATTAGATGATTACATTTTTCATTTGAAACTCAATTTAATCGTTTTGGCATCAACTTTCCAATAAGGAAAAACTAATTGGACAAAATAATCAAATTGATTTTAGATTGAACTCTAATTTGTGATCAACATTGAAAAATTGAACAGCAATTCCTTCTCTTAATCAACAAATCAACTTGTCCATCATAAGTAGATTAACAGCATTTAACTGATCAACTATTGTCATCTCAACTGTTTAGACTGGTAATGTTGCTCACAAAAGGATTGAAATACCTTTTCCTTGTCCATTCAACATTTCATTTCATTTGCTTTATCAAACCCTTTTCTTCTTATCAGAATTGTTCCTTATAATTAACAATTCTCATCACGAATCCTGAGAAAAAAAGAAAAATGAAGGAAAAAAAAGTTCCAACATGAAACTGTTTCCCTTTTTTTCCTTTCAACATTTTGTTATTGTTAAACTTGGTTTTCTGGTTTAACTGAGCTTCACATCAACAATAATGATAACTTTGTTGATAAGAGTGAAAAAAGCAGAATCATGTTGTTACAATTATTATCATTATTATTATTGTTTCATCAACCCATCAATTGTTAATTCAACTTCACAATTCAATTATCATTGTTTACCATCAGCTAATATCCACTGTAGATGGAGTTACTTTCAACATTTCATTTTCACTTTTTGTCTTTGCTTTTGTTTCATTGATACTTACAATTTAAATCAATGGCAATGCTTCGTGTAATTGGCTCTGTTATGTTGTTATTAGTTGCTTTACAAGTGACAATCATCATTAAATCATCTCGTTTAAGTGCAGGTAAATGAAGTATATTAAGGCTTGATCCATCATCGGACATGAAATAAGTATCATCAATGATGGTTGATCCACGAAACCAAGTTATTTCAGGTGAAGGTTTACCTGTTTTTGACAAAATTATTTCCAATTCAGTGACCAACAGTTTATACAGAAAAACACAAATTAATCATCATTATTGTTACAGACAATTTGTTTACTTTTGTCAATGTCTCTGACAATTAATTGTGTTCAATCGATGAATTCAAGTTCATCTCAAATGCCAACAATAACTGAATAAACAACATCTAAATGACCAAACCATCGCTTAAACTCTATAAATTATTCTTAAATTTTTTGTTCAATCTTTCTCAAGTTGACTTTGATTCTGAATCATCAATTGATACTGATTAGGCTTTCAAGAAAAAATATAATAAACTTCAAAATGTCGAAATAAAAAAGATGAAAAGAAATTTTCATTTCTCTTTTGATAAGAATTTCAAATTCTTGCTTTCAGAGCCTTTAAAAGGACTTTCAATGAATATTTCAAGTTGTCTGAATTTTCTGAGCTTTCCAAATGAATTATGAAAGAAGAAAAAATTGCTCATTCAATTTGAAAGCTTTCAAACGAAATGAAATAAATCGTAAAATCTAATCTTTCCTGGTTCCATTTGGACATTGGAACACAATTTACTAATCTGATTAATTTGCTCATTCAAATTACAACTAATTAACGTTTAATGCGACTAAATCTTTCCAGATATTCAAAGATGCATAAGCTCTTGATTAACCAAATACGTTTCCCAACTAAATTGAACAAATGAAGAGCTGACCATTTGGTTTGATTTTTTAGGCCAACAGACAAAGTCCATAACTTAATCAATGCTGGAATCAAAAGATTAACCTTTTCCAATCAACTTTCGATTCTTAGAGTTAACAATATGATGATTTGATGTGAATCAAATCTTACCTCCTTGAGCTTCACAAGTCAAGTTGAGCGGTTCTCCTTCATTGAAAGGTCCACCAATGTCTTTAATTTTGTGTCCATTATCACTGGAGATTATCAATTGTTTAATCGGAACTAATTAAATAGAAAGTTAATTGTTTTCCATTACAAAGTGAATCACAATTAGAATGGAAAGAGAAACAAGTTTCCAATCATTTCAAGTCCATTACAGTGTTAACAGTTTGTTGACAAACATTTGACAAGCCATTGTGAATATGATGATAGTTAATGATGTTGAATGAAACAATCATTTGTCAACATTGATTTTTGATTATTATTCTGGGTTAAACCAAGTTGTACTTTTAATGTTGATTGATTGTTTTTCAGGGTAAAAATAATTTCTGATCAATCATAACTTATCATAATTTGCACTCTTTTAACAAATGTATCAACAACTGGAAGATGAAAAGTAAACAGAGAAAAGTTAATCTTCATTTCTTTTCATTACTTTGTCTCTATTTATTCAATTTATTGAATCAATTTAACAACCAAATGATTAATTAATTGAATTTCGTCCCAAAAGCAAAATTAATTATTGAAGCGCAAAATTATACTTTTGATTAACTGATTTCGTTTTCAGGGAAACTTGAATCGACTTTCAATTTGCCTTACAATTAATGGTTTTTATTTTTTGACGAAACAATCAATTCGCAAGTGATTATAAAAAATTTCAAATATTCAGTACAAATTATTATTTCGAATCGAGTTTTAATCTGAAAAAAAGATCAAATTGGGACTTAAAGAGTTGAAACACTCGAAAAAAATGGGAAAACAACTTTTTAAGGAACGAAAAAAAGTTGAGAGAAAACGAAAAGAAAATGAGAAAAATTCAGTGAATAGAGTAAATTAATTGAAAGAAAAGGAACCATTTTCATGATTTGGCAAGATTAATTTGAGTCAAAATTACATTGTGAGAAGGTTCCATTGAATTGGGGAAACTTTTTTCTCTCTCTTTAAGATTAGATTCTGAAATCAGGATTGAACAGCATCCAATCAAGAAGACGAAGAAACAGGGCAAAAAATAAATATAAATCTAAAGCAAAAGAGAAACAAGAAAAAAAAGTGAAATCACCAGACTTTGTTTCCGTTATTTTCGCAAAGAAAAGTTTGATTTTTTCTCTTTTTCTGAGACAATATTGACGTTGAATCGCAAAGAATGAAAAGTGAAATGATGATGATAATGACGCAAGTTGCTCAAAGGCTGATTGATTCTCTTCATTTCATCTTCAAGACTAAACTTGATAATAACAAGTAAATACTTTGCTAATAAAGAGACATAAACATTGGAAAATGTTTTATATAAACAAACAAACTGCTGCTAGCGAGTAACGACTGTTGGTACAAAAAAAGGCAAAATAAATGTATGAGTTGTGAATCAGAATCTTGATTCTCATGACAGTTGAAACCATCTTCAATGGAATCCCTTAAACTTGTCTCTATTTGCTTCTCATCTGATAAAGACAAGTTGATTCCAACAGAAGATGAGCAGAGAAAAAAAAGAGTGAAAACAAAACGTTTAATTTATCCTCAACTTTCCCCCTGTTCATGTGTTCTCAGTTTATCCTGTGACAAGGAGCATGAGAAATAAATGCAATAAGAGATGATGATAGTGACACAAGTTAGGTCACAATTTAAGATCATTGAGCAGAGTTGAAGAGAAATGTTTATCTCTAAAGGAAATTTAGTTCACATTAAAGAAACATGCTTTTCAATCAAACTCATTGAGAAAGGTTTTGATAGGCAAAAAAATAATGTTGTTTCAAATCATTCTCCTGAGGTCTTTTCATCATCATCTTCCTCCTCTTTTTTTTCACTTCAATTTGTTTCTTCTCATCATTATCCAATCTTATCAATATTTGAACGGAAATCAATTCAGATTTGAGTTGTTACCAGCAAGAGTGAGAACATAAAAAAACCAAGTCAAAGATGAGAACAGGGAATGATAATGATAACTGGGAGTGAAGATGAGGGTAAAAAAAGTTATTGAAACAAAAAAAAGAAAAACATAAAAGTTTATTTCAATTTGAAGTTGGATGAAATCCAATTGATGCCAAACACAAATATACACACAAAAAACATCAACTAAAGTTTCAAGTGAAATGTAATCACAAGCGATGAGAGAAATAAAATTCAACAGAAAAAAAACACTTTGTAACATAACTTTTTTTTCTTTCATCAATTCTTGGTTCTAATACAACTCAATGAGAGTTGAGAGTAATATTTATATTATCGTTATGAGGATGAATGGTGGAATCTCAATCGATGCATTGATTCATCACAAGAACATGGAAATTTAATTGATTGCAACTGAAAATTTCCAGTAACTCAAGATATCAACACTTATGGTCTGTAGCACCAATCTTTTGTTCGTTATGATTACAAAAAGTATAAATGATTCGACTCGAATGAATTAATAGAAACATTGTAACTTTAATGAGTAAACCTTTTCTTTTAGTTTCCCGAAATGGATCCTCGGGAAATCGATAAATTTTTAATCTTATTTTCCTAGAAGAAAAGATATAACGAAAAGTTTCAGTGAATCTTTATGGGAATCGAATCATTTATACTTTTATTAATTACGATTGTTTGTAATAATAACGAACGAACGGTTGGTGCTAAAGACTGCAGACTTGAGCCAATAGCACAAATTGAAAACTCTCAAAGTTGAAACTCAAAATATTGACCAAGGTTACTTTGACTGCTGACTGACATGAGAAAGGCATAGAGCAAAATCTTAAACCGAAACGTAAATTCTAAAAGTGAACTTCTTGATTAAAACAGTTTTCGCTAAGCCATTGAGATAGTTCAATCATTTTTTGAGCCAACGAAATTAGCAATGATTTCCTTATCGAAAACTACAGTAGCTCTGTAGTTCTGTCACTGTAGTTCGACCACTAAGTGGCTCAAGTAATTGCTCTTTAATCTACACTTTGATTTTTGGGGTTTGTCTTGACAGAATTGGCTGTAGAACAAAACTTTTTAGCTCAATCACTTATTAATCCATCTTTAAACTCTTAGTTTGTAAAGCATTAATTTGATTCCACCCTTGGTGATTTCAGTCAAACTGAACATTAGCTCCAGTTTCTTGTTGATCCATCTAACTCCAGTCTCTGTCACTGTTCAGTCAACTGATTTAAGATTTGGTTGCTTGTAGGATCGTCAAGTTGAACTTCACCTTGTCACCTCTGAGGCTTTGAAAACTTGTATCGATTAAAAGATGAAATGATGATAAATTGAATGATTTGAAGAAAATGTTGATAATTTAATTGAATAAAAGGTAAACATTTCATGACAGGAAAAGGAAAACCTTTTTTTCTTCTTCTTTTTTAAGGTTAAGAAGAGATATTTTTGGTTCTTTCAATTTTTAAAAGAGTTTTGAAAGGAATGAAATGAACGTAAAGAGTGAAGAGTTAATTCATTTGGGTTGAATTTCCAATTGATCTAACAGAATAATACAATCATCTTGATTCTTATTGAATGAAAGAAGAAAATTTGTCATCATTATCATCACCATTGACTTAGATTTTCAATCTTGAACGTATTTTCTGCTCAGCCTAGCATCCATCTAATTCATATTGCTTCAAAATTTATTTCAACTTCTCATCCTTTCACCATTTCATACACCTTATAATCAGTCTGAAACTTTGCTCTTCCATTAAATTCTTTTCACTTTTCAGTTGTTCAACATGTTCATCATTCTCATCATTTCAATTCTCAACAAATCTCTTCTCATTTTTCAATTCCAATTCCTTTTCTTTTCCTCATTTGTTTCACTTGCCATTGAATCACTTTCTTTGTCATCAACATGGAACATTTTGTTTCATCTCAGAAGCCATTCATAGCTTTCAACCTGAATCATCGCATTTGACCTTTAAATTGAGTGAGAGAACAAAAGTTGCAGAGAAAAGAGTTGAAATGCCATGAAAGACACTGAGTTGTCTGAACAGTTTCCAGGAACTGATCAGTTCATCGATTGTTGAGTATCACAAGCAATGAGTAAATGAATATATAAACAAGAGAAGAGCAAAAGAAGAGGTAAAAACGTAAATATTTACATAAGCCTTTTAGTGTTTTTATTGGGATAATCAGAGGAACTATTCTCAAGTGGATCCATGATTTGGCCAGTTTCATGATCAGAGTGGTGATCAGGATGATTAGAATGATGGCCATGATGAAAGGGAATAAAAGATGACCAATGAAGGCAAAAAAGACATCAACTTCATTTGTCTATTCGACATTCACTTTTTTCTCTTCTTTCATGTCTTCCGTATTTGACCCTCTTTATTCAACTCAAAAAGTTCATTGAGATTCATCATCATCATCAAGTTCATCCTTTACCATTCAAACTACACTTAATGATGAAAAAATGGCCGTCAAATGTGATTGATTGATGAGGAAACAAACTCAGCCTTTTGTTGGAGTTTCAAGTTTTCTGGATTTGCTTTATTACTCCAATCGACTAATAATGATGTCCATTGTGTTGACCTGACATTATGAATGAATTATGCAAAATGACCCAAAATCACTCAATAATAAAGTCCAAAAGTTTCAAAAAAATCTGAATAATTTTCTAATTCGAAGCAAATTTTAATGAAATCCTCTAAACTGCACTTCGATGAAATCATTTCTTGATTCAAATCACTTCGCTTTCTGTCATGAAATTGAATATATCATATGAATTTGTGTATCAATTGAAATATCAAAATAATGATTAATTTGGAAATTATCATTAATTTTGTGTCATCTGAGGCAAACACTGAATATTGACTAATTGCACTTTTTTGCTTTACCTGCATTTGTAACAATTTATTATTCCATGAATAATTAACTGTTTACTCTGTTTTATTTGAGTTGATGGTTTGATGAAAATAAACTGAATTGGAAAGTAAATTGTTTAACATGAATAATTAACTATTCAATCAATACTATCATCATTATCAATTTAGCCAAAGTATATTTTTCATGATATTTATGGAAACTTGTTTCACAGCATTTGCTTATCATTTTGACGTAACTTACCAATTACTTGGAAATTAAGGAATCGATTGATTGTTCTTCCTCTTTTAAAGTCAACTCTACATCGATATTCACCTGAATCTTGTTCCTTGACCGGCGATAGAGTCAACACTGAAATTGAATCGGTTAAATTGAGCTTGGCTCTTTCACTATTGGCAAAGTGTTTTGCCTCTGAAAAGTTATCACTTGAACGAGCATCAATTGAGTACAAAGGATGACCAAGATCATCTTTGTACCAAAGGATTAAGGCCACCGAATCGTCTTTAGTTGGCGCGGTTGTGTTACAGTGAAGGTCGGTTGTGCTTCCAACTGCTGCAATATACTGAGGCCAGCCTGGAACGAAAAAAAGAAATGAGAAAATCGAACAAAAAGCGTCTCGAAAACAATTCAATGAAAATATATTCTTCTCTTGATTGTCCCAGCAAATTAAATGTTGAATATTTCCTCACTTCTCAACTAATCATCGATTACAAGCCAACCTGGAACCTCAATTAACTTGTTAAACAAGGTTAAAGTGAATAATAAAAAACATATAATTTACTCCACTGGGAGTGTTTTATCCTTTTCTTGTTAGATTAACGTATTTAAGTAGCAATGAAATGGTCAAAGAGTCCAATGAGACAATGCATTAACATCATGATACGGGATTAAAATGAATACTTCAATTTTTGTCCATCAACTGTTCATTTCGACTCAAGATTTATGTCCAAACAATAGCAATCATTTTTTTCTTCTTTTCTCGATTCTCCTCCTTCTTCCAACTAGTTTTCATCATTTCAGGCTCATCATTCTTTATCACTCTTCCAATTCATTTGTTCATTGGTGACTTAACGAATCATCATTAACCAGTGTAAGCATCAAGAAGAACCCAAAAAAGAGCAAAAATGGAAACAATTGTTGTCATCTTTTCCTTCTTCCAACTTCATCTTCTCATGTATTTATTTTGTTTATTTTTATTGTTTTTTGGGCTCCATTTTGCAGCTCAAATAGTCTTCAAGTTCAATTGTATACATTTGAGATGAAAAAAAGTTCACAATTGTTCATAACAATCATATTGTTGACTTTTGTAACCATTTTGCTTCTCATATTATTTGTCTTCGTCTTTTTATTTCTTCAACATCTAAATGCAACTTATTTACCTTTTCACTTTTATTATATTTATTTCCTTCTTTGCCTGGTCAACTCATTGACTTTATTGTTTATTATCAATAATAAAACTCGACAATAATCACTTCAACAATTAAAGTGCAACAAATTCCTTCTTATCCGACAAAAACGTTATTCTCGCCTTTTCACATTAAACTTTATTTTATTGATAATAATTTCGTTTGCCAAATAAAATTTGAGAAATATTTACTTTTTGCTCAGTTCAATACACTTTTCAAAATCGATTGATTGTTTTACCAGAGAATCTAATAAATAATAATAAAGCACCTTATAAAGGGTTATCTAATTCACCTTGAGGTTAGACATCTTTACCTTAACTTAAACAAAGACATTATTCATTGCATTACAAATTGTTAGAGACTGTTTAGTCAGTCCTGATTTCCTTCATTTTATTCCTTTTGCCTTTTCTCCTGCAAATTCTTTGTATATTTGATCAAAACATTCCTTTTCATTATACAATCAAATCAGATGAATGAATGAAACGATTTTTCCACTCAACTTTGTCTCTTCCCAGTTCCATTTGCAGCTTCCAATTTATTGCTTCAATTGATTTCTCAGTGTTTTACTTAAATTTTAGAGATTTACTTCTAAATGATCAACATGTTTGTTTAGGTCGAACCAGGCAATGTTAAATTCATCAAGAAGCGAGAGAAATTCAACCTAAAATTCACGATTAGCAGAAGATGAAAACATTTAAAAGACTAATGAAACAAGATTGTAGAGATCAAAGAACACACTAATGTAAAATGTAAACTTTACAAGAGAGCAATGGGAAGTTGAAAGCGTTTCATCAAAACTGTAGACCAAAGAACTGTTGGCTAAAGAAACAGTTAAATTACGATTTAAAAGGAAAAAACCTTGATTCTTAAATGATATTATCATGAGAATTTGAATTTCCAGCATTCAATTTCATGGTTTTTCCTTTGATTCGACGAACATTCACATTATTGAACATTACTGCTTGCAAACAAGTGCATGCATTAGCCAAAAATATGGATACATATTAAAGGTAACCAACTCAAAGTAAGAAAATATTCACAGGACTTGATAAAATCATTGATGTTGAGTCCAATTCCAACTTTTATTAAAGTTGTTCAACAAAAAGCAAGCTACTCAAAACATGATACTTTATTGACACATAATTTTATGCTAAAACAATGAAAGACAATACCGAACAGCAAGTTATTATTTCAAGACAAGTTTTTTCAATAACAAAATACTTTTCTACATTTTCCTGAAATTTCACCTTCCAATATCCATTGAAATATTAGAATGCAATTTTATTTTGCATTTATTTCACTGGGAATCAATCTTTAGTGTCGATACGTGAAAATAATTCGACTTATGAAGCCATTCCTGATGGAAATTGAATAAATGCTCATTTCTGAGTTGTTTCAGCTAACAGTTAATACAAGTCGAACCCAATAGATGCTAATAACAAGGCTTAGAAACAAATTCAAGGTTTTCTGGTGACTGAAGAAAACTCTTCTGGAAGATCAAAGAAGATGCCTTGAAAGCAGAATGAGTCGAATTTCAAATTCTGATTAAAATTGAATGAATACAACTTTTATTCTGCAGTTTAAACTTGCTTTACTTTCTATTTATCAATAACTTTCATCAATCATTAACCAACAAAACTAAGTTTCCGTTTCCATGTAATTTAAGCATCCGTTGGTTGTTATCGTGTTTTGTTATTCAATCTCGATCATCAAATCTAATGTTAATCATGCATTTGTTAATTGACTTTCATTATGGATGATGAAAAGAGAAGAAAAAAGCGAAATAATTAACAACGGAAAAAGTTAATCAACTAAATGAGGCAAAGAAAAATCTTAATCACTTGATACTTGACCCTTTGATTGAACAATTGAATGAATTGGTTGAATGAAAAGTTGGATTTGAAACATTTGAATCATTTAATGCAGCGATCATGAAAAAAATGAATTATTCTTCGATAAACTGGACATTCAATTCTCGATAAATATAACTTGTAAAGTCGAGTTAATTCATCTCCAGAAAAGGCATTAATATCAAGTTTAAATAATGAACAAGAATTAGTTGGAAATGATTAGCTGAATGCGAAAACTGTTTTACTATCTTTAATTCTGGCTTTTTTCACTATAATTATTGCTATTTCCTATTCAATTCTGTTTTTTCATGGTTCATTTAAAATCATGTAATCAGTTGAATTAACTGAAGAAATTTGTTGCTCAAGAAAAGTTTTTAAAACAAAAAAGTAATGATAATGATGACAATTATGATAATAGAATAGACTAATGTATTCAGAATAGAAACTCTGAATTACGTTAAAAGGTTACACTTTTCTTCCTAATTCATTCATTCGCTTGTATTAACTAGTTTTGTTATGGAAACAAAAACTCTGGTGATTACAAAGTTAATTTGGTAAAGATTTTTAAATGATTAACTTAATAACAGTCAATATTGTTATTGCCGGGTTTCCATGAGATTATTTTGTTCGCCAGATTCTTAATAGCATTTTGATGTAACATTAGAAAAGCGAACGAAGGAATAAAGGGAAATCTTGAAAATTTGATAATGATGATTACTCAATTAACCAATTGTTTTCAGCTTCGAAGAGACGATAAATTGTTTTGATAAACATTCGTTTCGTTGTTTTCCTCTGTTGATGCTTTCCATATTCAGGGAAATAATCAACTCGCAATGCTTTTAATCACTTTATTGAAATTAGCAGAATGATAATGTGTTATTAAGATGAATATTCAATGAGAGTTTGAATGAAAGGAATGACAACTGGATGGAAGGTAAAAGCCATTCAAAGTTAAGCATAATTTCAGCGAAAAAAATATTCTTTATGAGCAAATATTGTGCAAAAGCAAGGAAACGAGCTTTTTATGAATGAATTCTGGTAATGGTTGACAAAGATTTTATCGAATTCCAAATTAGCAAATGGATTTGTTGCGGATTAGATTTCATTTTCGATATTCACTAATCAATTATCAATAAGCTTGTTTGGTCTCTTGTTTTCATTGCCAGTGATTCTGGGATTTTTGAGTTGGCAAACATTATCACTGTCTATGTAAACTTGATGAATGAATAAAGTTGCATATTGCATGACCTGAAGCCATTATATTTTGAACAACACCATTTCTGTGAGTTTCAAGTGAAAACATTTTTTATTAATGATTAGGAAAAGAATTTTTCGCTTCTTGTATTACGTGACGAATTTAAGTTTGGATATTTTTCGTGATTTACATCAAAAATGACCTCAACTTGATATTTTTAGAAGCAGTTTCATACATTTACGGATATCTCGAACAAAAATTCAGTCAATTTAATTGAATAGAAGTGTGAATCACGAAAACAATTTTTAAAGTTTAGTCAATAGTTCAATATCAAATTTCGAGAAAATTCAATTTTTTCTGTCAATATTTCAATTCGCATCAATATTTATCAATATCTAGATCGATCGAGTGTTTAATTTACTCATCTCTTTCCAGGTTCATCTGAGCTTTGAATCGCACAGATCGATCGTTTGATCTAGATCTACATCACAATGAATTTTCCATCAAATGAAATTGTCTAAACTTGCAAGGTTTATGGTTACCTTTAGTCGAGTTTTCGGTTCTCAATGAAATTGATGAAAAGTATAACATTAAACTGAATTGGTCCATTATCGTAGTTTATTTTGACAAAAATGTGTTTACTCTTTTTGTGGTTATACTCATAATGTTGCCTATTATGTCACAATTATTGGATTAACTTATGATCATTCAATATCTATTCAAAGTTGAACCTTTTCTTCACCTTTAATCAGACAAAATGATCTTTCGCATTCCTCTTTGGCCAGAGAAGATCAAAGCATTAACCTTATCAAGAAATGCTACATGATGATAATTTGTTAGCCAAGGAATGGATTGCTTTTAATGTTGAGTGATTTTCACTGTTTCTCTCAATTTATGGTGTTCACCATTTTTGAGTCAGTTTACTTTTCCTTGGATCTGAAACGACTTGCAATAAACAAATTTAAATGTCACTCCGAAAAACAAAGTCAACCAAATTATCAAAAACCATTATCTACTCCAAGCTGTTGTTTAAAATCACTTTTACGCTAAAATAATAAATAAAATGATAGAATCGGTCCGAAATGAAAGCGTGTAATTAATAGAGTTTATGAACAATATTTG